TACACAAAAAAAACTGGCCGAATAGATGCAGCACAAATTTAATAGAGACGACAGACTGCGTGTTGACTCTCTCTTCTACTAGCTGACTGGATATTTACTGAAGTGGTTAGGGGCCTTCTTTTTTTTGCTCCTCTTTTTTTCCATATAGATGTATGTTGTGCCTCCTCCCTCGTTTTTCAACCCCTTCTTTCGTCAGCTCCTCTTCTTTCCCGCTTTTCCTTCCAAACTTGATGCTCCCCCCACCCCTTCTTTTTATTTTTTTCCAACTACTGCTTCTTCTTCTTCTTTTCCCCGCCCGTTTTTTTTTCGTTACGACTTTTTCAGAAGAAGACATACATACTTGTGTTTATTTGTCTTCCAACAATTGTTTACTCATAAATTAGGCTCTAATTTTTTTGCCTAGCCTTAGCCCTCCTCATTTTTTTCTCCACTCACTCACTCATTCTATTTTAGTTTAGTTTAGAAGAAGAAGAAAACAACAAGTGAAGTATTTGTTGTTGTTGATTTGGAAAGAAGCAAAAAATGGGGGGGGAATACTCAACCCTGAATTTGTTACAAATAATTATATAGTAGAATATTTATGTTTTCGTTATTTGAACATGATTTTATGCCAAATTGGGTGACAAAAATTGATGAATAATTAATCAGATAATATATTCATTAGCCACTTGTTGACTTGTTTTTTTATTTCTCTTTTATCGCACGAGAAGTTGGCGCAACTTACTCAAAATTGCAACTTTTTATTTAATTGGCAACGCCTGAAACATATAATTATCTTTTTTGGAATTGAAAAATTGACTTTTTCGTTTTCTAGTCAGTCTAGTTTTTTTTTCTTAAAGAAAAATTCTAAAATGATGAATTATCTTCTAAAAAAATTCCATTGGGAATTTCTCAATCTACTCTTTGTCCTTCCTTTCTTCCTCCCCTCCCTTTCTTAAATAAATCTACTTTGATCTATCTTTCTCAAAACCACTTCCACTTTCTTTCCTTTTTTCATCCATTTTTTCCTTAATCAACAAAAAAAAGAAACAAATTCACTTTACTCGGGGTTTTTTTGTGTTTGTGTCGCGTAAAAAAAACTTGGTCCAAATTAACACAAGTGTGTATTTTTAGGGTCAAAATTGTTGAGGTGGAAGTCCTGTTGAACACCGCTTTTCCGAGAAAAAGTGCATGTGAATTTGGACTCGGAATTGAACTTGAACTTGAATTTTTTGAAAAATGGGCATTTTTGGAATAGTGGGACTTTGGAATTTTGAAAAAATATTCCAAAATTTTTCTAAATGTTGAGCAATTTCAATATTGAAGCTCTGGAAGTTTTGAATGCTTTCTTGAATTCCTAGGTGTCTTTAGACCTCAGATTCTAAATTTCTGAAGCTTCAGAGTCATGAAAGATTTTAAAGAATTAGATGTCTTAAAATCTATAGAATCTCTGAAAACCGAAAAAGGCTTAAAATATCTGCAAAATCTAGAAATCCTAGGAAATTTAAAATTTCTGGAAGCCTTGAAAATTTTTGAGATTCTTGAGACCTAGGGAGACTTCAAGTCTCAGCAATCAAAAAAGTCCAAGAAGGCCTGAGCCTTGATAACTTTGGAGAAGTTGAAGACCTTCAAGACTCTCAAAAGCTCTGGGAGGGTTAGAACCTTAAGAGAAAGTTTTTAAAAAATTCCTAAGAACCTTTGAGCCTTCGGAATTTTCAAGATTGTCAAATTCTGAAGAAATTCTTCGTTCCCCTGGAGCTTTTGCAAAAAAAAAAATCAAAAAAAAGAGAGAGACTCATATTTATTGGTTGTGTGTTTCAAAAATTCATTTCACACATTTTGCACAGCCATCTCCTACTCACTTAATTTAAATTCAGAGCATCTCCTTCCTTTTTCTACTCGGGGTTTTTTCTCCATCTTCTTCATCTTTTTACTACTACCCCCCTTCTTCTTCTTCTCAAATTTTGCCCTGTTTCATCCCATCTTCTCGCACTTTTTGCCAAAAAAAGTATGTGTGTGTGTGTGTTTGTTTGTTGGCAAAAAAAGGGGGCTCAATTTCAATTCTAAACAATCTGTGAGTGTGTGCTCAAATTGCTTCACCATTTTCCATATTGCCACATTTTTGTCTATGTGCCTTGCCTACTACTCTTCAGTTTTTTTCCATTTTTTTTGTTCAGTTCTCATTTCATTTCATTTCATTTCAAGACCTAATCCTTCCCCCTAAAACTGAAAAGTTCAGTTTTTTCTTATCCCTCCCTCCTAACAAAAAAATATATACAGAGAATATATATAGCCGAACAACACATTATATTTATTTTGCGCCGAAATGTGTTTTTGCATAAATATCCGATTCCTTCTCATTTTTCTTTATGTTCACGTTACACTTGTTTTTTGTAAACTTTTTGATTGCGAAGCCACATTGATTTATTACAAATTATTTTTGAGGATTCGAAAAAAATGATTTAGATTTTTGTTAGGAGAAGCCTGAAAAGCTCCATCTAGATCTTAACCAGGCTCAAAAAAGGCTCACCTAAGCTCGTGAGCTTCGATTAGTCGTAGAAGGAGCTCCTTTGCTAAGAGAAGGCTCACCCAAGGGTGAACTTCATGAAACTCATCTAGGGTTATCATAATTATTTGAAAAGATTTATGTTTTTTTAAATTAAAATCCTCTGAAATTTCCCTGACTTTTGGAAATTTCTGAATCAACTCTGAAAAATATAGATTTTTAAGGATTTTTGACCATCTACATAGGTTTTTCAAAAAAACAAGCTAATTTTCAGACTCCCATAAAAAAATCTGAAAAATTTTGAAGCTCCCAATTTTTTTAAAAATAAGTCAGCCTTCCACATTTATAATTTTAGGTCAAGATTTCCGATCATATTACAGACATGCTCTATTTTTGAGCCCTTCTCGAGCTTACCAGAAAATATTTTTGTCAGGGTTTTTTTCACCCAACCCAAAAATATTCATAGTGCACTTTTTCATCTCATCTATTCATTTATTTATTTATTTCATCGCTCTTTTTCACCACCCGTCTGACCTTTTTTCCTCCTCATTTCTGAAAAAAAATATAGATTTGAGGAGGCAAGACGTTCATAAAATATCTATATTACTTCCATATGCCCTCAGTCAGAAAAGTTCCCACAACTAAGCTTCTGCCCTCTTTGAAACAATAATAAATTGACCTGAACTTGATTTATCATGCAATGTTTATGCATTCATTTTTTTTCTTATCCAATTCAGCTCGCCCATATTTTTTGGCGTATGTAGACACATTGAATATAATATGCACATACGACAAACTTTTTTCTTTCTTAGTTGTCGTTTCCTCTTTCTCATTTTATTAGTTTTTGTTTTTTTTTGTCGGTTCTCTCTTTTTTCGTTTTGTGTGGTCCCAAGATCGAGGAGAGCAAAAAACAGACATACATAAATCAGATAAAAATTGAGTTGAACTTTTAAGCGTCTGACTTTTCGCTTTTCGCTTTTCGTTTTTCAAAAAACAAAGGTTTCGGAATAATTAAAAGCAACATTTGCGATGAAGAAAATTGCATGTTTCGTGTGTATTGGTCTAGAAACATTTGAGACAACAAAACAATTGTTCTATGAACTTTTATGTAGACATAAAAACGTTCTTGAGATAGAATTTCCTTTTTTTTGATATCAGAACATTTTGTAATTTGAAACTAGGGCTGGAATTTTATTAAGAGAAGGGTTTTTGCTATATTTTCGTTTTGGATTTTGGAAGTTTGAGTTTTTGAATCACAGTTTTGTTTGAGCTCAATTCCGATATGATTTAAGGATTATTATGGGAATTTAGAAAACCCGGAATTTTTTTGACTGAAAAAATAAGCTGAAAATAATATTTCCGATGTTCTCAAAGGCCAATTTTGACTAGTTCGAGATTCAACCAAAACTTCTTTGTTGGAAATTAAAGATGGAGCCTAAGCAAAAATTAAGTTTTTCTGGAAGATTCTCAAACATTAATATAAAAATTTCAAATTTTGAAAAAACAGTGAAACACTGTGTAAAGTCCAGAGGTTCCACTTCTTATTCAAATTTGTCAATGACTTTTTCTAGCCAGGAGACGAAATGTTATTCTTCGACACATTTTTCTTTGAATCTTTATATTTGTATTTTCAAAATCTAACAGCTCTTGCCTAATATTTCCCTTCCAAAAAAACATCCAAAATTCTCAAGAGCCCAAACCATCCGATTCCATTCCATTACATCTCATCTCATCTCCAACGCACTCCAAAACAATTCCAGAATATCTCAAAAATTTCCAATAAACTCGTATCGTAAAATTGAGATTTATGTATGTATCTCATATAATCCAAAAAAAAAATATCCACCCACGGCTTGATTAAAAAAGCATCATTATTTTTATTCAAGTGTTTTGCTTCTTCGCAAAATATTTGTATATCTCTAAGAAATACATACATATATTTTTCTAAAAAAAAAGAAAACAAAATCAGGACTAACTAATTATTTGGAAATTCCTCTAACTTGCCTTTTTTCTTTCTTTCTTCACCAACAACAAAAAAATTGTTTATATAATATTCCGAACATTTTAGTCTCTTCCTTCCTTCATCGTATTCTTTTGCCTCTTTCTTGTATATATGTGTGTTTCGGGTTTTTTTTGTGTGTATGTGTATGTGTGCCTCGTCTTCAGCTTCTTCTTTTTTTTTCTGCTTCTTCTTTTGCTTCTTCTTCTTCTATTTGCATTTCCCCCCATTTTTTGCCATGCTCTCAACGAACGAACAAGTTCTACTACTTCTTCTTCTTCTTTCGTCTTTTAGCTGCAAGTGAAAGCTTCGCCATTTTTCTTCCTATAAAAATCCTATCAACTTCTTTTCTTTTGTTTCTTCGTCCGCCAATTTTTATTTTTTATTTCATTTTCAAGATGATTCCGTAATAAATTCTCAAACTGATTGTTGTTGTTAGAAATTTTTTGCAGGCCGTAGTTAGATGAGCTCCGAGGTGCGTGGGCCAGCCTGAGATGCGTGGGATCTCCGCGCACGATGCGGCCTCGCACGCCCAATATAATACAAGACGCACACGACGTAGCAACCTCTTCAACACACGATTTCCAGCAGCAGCAGCAGACAGAATTCAGTCAAGAAGAAATCGACACCGACTCATATTGTTGCCGCATCGATCAAGCAGTTGCGTCGTCCTCGGATGTCTCGTTCGATCCGCTAATCGTGGAAGAAGATCATCCACAGCATCGAAAACGACGAAGACGACGGCCCGAATTGCGGAACGTCGAAAACAATGTCGACGAAGGCAACGGTATCGACGAAGACGTCGATTATTTAATGAAGATCACAGCAGCAGCCACCAACATTCCTCCTATAAATGTACCACAACCGCAAATATTGTCAGACTCGAAGAAGACCAGCTCACCGAGACGATATCGATTAAACACTGATATACAGTCTCGGATATTTAGAGTAAGTTGGATTTTCATTTTTTTTTTTCAGACGAGGGAGGGTTTTAAAAAATATCCAATTTTTTTTCGATTAAATAAAACTTCATCATTGATCTCAAGGTAAATTTCCAAAAAAAAAATTCTAAAAAATTAAAGGACCCCCATAGAGCTCCACAATAATTTTTTTTAAAAATCGATTTTTTTCCAGGTGACATTATTAATCCATCTATTTTCTTTATTTGCGTGTACAGCTACTTCACATTTTGTAAGATCACATGACCAATCAACAGAAAACTCTAATTGTACATCATTTGCATTTTCAACAGAAGTGAGTTATCATAACTTATAATTTTTCTCCTATTTTTTACAAAAAAATTTTTTTAGCAACGAAAATCAACAAACTTCACCCTGAAAACTTGTCAAAAATGGAAGAATTCTTCAATTGAACACATTTGCAAACATGATGCCAAAAATCGACCCGCAATTTTGTCCGATATTTACCTATTCACCGAATATCAACCACTATCTTTATTCGATGTATGTTTTTTTAATCCACCCACATCAAAAAAAAAACGCTTTCAATATGCACTTGAAAATATATATATATATATATATATATCTATACATTCATATATATAGCATCTATCCTGAGCTATGTCTTTATTTCTCTCGAAACCCTCTTCTCTTTTTTTTCTTTGCTCGAAATGTGACCCATGGGAACCATATTTTGAAAATGTTTGTCTTATGGATATCCGCACAGGCCATCGAAAAAAAAACGCGAAACACACGGACAAAAAAAGTCTATAATTTACTGTTTCAGATTTTTGCGGCAAACAGCAAGAACAAGGCGAATACATCGGAATGGCGATTGATAAATGGTGTGAATTCGACGAAATGTGTTTTTGGGAATCAAGATGAATGTGGGCATTGTTTCAAAATGTTCAATGGTTAGTCGATTTTTTTTCTGAAAAGAGGTGGAAAAATATTCAAGATTCAAAAAAACTATATTTCAAGTACAAAAATTTTAAAAACACACCAAACTGAGAGAGTGTCTGTGTTTCTCTGCCACTCTCTCACTTTTCTGTAATCTCTCTTCGGGCCAATTTTTTTCTGAAAAAAATATCAGAGAACAACAAGATTAATCCTGAATCTTGACATAAATCTTTTAAAAAATGAAGAAAAAATGGTAATAAATTCTCTCTTCTCATTTTTATTCAAAAATCCATCTTCCTCCTTTTTTTCTTCTTTTTAATATTAATTGATTCAAGACCACCCAAGATAAAAAACATGTAGACACCCAAACACACACACAACAGCAAAAAAAAACAATTGACTATTTCCGCACCACATTACTTATTTCATAATGTATTTGCCCCATCAATTTTTGGTCTGTTGAGTTGAGTTGGTGCAATTTAGTGGTTGACTGGCTGAAAATGTTGGTTTTTTGGGGGGAGTGAATTTTTGATGTTTTGGACTTGTTTCATGATCATTAAAACATTTTTTGGGAAGTTTTGAATTTCACGAAAAGCTTTGAAGATTTTCTGTAAAACTAGAAATTTTTAAAGGAAGATTTTATAAAGTTCCTGGAACTCTAGAAAAATTTTGACTTTCATGATTTTGATATTTTGAACTTGATCTTCAGTTTTTTTTGCTCGGATTTTTTTTGAAATATGATCTGACTCCAAAACTTTTACTCTCGTTATCTTTAGATTGATCTTCAAAATTTTTTGTTTGGAATTTTCGGAGCCTGTGCAGATCTAAAAAATTCTGAAAAATGAGTTCCAAAACGTTCCTGATGTTCTGAACATTTTTGAGTATCAAAAATTTTTTTTTTCAAATTTTATTGTGAAGTTCTGAAGTTTTTGATTCTATTTGAGGCGAATTTGAACTTCCAGAACTAGAAAATTTTTTTTTCCAAAAATCAAAAACATTTTTTTCTTTTCTCCACCCCAATCTGAATGCTCTTCTCACATCAGTGACCCAAAAAGTTCCATGTTTTGTTGTGACACAAAAAAAAGGCGAAGAGTTAGTTTGTTTCTTGACTGCTTGATTGAGCATGTACATACATTTTGCCGGATAAACGAGTGACTTTTTTTTGTTGCTTGCGTTGTGGGTGAAAAGGCGTGGCGTGCACGCTCGGATATGGTGAAGAAAAAGGCGAAAAAAAAGAGAGAGAGAGAGCGCTAGCGAGAGAGAGAGATTAGCTGTTGATAATTGAGAATTAATGAGGGCAAGAAAATTGGAGCACAAAAAAGAGGCGGAAAAAGGAAAAAAACGAGGGACACAAAATGTTTGGCATCTTTTGAAGATAGTGAGAAAAAGAAGAAGAAAAAAGTTTTTAAAAGTGGGGGATTGATGAATATTCTATTGACACGATGTGTTGTTTTTTGCTGTTCTTGAACAAATTATATTTAATGAGGGGAGAGATAGTTTTTTTTCGGAATTTTTTTCTCAGCAGAAGCTTAGGGTCTGAAAACTATCTGAAAACTATCCTATAAAATTGGGAAAAATAAAAACTGTGCTCATTTGAAAGAGCCTGTTCTGATTAGTACTTTTTTTCAAACTTTGAAATTTTTAACCATAATTTGAGAAGCTTACGCTCAATCTGGAACGGCACAAAATTCGGAATTTCAAATTTTTAAAAGTCCTGATTAAGCTCGGTCTTTCAAAACGCACAATAATTTAGCTTCATGTTTTAATTTTCAAAAAGCCAGAACTTTTTCCAAATTCCAAAAAAAAAGTTTTTTTCTCAGAATCCATTTACATCACATCAAAAACCATGTCTCAAAGTCTCCCATTTTTTCATAGACCAATAAGAATTTCTAATTAAAATTGGTGATGTCTGCACTTTTTTTGTGTGGGATCATGTTTTTCTTCTCAAAACCATATGCACATTTCTTCATTTCATCTCAATTTTTTTTTGAAAAGCAAGAACAAGTTTTTGTTGTAAGAAGCAAAAGAAAAGCGGGGATCTGAGTGAGCTCCGAATTTTTTTTTTATTTTCTGTCGAGCACACAGTCCCATGAGACAACGACATTCCACTCTACTTCGCCATACACACACACATTTTCGCCACCAAATCAATTTCACCACTTTCTTTTCTTTTTTTGGAGCAAACTTTTTTTTTTGGGAAAATGCAACATGAGACGGAAATTTGAGAAAAGAATGGAAAAACAATGAAAATGAGACGAGATACAAAATTTAGGGACTATCTGAATTGGGCTTGAGAAATCTGGAAAGGTTCAATTTTCATCACAGTAAAATTTGGGACACTGAAAAAGCTCTCTGACATAAAAAATCAAGTCATTTTGAACTTTTTCTTGAAAATTTTCGGTTCCAAAGTAGAGAATGTTTCAAAAAAAAGTTGTGTATGGTCCGATTCCTATCAATCGAAGTTTGAAAAAATTGTTTTAAAAAATTAGTTTTGGCTTCTAAATTTTTTCAGAAATATTTTCAGCATGAATTTTCTGTTGTATTTTTCAATCAAAATTCTGGATTTGAGAATCCGTGCTTGCCTTTAGATTTTGCCACGTCATAACTTTTTTTTCCAAAAAAATTTTTGCTAATTCAGAAAATTTGTTCGAAACGAAAATTACAACTTTTTGAAAAAAAATTTAAAATCACCATAAATTTTAGCCCAAAATTTCATGGATAGAAAATTCTGAAATCATTTTTTTTTTCAGTGAAAAAATAGTTCTGCTCTGAATTTGATTTCGATCTTTTCAAAATTTTATTATAAAAACCACATGGATAAAATTTGTATCAGATACATCGTGAAACGAGATTTTCGGCTTCCACAGTTTTTGTCAAATTCTAGAGTTTTCTTGCACAGTATTCCAATATTTTCCCCAAAAACTTTGTGATTTTTCGAAATCTTTAAAACTTCTGATCGACAATGTTATATTTTTTTTGCTATTTCTATTTCTTGTTGACATCTTTGTCACATATCCGGCTTTCTTCAAATGTTGTTGTTGTTGTTTTTTGTTGTTGCGCTTCTTCTCTATATCATCTGAAAACTGGAACGAGAAAGAGAGAGAATTTCCCCTTCGTTGATGTTTTTTCTGCAGGCGGGGGTGGTTGATTGAAGAGAGGAAGAAGGAGGTCCAATAAAAACATACCACCCTCAAAAAACTGCAACAACAAAAAATAAATAAAAACGGAAAATATGGGGATTTTTTACATATAGCTATGTTTTTTTTGCAGACACAATCAATAAATTAGAAGTTGCATATTCATCGTTCGACACAACACTTTCACGTTTCGATTGTCAGATTGCAAACGATTCAGCAACTGCGACAAGACCATTTTCGCCAAATGCAACTTGTGCTAATTGCAAGGTTGGTTCAGGGTGGGGTGGCTGGTTAACATAGCCGCTAGCCTGGCTGAAAATTTTTTAGAAGGCAGAATTTTAGAAAAAAAATTTCTACCTGAAAAATTTTTTCTGCGGTTTTTGAGATCTGACAAACTTGTGATAGATTTGTTAGAGACAATTATTTTTTGATTTATCAGGAATGTTTCAGAGAAATTCAAGATGAGGAATATTTTTGATCTGAAGTTTGAGGTTTAGGGTAGTAAATTAATTAGGCTAATTCAATCAATTCTTGATAATAACTAGCAGAAGACGTGAAGAATTCGAATTTTCTGATTTCAAAAATTCAGATTTCAACTTGAGAAAACCGTACATAGCTTTCATGTCTGAAAATAGATTCTTTTTCGAATTTTGTCTCGATCATTCAGTCTCAAAAATTAGAGAATCTCTTAAATTCTTAACTAAAATCAAGCACATCTAAGGCTCAGAATTTCTCGAATTATAATTGAGCAAAAAAAAAATAATTGTCATTTCATTTCATTTCATCATTTCCTTTTCCACCACAATTTTCATACATATTCTCACAATCAAATTAGTGTCCAAAGATTCTCGAATTTCTCCAACGCGCACTTCTTCTTCTTCTAACTCGCCTACACAATTTTCACACATCCACTCAACAACAAAAAGTGTGGAGCAAACAAAAAAGACTGAATTCTTCTTCTTCTTCTTCTCCCGGCACACACGAAAAATATGCACGCCGAAATCTAATAATGTGCCACATCGAATGCAAATTCTTTACACCCCGATATATTCTATTATATTTTTCCCCATATTTTCTCAGGTCAGGGGGTTTTCCCCTCCCTCCATGAAAAACTTTACCCCACACAACAAAAAATAACAACAACTGGAGTGGGATAAATTGCCTCGAGGCAACAATTTGATGGCTTATTTGAAAAGTATTGGACCTTCCTTCTTTCCATTCTTTTTCAAACAAGGAAAAATTGATGGACTCTATTAGGCAAAATGTACTGCGTCTCTTCATTTGTTGTGATATTCATTTAAGAGAATCTGGGAAACAACACAAATGAGCTTGCCAAATTCGTGGGAATTTGTTTATTTGTTTTTGGTCAAGGGAATTCTTTAACTTTGGCCATTCAATACTTTATTCATTCATTCATTATGAATTAATGAATGAATTGGAATAAGAGAAGAGACAATAAAGGGACCAAAGAAAGTGTTCCGAAAAAATTAGAGCAAAGTTCGGGTAGTGTAGAGTTAGAATAACTGTTTAGGGACTATTTTTTTGATTGGGGAATAGATTTTGCTTAGACTGTGGAAGAAAAATACACTAGCGTCGGATGGATTTTGATTCAGAGTGTTTTGAGTTTTTTCTACGCTATAAACTTTTTTAATGGCAAAATATAATTTTTCTGACTGTAAAAATGTAAGAACCAATGAAATCCTGAGATAAAAATGTATTATTCACTAGCCTAAACTTCTAGAACTTCCCAATCTGTTCGAAATATTTTAAAGTAGATCGAAATTATATGTTTGATATTGTGTTGGGATTTTTGAATTTCCAAGAAAGAAACCCTCAAGAATGTGTCAGGTCTCAAAAAATGTTAAGAAAGTGAATAGAAAATTACAGAAAAATACAATTTTTTGGCCCGAAATATCCTTTCAGATTATAAGTTTTTTGTTAAAAAATATTCAACAATGAAGGTTTTAAAATTCAAAATTCACACCATTCTGAAAATCCACAAAAATCCTCCCAATTCATATTTCCAGCTATGGTATCGCCGATGGTTATTGGTTCAAGAATTGAACATCTGGAAATCAAAACCATGCATCAATTGGTGTTATTATACGCAATTAGCATGTCCACATTTAGCGCCAGCAAAAGTGTGGGATTATGCGGGTCATCCATCTTTTCAATGTCGAGGTAAGCTCATTTTTTGAGCCAGTTGCTCAAATTTTTCACCCAGAAAGTTTAGACAAGTTCAAAAAAAAAATTTTTTTTTGCAGACATGGACATTGATAGTTGGCGTCAAGAATGTGACTGTATTCATCCATGTGACGTTCAGGGTGTTGTTCCAAATGGTACTATAGGAAATGAACCATCAATTAGGCACGACTTTTTTGCTGCAGAAGTATGTTTACTAAAAAAAACAATAAAATTTGTGTGTTCACATTAAGGTGATGTATGTGTTGTTGAGTTGTCAACAAATGACTTTTTTGTAGATTAGTAAAATTTTGAATTACATGGGTTAAATTGCGAGAGGTTTAAGGATCAACCTTAAAATCAAGTCTTGAATTTAATACCTGAACTTGAAATTTTACATCTAGACTTCTGAACTAGTAAAATTTTGTGAAGAATATGAAACTTTTTCTCGATTCAATTAAATTTTGAAATTTTCCAGGTCCACTGCAAGCAACGTAAAAAAGAATGTCAAAAGCAAGCATCAAAAAAAAGTTCACAAACAACAAAAAAACCAACAACAACATCAAAAATAACATCAACAACAACAACAACATCAGAAACAATAACATCAATAGGTTTCAATTGTTGGACAACACATCGGCTATTCCATTATTTTCTACTAATACTATTATGGATGTTATATGAGTAGTCCAATTTAGTAGATACCATGTTATTTTTCCATTTGTTGGTTGTTATGTTGCATTTTTTTTGAAACAATACTTGACTACAAAACACGACGTGGCGTGCTGTGATAATTCTATTTTACCGGTGAACAATCTTTCCAGGTTGGTTTTTTTCGGGTTCGGAGTTGACTCAACTCGATCTGAGGTTTGCCCCCTTTTAAAAAAAATTTCGAAATTCATGTATACTTTCTGGATACAATATTCATTTTGAAACCCAAATTCGAAAAAAATCCGATTAAAGTCGAGTCGAATTTATCGACTTGACTTAACCAGACTTAGCCCAAGTCAAAACTCTCCCCCGAAAATCAATAAATCTCGATTTTTCCAGAGTTTTCTGCTCGGTTGCATACAATCATCTCCGCTCAATTAACAATTATTTTATTCATTGTGCTAAATCTTTCAAAAATTGATATAATATTCATCACAAATATGTTTTTTTTTTCAAATTCCCCTCCCCAAAAAATGTCAACCCCACCCCAATAATGTTCCTCTATTACCTAATTCTTTCGTATGTGATTATTATCTGATTTTCTCTCAACATCATTTTGTATGTCAGAAACTGGGATGTTTTTTCCATGACAAGATCCACCACTAAATTTTAGGAAATAATTAGAGATCAACAGACAATTTGACATCACGTAAATACTAGTTGTTTTTCTTAATTATATCGGTGCCTATAGGTATCATGAATTGGTTTTTCACATTTTTCATGATATTTTTGCTTAGTTCCTCCTTTTTCTTCTTATTGTATAGGATTTTACATTTGTTTTTTTTTCAAATTTAAGTTTTCCTATTCAAAAATCCCACTAGTTTTTTTCTCTCAACAATTATCGATTCGAAATTCCTTTCCCTTTTTTTTAATATTTTTTTCAATTCAATCTTATCTTATTAGATTTTTTTTCACAAAACAAACACAAAATCACTGTCATTCATTAACGGTATTTTCTCTCAAAAATAAATAATCTTCCTTCCTATTTGTAGTTCTATTCAAAATAATTACTTGTAATGTAACATCCAAATGTTTTGTTATTTTTTTTTGCAAAACATTTTAGTCAATTTGAGTATTTTTCAATAGAATTGCCAAACCTTTTACACTTTTGCCTGAATTCACATCTGCCAATTTTTTCTGATTTTTTTTTGTATTTTTTTCGATTGGTAATAACGACTTTATGAATATTGAAGTAAAATTGTGTTTTGTTTTTTTTTTGGGGAAAAAAGAGAACTGGAAATTTTCAGATAAAAAATACATAACTGAAAAAATGCAGAGATGTGATGTTCTGAATTATGAAGTTTTGACAAATTTGGCTCCAGAAGTGTTTGAATCACGGCTCAGAATAGTTTTCTCGAATTTTTTAAAAATTTAAAAAACAATTTTTTATTCTTATTCTCAGCAAAAAATTTTTCAGCCAAGATTTCATTATTCTTAAAATCAATTTAACTAAATTTTCACCCAATTTCAGATTTTCAGTACTGAAACTTCGTTCCAAAGATCCCTAAACTCATTTGAAAAAGCCCTCTTGAAACAAGTGCTCAAAAACAAGAAAAAAAAAATGCTCCGTAAATCGACACAAACACATTCTGGATGAAAGGGACGCCTAGCGAGACCATTTTTATTTTGAAGGCAGCGGCATTGCGGAGTCTTGTTGTTTTTATTGAAAAATATGGGATATGGAATGTGAAGTGAAAATTTCAGATTTTTTAGAAACTTTATTAAAGAAATAAATTTGAAAAATCGAAAAGTCGTGTGAAAAGTGCTTGAATATCACTAAACATTGTATAATTAGTAAAGAAAATTTGAAAGACTGAAAATCGAAACTGAAAATGTTTTTTTTGAAAAAATAAAAACAAATTCAATGAATTATTTACAGAAAAAAAATCTTTGTTCCTCTCAAAATTTTACACAATTTTCTCCTCTCCGTAAATCGACACACAAAGGCATTCTATTTGAAAGGGAATCCCAGCGAGACCAATTTTATTTCCAATGCAGTGGCATTGCGGAACATTGTTGTTTTTCATAATTTTCATTGGAGTCTGTGAAAATTCCAGATTTTTCCTGGAGAAAAGCAAAAAAGTGATAAAAAAATATTTATGGGCAAATATAAAATGTGAAAAAACCGTTTTCGAAAAAAATTAAACCTTGATTATTGAATAAAGAAAACATCTACATAACTAGTGGCACGGGAAAACATATAAAAATATATTGTAAAGGCAGTTGGCACTCATAGAACAAAAACTGCCATACAGATAAAGTAACCAAATGATTAAAACTTGAATTGGAAAGTATTTTTGGACAAAAAAAGAAAGTAGAATTGGAACGAAAGAAAACCGTGGACTATGTTTCTGTTTGTAGTTATGCAATTAAAGTTAGAGGCACAAAAAAATAAGAAGTAAAAGTAGATTGACTAACACGGGAAAATCGGGAAAAAAAGAGGTATGAGAAAATTAAGAAGGCAACATTTTCAAAAAAATTTTGATTTTTGAAAAACACACATATTTTATAAGGGGGAAACTGCACTTTTTTTGATGTAGATAAAAGCTTTTCAAATTCTTGAGCTCGTCAATAAATGTTATTATAAAATTATTATCACTAGAACTATTGTGCTCAATGTACATTTGTATGAAGTGACAGGTAGATTTGCTGGGTTTTGAGAATGTTTTTGGGGGGTGGAAGATAATTTTCGTTGATTAGAAATCACTTTTGTTTTGGACACACTAGAGAATGATTAGATTAATCGATTAGATTTGATTCAAAAAGGCGCGGAATGATTAAAAATGAGCAGAAAATGAGTATATAAGGGGATGAAGAAGTAGAGTTATTAAAATCAAAACCTATACAAAAGATACATATGTATGTAATTAGGTGCTGTAAAATGTGGGTAATTGTGTGTATATAGAAGCTATTCCTCTTGATTCTCCCAAAGATTGAGATTTTTGAGCGCGTTGAGAGCTGCATCTTCAGCTGCTTCTTCGACGGTGAAACCAATGCCGGGATGGACCTGGAAATGAATATTTGATTGGGAAAATGAGAATATTCATTACTGATTCCGAGTGAAGTCTGAGCAAAAAATGTACAATTTTTCTAGAAGCTTCTCGAAAAATTAGCAAAAAAATTTCAAAGTTCTGTGAAACACCGTGTAAAATGGCTCCAGGTTTCAATGAAAATTTGTCAATTTTGAATTGCAATTGATTAAAATATATCGATTTTTATGTCAGACTTCTTAAAACTTACAGATGGTTCTTCAAATCCAAGTGAAACCAGACTAAAATGCTGATCTTGTTGCGGCAATTCCGAATAGCTAACACTAAACTTATACATCGTGGAAATCATATCAAGTTGTGTCTTAGCATTGACCTCCTTCCCATCGACAACAAATTTCGGTTGTTTTTGAATAAGATCCAAAGAGGAGGCAGCCATTTTTGCCAACTCGACTTTCTCTTCAGGTGTCAAACTGCGACGATTCTCTTTGGTACGACGTAATTTTCGAATTTTTCCCTCGATGATTACATCGATTTTCAATGGAATTGTGATGGTGTTTGGATAATTTTGATCGCCTGGTGGTGGACATGCTTGAACTTGACTGTTGAATGTGACATGCTTCTTTTCACTTTGTGGCGATGTCATTCGATCACTTGAATCGTTTCGTATTTCGTTTCCTTCGTGTAATTCTTCAGAGAAATCTGGCGATTTTGCCGAGTTACTGTAAAATTTTAATTTTGTTTTATATTTTTCTTAACGAAATATGTAAATAAATTTTCCTGATTTCCAAAAAAAAACTCACGTTTCTGAAACATCAGAACTTTTTGGGCTAATCAATAAATCTCCCTTATCCTTATCGCATCGTTTCTTCAGCAAACTTTTCCCAGGCGCTGGTAATGGTTTGATATAACCAAGTGCAGCAAGCATCGCTTCCGCCGCTGATCTTTTCGCCAATTTTTTATTCGGACCTTTTCCATCGCACGATTCATTGACACAGGTGACACGAATAATAAATTGCTTGTATCGACTATGTCCGTGTTCACCAACCAATTCAAAAACCGGATGTTCATTGTGTTTTGTTTGAACAACTTGAATCAATCGTGAAACCGGATTGATTTGATGACCGTAATCTGGATCCATTTTTTTGTCCTTGACGATTGTCTTTCTACGAACATCTTTTGAGTTTTGAGACAGTTTCTTCTGGTTTTTCCACAATGTCGTGACAACAGTTAGCGGATCATTTTCTGGAGCTGTAAAAATCAGGTTCTCAAAAATTCTCCCGATAAAAATTGATTTTCAACTCACCAAGATCTCTGAGCGATTGAAGAAGAATACTACAAGCCTCTTGTTGTGCCTCCTTCTTCTTTCGACCTTTTCCCTGTGCTTCGGCAATGATTTTATTCTCATTGTCCACAAAAGCACAACGAACAACATATTGTCGATCATGTGGTGGACCTTCTTCACAAATCACTTCGAATACAACTTTGGTTCTCATTTGATGCGCTTTTTCATGAACATCACTGATCACCGATTTGCGTTTGTAGCGTGGAACATCGTTCTGGAAAAAATCAAATTTTTGAGCGGAATCAAGCCTGATCGGAAAGATCTAACTATGATAAAGATCTTACCTCATCAACTTGTTTTCCTTCACAATCTTGTTTCGAATTGATAACACGTTCCGAATGTTCTTGAAGTGTTGGATTGAGAATAGTCAAAGCCTTGGAAGCGGCGTCCATTTTTGCAAGAGTAATCGATGGTCCGAAGCCAGTCGCAACTTGTTTACTGCCAATTTTCACGATCGACTGGAATTTTTTTTTATTTTGTGATTTGTATTTTTTTCCTAGAATCTCATTTTTCTTTAATTCGAAACTTTTGAAACATTTTCATTTTTGTTATAAGGTTTTTGAAAAATATCACAGAAACTTTTTCAGAATGTACATAGACCATGACTCGAAAATGTAAAAAAAAAAACTCACCGCATGATAATGTTTTGGACGATTATTATTAGTCGACGAGCTTGCAGTCGGATCAATCGGAGAATATGGTTGATACCATTGATATGGTGATTGTGGTGGCAACATTCCCTCAGGTGGAACAGGAATAGTTTGAAAAACAGGCTCGGCAAAATTGAGCGTGCGACAAACATTGTGAAGAATTCTTTGCGGCAATTGCACTTCGCCTTTTCTTCGTCGCGTATTTTTCTCGGGTGGTAATGGAAGTGTAGTCTTCTCGATGGCGTTTTCAGCAGCGGCTTGTTGAGCGCGTTTTATTGAACTACCACTGCCTTCGAAGACTTCGGTTTGAGTTAGGACAAGTTTCACTGTGAAGAGTTTTTTGTGTGCAGGTCCACTTTCATCCATCAAATCGTAGACGTGGCGGATTTTGTTGTATTTCGCAATCTGAAAAAATTATAATTAGAGAGAAATATCAGGCTTGTGGTGTAACATACCTCCGCAACTCTACACATTGCCGACTTCTCCTTGTTCTCCTGGTCACTATAATTGTACACACTTGTGGATGAATCAGAAGCCGCTGAATATTGACCACACCAATGTTGAGGATGGATCTTCGAAGTCTCATCTTCCTGAAAACATTTGTAGATATAGCTTAAATTTCAAGTATTGATTTAAATTGGCTTAAACTTTTCAGACATAGTAATTAAATAAAATTATACTTTACAAATTTAGAACACGGTCTTTATGACTTCCTGTTTCTGATAAGTTCAAAAATATTTGTATAACTAATTATAAAGCCTGAGGTGAACCTCTAAATTCAGAACTTTAACTAATTTTTTAATTTTGAAAATCAGCTGATTAATGTTCAGAATCTTTCAATTGGATTTAAAAAATAAAACTTTTCTTTCTCAAAACTTTTTTATGAACCCTGAATTTTTGATCAAACTATGTTTATAGAAACCTAAACCTCAGAACCTCTTTTTCGTTCCCAGAATCCTCCCTTTTCTCTAAACCCTTTAACTTCCCAAAAGCCCTCTCACCTTCAAAGTGTTTTCTGTGATATTCAGCTCATTTTGCCCACTTTTATTCTCTTGCAACGGCTCCATCTGATGTTGAAATGTTTTAACCACCTAAAACCATAACACTTATTAAAGCAATTATGTTTTTTTTCGGTAAAAAGACAACAAAAATCAATGAGCGGTGTGTGTTGCACAAAAATATATGAAAAAGAAAATACACACACACAACGCTTCCCCCTCTCCTCTTTTGTTTTTTTCTGTTCGCGTTGTTCGCTGGAGCGCATTTGCTAGGTTATATATATTAGATGGGGCATATTTGCTGTATTCATATATATTTTTTGCTTCTTCCAACGTGGTTATTATTTTTTCTCGTTTCCCTGGTTTTTATATGAAATTTTGAATTTTTTTAGATGGAGTTAACATTGATTGCACGTGTTAGAGATGGGCTAATTCTCGCAACTTCAATTGAAGGAAACAATGATCGCGGGGTGAGTTTTCCAGAAAATTTTAAATTTTCAATAGAAATTTTTGGTTTTCAGGGTGACACAAGCATGGTAAAATATTCAAATCAAGCCAAGATGTTGTTCAAAAAATTGGCAGGAGCACCAGCACAACAAACTGTTGAAAGTGGACCATATGTTTTTCAGTGAGGAATTTTTTCGTATTTCGAAATATCTATGATAACATTTTTTTCTTTCCAGTTATGCAATTATTGATTCGGTGTGTGCTCTAGTTTTATGCGATCGAAATTTTCCGAGAAAAGCGGCTTTTCAATATTTGAATGATATTGGTAGAGAGTTTTTGAATTATAATAGTTCGAAAATTGATTCGGTTGTTCGACCATATCATTTTCTGGATTTCGGTGAGCTTTTTGGAAAATGAAACAAAATTTATTGATTTCTTTAGACAAATACATTCAACAAGCCAAACACAAATATGGAGATCAGAATCGTTATACAATGAATGCAGTTTCGAACGAGTTACAAGATGTTACTAGAATTATGGTTACCAATATTGAGGATGTTATTCATCGCGGAGAAGCATTGAACAGTGGGTTTTTGGGGTTGGGAACTAGAGTGTAGTTTGGTAAGGGTTTTTTTTAGCTACCAGAGCTCTTGAATTTCTAAAAAAATATCTATATTTTCATTATTATGATATCATAATTTTATAGAATAAACACAAACATAATAAAAAATTTTATAAGAAAAATTGAAAAATATTTCCTCAAAATCCTCCAATCTATAGGAAATGATATGAAATTTTATTAGTCATTTACCCAGCGAAAGAAAATTCTTGAAATTACATAAAATTAGCTTTTTAATTTTGGTAGAAATTGCGTGACACTTTACACATTTTAATCTAAGAATAGAATTTCTTATTTTATTCATCATCGTTTTTGCAAGAAAAATTGCTTGAAAAAATCTTTGCAGTTCTCGAAAACCGCGCTTCGGAATTGTCTGGAATGAGTAAGAAGTATCGAGAAGACGCGAAAGCACTCAACAGACGCTCAACAATTTTCAAAGTTGCTGTTTCGGTTGGAATCGTCGGATTTTTGTTCCTCATCTTCCGTTTTCTTATTCTGTGATTTATTTATTTTTTCTCAAAATTTCAATTCAAATTTTGTATTATTTATATCTCCCAATAATTTTTCCCCGGATTTTTGAACACACAATGAACAAGTTTAATTACGAGATTGGTTAACAACGGAGCGTGTTAAACGATGTTTTGAACAAAAAAATTGATAATTGTAATTTTGCTGAGCCATAACAAGTTAAATCTGAAATTGGTTAGAAGCCAGGCAATATAATTTTAAAAGTGTACCCTTCCAATTTGTTTATTCACCAAAACAATTCCAATTATTTTATTCCGATGAGGCGTCTGGTCCAAGAATATAACATTTCTTCTGAAAAAAACAATTACCGTGTTACTTTGAAATTCAGAAAAAGCTTACATGTGAAGACTTTGCCATTTTCGAGTCTGGACCACATTCAAATGCACTTAAAAATTCTGAATTTTGTGCAGCCATTGCATTTGATCTGATAGGACCTGGTGAATGTGCAAAATTACTTTTCCGCCAATTCTGAACAATAAATATAAGCCCATCCCATTTTGTTTTATGACAAACATACGCAAAAAATTGATGCCTGTCCCATAAATACAAGTTGAAGATTAGTGTAGGCTGTATATTCATCATTCTGTTCATTTAATTTTGCCCCGAAATGATTTTTTGCATATTGAATAACCCCTCTAAATCCTAATAAGTCTGAACCATTATCGCCAATTCTTTTGGTATATTGAATACAATTGTCCTAAAAATCATTATGTGTGAATTTTTCAAGTATAAAAACAATGAATATACCGAAGGTACATTGAAATAATCGCAAGTTTTATAAAACTGATTTTGTATACAGTTTATCGTTCGCTGTGAAGCAAAATTATATGGTCGGATTATAGCATGAGAAATTTCGTGACCGATGATGGATCCTAGTGATCCAATCTGTAATTATTGTATTTCAAAAAGCTTCCAATTTCAAAACTCACCAAAAATGGTTTTGATGTAATTCTAGATGCAATTGCATAATAAGGGAATCCAATTATGACTTTATTTTCAGAAAAACTATAATAGCCATTATAATCTGTTTCAAGGTATTCTGAATTGCTTTCATAGCGCTGATAGTTATTGTGAATACAAAAAATATTCACCAAAGTTTGATCATCTAACCATTCTCCAAGCGAATTTTGACAGTTTTTATATTCGACAGTCAATTTGGATATACGTTCAGAACTCGACATATTGTTGAATCGCATAGTATTCATTATTTCGTGATATTTATTAATTATATTATATTTTTTGAATGAAGGGGTTTCCTTGAAAAAAAATTTCATTATAGTTCCAAGGAAAATTTGTTGAATAAACCAACTTCAATCCAAGTATTAAAAATTATTTTAATTTCATCAAAAATTGTTTGAAATTCATTGTTAACATGTTTGTATTTGTATAACCACAACCGTTCTTCATTAGCTCCAATGACATATTTGCAACCTATCGTATAATTTGCATCCTGAATTATCCATCTGTTTCAGAATTACGTGAATATCACATTTTCTTCGTCCTGCTCTCTTTATTAGTGAAATGTTGTAAACTCACTAAATCAGACTCCCAGTTTTCCAGAAAAGATAAAAAGTGATTGTTGTCACCAGTAAAATTTCGAACATTTCGAATTGTTGTCATATTTTTTAAAAACTGCTCCTCTACACCATTTTGAATTCTGAAAATGGAAATTTTTATAAATATTAATTTTTGTGGAATCAACTTACGCATCTTCCAACAAGTTTTTCAACTTGTTCGACACAGTTCCTTTTGTATAATTTGTTCCACTACATTTAATCAATTCCATCTGAAATGTTCTTTAACAATTTGTATTGAAATAATAAATAACCAACCAGGTATTCAGAAACGTCATCAGACACTATGAAGTTATTTTTGATAATTTTTTCCGACAACCTTTCCATGCCAAATCTTGTACTTACTCCACAAACATGTCGATAAAAATTATCACATCTGTCGACAGTAGAATTTAGCATACTGTAAATTTTCAGGTTTTGTTAATATACTTCAATAAATTTTTTACTTTTTGAAAACATGATCAATCACATAATCACACGATATTTTGGTGAAGAAAATGAATGCTAGAACAAACTTGAAATTCAACATTTTCAGTTTTAGTTTTAGTTGATTTTTAATTTTTCGCATGCAAATTTATACTGAGTTTTTTTTTATTGTTTCATGTATGAAACAATAGATGCTGAATTTTTATTGTTTCCTATATTCAACTTGGTATAACACAATGATAATAATAAAAGACATTTTGTATTATAACAATTTTCTGGAATTTAAAACCGTCTAACTGGGAAAAAGTTCATTGAAAAATTGATCTGGATGAATTTGTATAAAATGAAGTCGTTTACAGTTCAAAGTGTATCCTCTCACCAAAAAGCGCTCTCAAACTCTACCATCTGAAAAATCTCTAAATCTCCATACCCCCAAGACCCTCCTTTCAGCAAATTATTCTCTCATGTTCAGGTGATTTCACATATCAAATAATAAAAAAGCGAACACCTGCGCTTTATCAAATCAAAAAGAATTACAAAAATGCAGGTGGTTCTATTATTTCATGTTAAACTTTATTCTGCCCAAATACTGATATAAAAAAATAAAAAGAAAAAAAAGCCAAATAATCATGAACTCCAAATATGTATGTGTGTAGATATGAAAAATGAGAAAAGATAATCAGTATGAATTTTTGAAATGTTTGATTTAGGAAATTAGAAGTAAATCGAAATTGATGTCAGCGATTTGAATTGGCTCCGAATGATGACGTTCCAAATGGCGTGACTCACTTCGATTGAAGCTGAAAAATTTTTTTATAATTAAGTGTAAGAAAAAAAATTCGGGATCGAAATACCATCTCTGGTTAGCTAGTTCGATGAAGGATCCAGGAGAAACCGATTGTTCAGCAGTCACTTTTTTGTGTCGATTTTCTCCCAAGATTCGAATCTCCTCGTCACTTGGCTCGTACAATTTGTACTCATAGCCATATGCGATGTTGACTCTCATAATGCGAATGATTTCGGAAAGAGTATCGTGCAAATCGTTGTTGAATTTTGTCATCTCTTCTGGTGTTGGGGGCACAGATTTGTCTCTAGGTCTCTGAAAATTTATTTTCTACGTTCAGAAAATTGATATCTGTGCTCTATACTATATATATAACTTGACAAAACTATTGGAAAACATTTTTAAAATTTCCGCCGAAATTAGCGCGACCGACATTCAAGCGGGTCAAGGCGAACGCTATGTTCTGTGAATCAGAGAAATATTGTTTTGGGAAAATTTATACTTGGTTTCAAAGTCCAGAGCCTTTAAATATTACCATTTTCATCTCCACACAATGATCAATATATGCATAAGCCAGATATTTCAAAAGACTTTGCAAATTAATGACATACGAAACAGGCATGAAATATCTGAACTTCTCCCCAAAACTTTGCATATCTGATGCAAATTTTTCAATCGAAGTTGAGATACTTGCATGTTGTCTTTCGTAGAAAAATGTGATTGCATTATGGAATGCCTAAAAATGATTCAAATTAAAAAATAAGTAGGAAAAAGCATTTCAAATTATGTTTACTTACCTGTTGAAGAGATAAGGCAACACGTCTGATTATGAAGCTCTGATCATCTTTCGAGCATTTGTGATATTCGTTGGAAATTGTAGGGTTTTCACTGAACAACCCTTCATAAGCTTTCTCAGCAATGGTGTAGAGTCTGAAAAATGTTTTCACTTTTTTTTCCTCTTTTTTCAGCTTTTACTTCTCTATATCAGTTGGCCAGGAATCAAAAATTGTTTTCAAAACATTTGGACGAGTGAAAATCCAATTGAACTCAACCTGAAATGATTTATTATTAATATTTTTGCTTGTTAATTCGATATTTTAATTATCTCTCCAATAATTAATGAGCAGGTGCACCAAAAGCTCCTTACATTTAGAAAGGTCACTATGACTACGCATTTCTTATTTATTTTTTTTTTGTTTATGTACGATGTACTTTCAGGTTTTATTTCTAAACTCAAAATAATTTTTACATTGTAAGATGAAAAGTTACAGCAACTTCAAGAATCCGGCAATTTTTTCTTAAAAGAATTTTCAATTTTCACACATTTTCAGGATGTTTATAGATCCTTGAAGTTATCCTATGTGAAATTGGGAAGAGCGCGTTTTTTTTGTGTTTTTGTTTTGTTTTCTTTTTAGATTTCTGTATTGTGTATTCTGAAAATCTCAAGAATTCATATTGATTTTTTTTCTCAAAACTTCACTTCGAAGATGTTTACATCTAGAAAAAAACCAAGGAAAGTATGTAAACCAAAACTTTGCTTATTGAATTAGGCGCAAAAATAAACGTTGTTGGTATTTTGTTAAAGAATAATTGGGTAGATTGGTTTTCTGATTTTTGGTAAAATAATTGGACAATTTTCACCAAAGGACGATATTAACGTCAAAGACTTTGAAGGAAATCAATTTCCTGTGTTGGAGAATATTGGAAAGTGGATGTCTGTCTGCATTTGTTGTTGTCAAGCTTTAGCTAGAACGTTGTGCGATAGGTTATTAGATTTTTGGAGGATTATCAATCATCCAAACATTCAGAGCATCACACAACATATTATCTTCGGGAAAATTTTTTGTGCACTATATCGAGAGCCGTTCCGTGTAGGTGCTACCTCTTTGGCCATATACGCTTCTCGAACGAATCTTTTTCACTTGGTTTTATGAGATAATGTTCATAGCTGGCTCGGTTCCAAAGGTATTCCCGAAACTTTTTATCGTCCCTCGATATCTTGTTGATAACAATCAAATTGTCAGACATGATTTAGCTCAACTCGAATTATGAGTTATGACGTGTTCAAATCTCAAAATTTTTCTAGACCTTGAAACAAGTTGAGCTCAACAGTTTTTGACAACGGGATCATCAGCTAATCAAGGTCTACTAGACACATGTTCCAGTTTTCTTCCGACAATAAGATGAATACATTTTCCTCTCTAAACCCTGCCACTTTTATAAAGCTTAACTTTTTTTCTGAAAAAGTTGTCCTAACTAAAAGCATATCATATCATATAAATTAGGATAATTCTCAAGAGAATTTCTGGTATTGTCACGATGTTCAAAAAATAGAACCAAACAAAATGATGAGATATTTTACTTTGATTTCTTCGAGGAAAAACAATCTGAAGTACATCTGCTAAAATCCCTTCTACATCCTAGGTCTTCCGTAAACTAACCGATCTCGAACGAAGATACAATTTGGTGACTCTCTCGGCGCTGGTATCTGGAGGCATTTTTGGTGCAGGAAGAGTCCAAGTAATAGCTAGTAGAATAATCAGGTGCAACAACACGCCCTTTTAATAAATTTTCAGCGTTGTTGAAAGGGCGGAGTCATGTCTTGTAAGTTGCTGAAAATGGTTGAAGCTCCGCCCATTTTTTCAGACTTTTCTTCTTTTTTTGTTATACTTCAAACATACACTAATAAATTTATTGGAGAAATTCGAAGAGAAATACAGCAAAAACTATTCAATATATGGCTCGAAATGACCGGTAATGGATATAATATGAGTTATGTGAGGTATGAGATAAAAAACAAGGAAGGTCTCCAAAGTACCGAGTACAAATGTTATTTTTAGAAAAGGAAAACCAAATTTAGATTAATTGATAAACAACTTGAAAAAATAAATAACAGAAATGAAAAGAGCACAACTGAAATACAACTTTTGGTTTTGGAAATTGCATTGATCCTCTTTACAGCAACACATTATTTCACCATTTGAGCGTTTTTCACATCCTTCTCTCTGAAAAAAAGAGTATTGATTAGATTAGCTGAAAACAAAAATGACTTTGACTAACATGACACTCTCCAAAATCGCAGCTGTATTGTGCTCCTTCATAATATTTTCGGCCCACGCTTCCGGTTGAAGGCAATCTGAAATTTGAGATGAATATCAAGATCTTGAAGTAGATTTTCTAGCTGTCAGAATTATTTTTTGGAAAGAATTTACATAAATTTCAAAATCAACTGAAGCTGAAACTTCTGAAGCAATGTTTTTGAACTTCAGTATAATTATTAGCCCTGGCTCTTCTCAACTAGTTTCTTGATATACTCATTTTATTTTCCAAAATAAGTTTGCTCAACGATCTTTCTCCATTTTTCCAGACATGTTTTTTATATATATATTTTCTTTTTTCTCGCTTTCAAATCAACCTGAAAATTCAATTTTTTTGAACTTCTGAAAAACAGGTGATTTTTCTTTCTTTTTCTGAAATTTCACTTCTATCGGCAGATGTTTTTCATATTATTTTCATATAAAAAACCTAGGAGATGGTGGAAAAAAAACGCGATTTTGCAGAGATGAAAAAACAGGTTTTTTGGTATATATACATAGTACGAAAGTCCATGTTTTTCTCTGAAAACTAAATGACACACCCTTGCACGAAAAGAAATATTCCAGAACATTTTTTTTGTATTTGGAACAAGTCACGGAGCTATAGTCACACAATATTTTTCAAGAAAAAATGCTTTCTTTATGAATAATATTGCATGATAGGTGTTACTCATAGGTTTTTTTTACAAAGAAAAAGGTTTTTCTCAAAATTTTTTGAATGAGCCATAAGAAAACTGTAACTAGAGGCTATCGAAACTGAAAGCAGGTTTTCTGGAAATCAGACCAAGAATTTTGATTTTGAATTGTGGCTGGGCACAGAGTCCACCTGAACTTCGAAGCCGGAAAATAAGTGAGGAAGTCTGAAGTCTATAGGCCTTAAGCTCATAGGGCTGAAGTAGATAAGCCTAAAGTTCAAGCCTAAAACTTGACTCTTCAAAATTTCCAAACTCTTGTTCTCCTCATACAAAACTCCACATTTTACTTAATTTCCCACGAAAAATCCAATTTCCCCTAAACCTTTGTACATAAATACATATACAAAATTATTTATTTCTATATACATATTTGTCTTGTTTTTCATTTGTTAATACGACGTGCAAACTATTCGTGGTGCCTTATGATTTAAGAAGTCAAACAGCGTTTAAATACAAGATTATCTGCTCATTAGAGATAATTTGTTGTTTTTCTAATTATGATCAACTTACTTGATACAGTAATCTGTTCCATTACAATCCAACAATTCGATTTGACCAATTGAATCACCATTTATTGAACCTTGCATTCCTGGAATCAGTGAAGATTAAATGTAAGAAAGATTTTTGAATTGAGAATTATTTTAGAGAACAGGAATTGGAAGAATTTTGAATGTGTTGATAAAACTTCAGTAAAACTTTTGATTTTTTTAAAATAAAATTAAATGTAAATTTATTTTCAAACATTTATGATTTCATAAATTGTTTTCTAAACATCTGTATTACCTTCAATTTTCGCTGACTAGAATTTTGGAGACTCCTAAAATCATCAGACCTCAAAACTCGCTTTCAAATTTCATAGAAATTCGAAAATGTTTCCTAATTTTTTAAAAGCCCTTGATTTTTCTTCTACTTCCAAGTTTTACTCACCACTGTAACATTGAACAGCAAAGGCGATTCCCACAATTGTAGAGAAAATAAAAACTCGACGAGCCAACATTTTTCACCAATAAATATTCGGCCACTTTTACTTGAAACAAAAGCAAATAGAAACCCAAAATGTGTGAAAATTGAACTGCTTCCAATGGCACACCGAAGTCCAAAAATAATATTTCAATAAAAACCACAAAAACAACAAATAGAAGTGTGCATAAAAGGGGGAATGTTTACTCGCCAGATACCGAGACCACCTCCCAAACCAACCACCAAAAAAAGACAACAAAAATGTCGTCGGGTTTGGAAAAGAGAAAAGAAAAGAAAATAGTTTTGAGAACAAACAATCAGATGGAATAATATACTACTTCTTTATGTATATTTGGTATGGTAAATTGAGAGATATTAGTTGAGAGCTAGAAGGAAGGAAGAGAGCAAAAAGGGATATTGGCCTTTTTGCGAATGTGCTACTTATATTGTATACCGGCCCACTTGATTTTGCGAATATTGTCACTTGGAGAATAATAGAAAATTATTTGAGATGGAAGAATTTGGAATGAAGGGTTTGAGCTTACAGTTTCTGGAGATTTTAGGAAAAAGTTTAATAAAAATCTGGAATCTTACATTTTCAAAAGGCTTAATGATCAACAGGTTTAACTATGAATTTGCAGTCGGGCCACAATAATTCAATTTTTTTGAGTTACTCTAACTTGAACAATTCACCACGCTAACAGTTGTACCAGCTCAATGTCAGACCAGACTCAGTTTTTATTTTGTGAAAATAGAGTTGATGAAACTTGCTTCGATAAAAAACACTGTTCAAAAATAACAGAATTTGAGATCAGATGTTTTTTTATCAGAAACTTGTCTAGAATTTGTATCGTTTCTGATTTTACAGTTTGTTTCTGTGGATCAGGACAAAGCTGTACATCAAAAAAATTGCCATTTGGAACCTAAGGCCAATATGCGACCTGATAACTTATTTTCAAAAAACAAAATCCCTAATTCCTCATTCTCCCAAAAATTTATTTCTCACAGCATTTGAAATTCAGATTTGCAAACAATTCAAATATTTATGAATAATTCTGAAAAATTTTGCATCACCAAGATTTCTTTCCTGTCTACATACTCTCGAAAGATTTTTCTCATGTGACCTGAACTCAAATTCATTTTCTCAAGTGTTTTCACATGAATCCCATATTTTCAAAAACGTCATTTGATTTCTTGAACTCTGTCATCAAAAATTGAAAAAAAATCAACATAGCTTAACTTCATTCAAAAGAATCAGCAACTATTCTCAAAAAGCATTATCTGTATTAGTGTAAAGCAAAGAGAAATTACGGTTTAAAAAAATTAGCAAGCTTTTTTGATAACATTGAAGCAGTCATTATGGATGACCCATTCACCATCAACCTTTTTCCAAATTTGAAGATAAGCTCCACTTTCACGTCCCTTAGTTCCATCCAAATGATAACTCCCACGTTCGAAAGCCCAATCTCCACCACCGTTAACTTCTTCGGTGATGATCTATAAATTTTCTGATTCAGAGAGAATCTGTTGAGATACAGACATACCTGAGCAGTTTGAACACCATCAGCCATATCTTCCTTGAAATAGGCTTCGATTCCATTTCTTCCTTTAACTGGGCTTCGGCCGTTTGGCATGAAATATCCGTTTGGATCATAGACGGAGGCAGCTCCAGCAGCATCGCCAGCGTTGAAGGCTTTCATGAAGTCTTGTTGGCGGCATTTGATTTCTTGGAAGAGTTCTGGAGAAACATCTAGGTATTAGAAAATTAGGAGTAGGGATTTTAGGAGTTAGGGTACTAGCTGAATATTTCAAAAGTTAAGGAATTTTTTTTAAAGCTTTTGGAATGTTTCATCTTAACTAGAGTTTACCATATTTGAAGTTATCTTAACTTTCTACATAAAACTTTTTTTGTAACCTCAAATTTTTTTCTCAAATTTTGAAATCAGCTGATTCTATAGTAAATGTTTAGGGCTTACGCTAAAAAAGTTATCCTAACTTCACTGGAGCTTCTCAAATATTTACCTGAATCTAGAGTAAAATTGAATCGAATTTTAGAGAAGAAATTCATTTTTCAAAACAAAACTTAAATGTTTGAATTTCACTCCAGGCAATTTTTGCTCTATTTTTCAACCCGGTTATTACCATGATTTACACCGTTGAGTTGAGAATTGCTTAGCGGAATATGTCGAAAAAAGTTCATTTTGATTTTAGACAAAAACTGAAATGAATATTTGATATGCACGCGGAATACAAATGATGCGAAGACGAAAAACTAAACGACTTGTGTTTGATGATGACACTTCAAACTCACCACTCATATTTTTTTCGCCTGCAAATGACACCTCGAACAAGAGAAGAGAGGAGGCTTGTAAACGTGTGAAATTGACAAAATCTGTTTGAGACACCACACACACGTAGCCGACTATTTATATCGTTTGAGATAATTGGTGGGAAACAATTATTATTTGAGAGATTGCAAAGTATCACATTTAATAGCTTCCGCAAATTATTTGGGTCTTTTGAGATGTGGTTTGCTTGCTTGATTGTCTGTTTTTATGTGGTTATGTTGTATATATTTTGATGTCAATTACTTTTGTTTGGAAGAAGGAATGTCAAAGGATCTGGGCTGTATATGCTCCAATTTTCAGAAAAAATGCAAATTGTTTTTGAAAATTCATAACTCTAAAGCTTCCATACAAATATTATTAGTTTTTTAAGCTGCAAATTCAAAATCTATCTAATTCGATTTAACTCTTGGCTTAACTTCTGAAATAAGCTACAGTAATTTGATTCTTAGCCTTCATTATTCTAGAAACTCAAAAAGCAACATAATTAGTTAGTCTAACATTTTTTGCATCACTTGAATATAGAATAACAATTTCGAATTAGAGTAAATTCGATGCTGATCTTTTTTTTCTCTGAAATTTTTTTCTCTGAAATAAACAGCCTGCAAAATCTAGACAAAATCTATAAAACATCTGGAAAGAACTTCTGGAATTTTAGAATACAGTGAACTTTTTTTGTGCCACGATAACATACATGATTTCTGAATTTTCAGACTTTTTTCTAATTATTCAGCCCTCACAACATTTTTCATTGAAACCTGAAATCCCTCATTCAAATTCAAAATGAACTCAAAACCCCTACTCATATTCAGCTTCTCTTGAAATCTGAAACCCCCCTAACAAATTTCATATTACGAATTTTATTTTGAACAAACAACTCAACCTTATCATAAGTTGTTCATGTTATATTTTCGAATTTTAGTGAGTTTACGTATTCCAATAGTTTTCTGTTGAGTTTTCCTCTCTGCAGTCGCTCACAAATTCATTCAACTTGAAAAAAATTAGTTTGGTTTCCAAGGGATTTCAGACAAAAAAGCAAGCTTTATAAAAAAAATGGAAAAAAAACATGATACGGTTGGGAAAAAGAAAAATAAAAATGTCAAATACAACATAGAAATCGTTAAAAAAATGTGGTAAGAACAGTGTGAATAAAAGTTAGACAATATTTGACCCGCTTTTCAATGCATGGAGCATTCAAAAAACATTATACCGATGAACAAAAGTGTAGGGATTTGGATAAATATGGGGGTTTGGGCTATTTGATAAGATGAGAAATGAAAACAGACAAAACTAGAAAAAAAACATTTCAGTTTAATGACATTTGTTGTTCCAATAAAGCTCAATATTAAAAGAACAGGATAAAATTTGAATAAAAATTTAGGAAAAAAACTTGTATGAGGAACACCGTGAGATTTGGCAAATTGACTTTGTTTTTGTTTTGTATATATTTTATTTTTCGAACCACGTTACTTTGAGATATGAGCTTGGAACAAAACCATCCTGCGAATTGTCATGTCTGCAAAATATTTTTTTGGTTGAAGAAATTTCAACAAAAAAAAGCTCACTTTCTAACTCTGGTCCATCCATCACCTTCGTCTTTTTCAATCAACATTAATTTTTCACCAGCATCAATTTTGATTGTGCCGTCTTGTGTTCCTTCGAAACTAAATTGTGCAATCGCTTCACCCAATAATGGAATTGAGCATTCTTCGTAGAGCTGAAAGAATCAGATTTTGGTAAAAAAATTCTCTAATTTCTGAACTGCTTTTTTAATTTTTTCGATCAATTATGAGTTAGCCTAACTCAAATTAACAGTATATTTTCAAAATTAAAAAAAAAGAAAACCAACCTCATCTTTACCATTTCCATTGGAAATCTGATCGGGTTCCGATTCACCGCTTCCCGTAAAACTGAGACGACGACGGCTTGAATCATTATTTAATGTGTTGACACGAGATGTCACTCCACTGGAAGCCGAGGAGACAGATCGAACTGATGGTGGAGTATCCGAACCACCAACACTGTTTGCGGAAACTGAAAAAAAATGATTTGGAAATTTTTTTAAATTTTTGGTGTCTGAATGGGATAAAAGCCTCTTCGTACTAGGATAAAGCCCGAAAAATCGAAATCTTTTTTGTTGGAAAATATATGGGCTAATTCAGAAGAGTAAAAAAAAAGTAACAAATTCATTTTTGAGAATTAAAAAAATGTGGCGCCGCGAAAACTCTTAATTCAATTTGAAACAAATTTAGTAGACCAATCAAAATGCAATTCTCAATTTTTCCGCTAATTAAAAAAATTTATTTTCAAACAAAACTAACCAGTAGTTCCTAATTGTGCATTCACATCTTCTAAAAGAACACGATACTTCTGAATCTGACTTGTCAATGCATCAATCTCTCTTCCATATTGCGCAAGTTGTGGATCACAATGATTCGGATTCCCCAATTTCGGATTCTCTCGATAGGCCTGTTGCATTTTACTAACACCTTCTCTACTTTGAATCGATTTCTCACGATCACGCTCAAGTTCTGTGATCTTGCCCAAAATTTTGCGCGCTCTTTGTTGTGGTGGCAACGCTCCATAATCACCATTATCCGCCTTCTTATCATTTCCACCAAAGAATTTTTGATGCATCGATTGTTTTCGAACAACTCCTCCGCCTCCACTTTTACCATCTTTACGGCTCAAAAGTGTGCCTTTTTTCAATGTCGCATCAATATTATCGATTGATCCGCCACCCATAAATGATTGTGGATGTCCAAGATCCTCAAATACATATGGTTGTGGTCTAGGATGTCCAGATTTCATATTTTCTACAACTGTATTTGCATCATGATCCGGATCAATTTTCGCAATATCTTTACGCATATCATTATGACAACTTGCTGTAAACAATTTCACTTTTTTCTATTCTACATAATCATAGGGTATTTATAACATACCAATAATCGTATTGACACTTGCTTCCGCATCAACGCATTTGTTAAGGGCTTCAATTGTATCAAGAATACGGTTTGTGTGTAATGTTTTGTAGTGGTCCAAAAGTTGCGGCAATTTTCGATCGAAATGTGAACTTTGCTCTTCGTTTGCCTTCGCTGTCATTGCTGCATATCCTTGCTTGGATTCTTCCAACATTCCACATTTCAACTGGAAAAAATTTGGGATTGAATTTTATGTAGAGGAAATTGGGGATTTTTTTCAAAATTCAACAAACCTGATAATTATTCTTGGTCTTCTCAAGTTCAAGTCTCGAAATCTCCATATTCTTCTCAGCTTTCGCATATTTCAACATTGCAGCTTCAGTCTCTTTGAAAGTTTTACTAAAAGTACAATCTTTAAAATGAGCAACGCTATTCATAACTCACCCATAATCTTTATGCGCTCTCATCATTTCATTGATAACTGCTTGCAAATGTTTCGACATATTTCCATATTCAACTTCGAGTTGTTTTTTTGCCGATCGATATTCAGCGATTTTTGTTTGAGCATATCCAACCACATTGTTTTTCAAGTTTTCGCTAATTGTCTGAAATTTAGATTTTAGTTTTTTTTTTGAAAATTAAAAAAAAAACTGGAAATACCTCATGCTGAGTTGCAACCGGAACAATTCCATTCAAAACCTCTTGGAAACCTTTGACATATGAAACCGAGTTCCACAATTCGCTCTCGCCTTTCATTTTGATCATCGATTTTTTTGACAAGGCTCTGGAAACATAGAATTTTTTTAAATCAGAAGCTTTTCCAACTCACTTCAATTTTGATGCATATTCCATTTCTAAACTAGCACGCTCTTTTGCATAAACCACAATTCTCTCAAGTAAATCGATACCTTTACCAGTGTAATCATTGAGAGCAGGTTGTTGATCCTAGAAAAAACTATTTTTTGAAAAAAAAAATTCACATTCTACTTTTCAACCCGACCCAACCCAAAATCAAAATTTGTTTTCATTGCTGAACACAACACAAATATTGACGGCTCAAATGCAACTCGCCAATATGTATTTGATGTATTTACAAAGGTGTACGACCTATTGTTTAAGTTTTTTTTCTTGTTTGCTAGAATTTTTATTTTGATGATTTGAACAAGAATTGTTTCTACTAATTGTCTCTTTTCGGCTAGCGATGAAAGGAAATTTGACACATTTTCGAGAGAAGTAAGAAGAAGAAAAAATGAATCCTGGTTTTTTTCTAGTAAATCAATGGCAGAAAATACTTTGTTTCAATTTTTTCACAGAAATTTTTGAAATATTTATTATTATATAAGGAATTCAAATTAATTTACTAGATTCCTCTACTCCTCTCATAAACTCAAACCTTAACTACAATCCTGGCTCTAGATCTTTCCGACATACCTTATTAATAAATCCATAAATTTTATTATCATCATGATAATTGTTATTATTAAAAGTTGATTGAAACAAATCGATCATAGAAACTCTTGATAATCGAACAGTATCTCGACCAGATCGAAACATATCATATGCGCTCATACGAGACGACGAAGATGTGCTCGAAATATTATCGTTCATTATCTTCGCCCCGTGAAATCGATATCGGATAGGATAAGAGCACCAAAGAAACAACAACAAGCAAAAGACAAACGGTCGGACGACAATAAAATGGAAATTTGACAGAGGGAGCGAGCGATAGAATGCGAGCGCGCTGGAGGAAACAAATTGAATGTAATGCGGCGGGCAGAAGAAAAATCGAGAGAGGGCAGACAGGTATACTGCGCGGAAAATTATTATTATAATAATAAATATAACAGAAATGAAAATGAGAATGAAATATTATTTTTCGAGCAATAGGATTATTGACCGGCACACCGCCTAAGAACATATTGTCTAGTTAGATGAATTCAATTCAACATTTGACCAACCGAAGAATGTTTATAGTTTGAACCAGAAAGTAAATAGAGAGAATTAGACAGTGAATAATAAAATTGAATCTAGAAACTTTCGAGAATTTAAAATTTGGAAAATTATCCAAAGATTTTCAATATTCATTGTATCCAAGAAGTTTCAAAATTCAGATTACGAACTAATTTTCAAATAAAAATTCTGTAACTGGAAAATGGTTTAGTAAAATATTTTTTTGGAAAATATGTCATAGAATAAATTATTGATCGATTAGGATAATCTGTTCCTGGAGAAAAAGAGGTCCGAAGAATTATAACTTTGTGATTCCAGACTCAATTTCAGGGACATTTCAGGGACTTTCTAGATCAAAAAATTTCGGACTAACAATAAGAGAGTAATAAAAACACGCCCTAAAAACATATGAAAATTGAAAATTCTTTTGAATTCCGATACCTATTTCCTCATCTCATCTCATCTCATTTCAATAAATGATGAAAAGAAATCGTAACTACAGGTCGTCAAATCAAATCTGACGATAAATTGAATGAATTAGACAAAACGTTAACAAAAACCCATAGTTAATGTATACATTCAATCATAATAATAATGATTTTGTACAAAATATTATTTTTTTTTGCTATCAAGGGCAATAAGGTGCTGCTTTTGTTGATAACAGCTGGAATAAACAGCGGGAAGAAAAATAGTAAACTAGGAAAGGGTGTGGTTATTGTAGAGCGGAAAATTTGAATAATGTTTTTTTTTCTACAGATGGGATTTTCAAAGTCAACAAGATTTTGTTGATAGGCCAACTGTTGGTTATTTTATTCATTTTTATTTGATTCGATTCTATTCAAAACAACTTTCCGGTTTACGTAGCTATGGATGGATGGGTGGAAAAAAATTGTTTGCATAGTTTTCAGAAGACTATGACAATTTCAAAAAAAAAATGAATATTGACACAGAAATTCATAAATTGTACACCAAAAAAAGCTACAGTTTACAATTCTGAATTCTACGGCATTGTCAATTTTTCGTAAACAATTGTTTATTTTATTTTATTTTAGTATAGTTTTAGTTTTATTTTTGTGCCGAATTATTTTTTCTGATTTTTTTTCGTTGCAAAATGAATGGTGACTAGCTAACGAGAAATGTTTTAGTGATAACGGGAGAAGAACTGATATGAGTGCAAAATATTGAACCGTAATTTTATCGATCAAAATTAGTTTCACAAATTTGTATAAAATTTAATGTGCTTTAGTTTCCAAGTTTAGGTATTTTTTGAAGAATACAAGATCAAAATTGGAATGAGATAGTAAAAATTTTTCAAAAATCAAGCGCTTCAAAAACACCAGGTTCTACTAACATAGATACAAATGCACGCTGTCATTGGTTTCCGGTATTTTTCCCGAAAGATGATGATTTTTGTTTTTGGTCCGTTGATCCATGAGAAAAAATTCAAATGCTTCAAAATATTTTCAAAGATTCTCTAGTTTTTCAGACAAGATATACTATTATTTTGGTGTGAATTAGATTTTAAAAAAATCCAGATTCACTTTGTCAAACTTATCTAATTTTCAGTCAGAACTTTGCTTTTCGAAAGACTCAAACTTGGCTGAAAAAGTAAATTTTCAGAGGCAGTAAGGAGTTTTCATATGATGGGAATTTTTACCTCTTAAAAAAATCAAACTTGATTATTTTTGAACTTTTTCTGGTCCACAAAGAATGAAAAAATCTCTTTTTCAAAAATTTTTAACAGTTGGGAATTCTCAAAAAAAATTAATTGATGAAAATATTTTGTTAATATGTATTTTTCCAACCCTTTTCCCGCTCCCACCAGAAAAAACACTCACCCACAACTCGTCCCAATCGCCATTCCCATTCATCCTTTTTGCTGTTGTTGTTGGTTTGTCCGACTTATTGATAGGAAACCATCAAATGAAATACGAATCAACGAAAAACCAATTAAGAAACTTTTGCCAAAGTCTGAAAATCAATTGATATTTGTTGAAGCACAAAACAAGACGCGGAGAGAATAGAATAGAATAAAAAATCGTTGGAGGTTCGTAAAAAATGGACGATTTGAGCTTTTTTTTCGTGCAGCCTTTGTGCTGGTGGTGGTCAAGTTGAAAGAGAAATAGGAATAGGAATAGAAATAGATATGTGTGTGTGTTGGTAGAAATAGGATAGAAAACGAAGAAACAAGGAGCACAAAACAAGAAAAGATGAGGAAATATATATATGAATGATGTGAGAAGAGACACAAAAACTGAGGAAATCTCTTTCATTTGAGATAGATATCCTTACTTCTTTTTTTTTCTTCTCGAGTTCTCTTACAAAAAAAAGTGTGGCAAGGGTGAAACATATTGATTTCAAATCATATGTTTTATTTTTGTTTTGCGAGTAGAAAAAACAGAACAAAACATAAGAAATACAAGAAAATGCGGGCAGGGGCATATACATGCTGTTTGCATTGGAGCGCATTTTCTTCATCCTATGAGTCAGGCCTACGAATTACGAAATAGGCAGGAAATTGTTTTAGAAAGGGGGGGGGGGGTTAGAATGGGTTTTGATTGAAAGGGGAGGGCATTTTGAGGCTCGATTTTGTTAAGGAAAAAATCAGGAGGGTTTTTTTTTTGCCGTGTAGTTTTTAAAAATTAAAATTGCAGCCTTTTGAAGAATGTTTTTGACAGAAATTGATGGAAAATTTGGAAATTTAGGAGCTTAGGCTTATGCTGGATGTTTTTAAGTCTCAGAATTGAAACGGGGCTTGAACTTTGGGCGTATCCTTTAAGTTTACCCGCTAGGCTTCAGGCTTGGCATCTGTGCTAGGCTTTCATGTGAACTGATTTCAGGATTGAAATTCGGGCTTGGATTTTAGGCTTCGAGTTTAGGCATAAGCTTTAGGATAAACTTTTAAGCCTGAACTTCAGGCCTTTCCTTTAAATTCAGGTTTCAGGCTTATCCTTCAGTCTAACACGTCATCTAGATTCAAACGTGTCTAGCTTTCGGCCTAAACTTTAGGCTTAGCTTGTTGGATAAATAGTAGACGTTGGGCTTTTAATCTCAAGCTTTAGGCTTAAATTCAGATTTTAGCCTTGATCTTCTGGTTTTCCAATAAATTGCGGAAGTTATCTGACAAGCCGAAAACAAGAAAATTGTTGTATTTCAAAAAAGCAAACTTGAAATGAAGTGGCTCATAAAACTATACGATTTTATTTTTTCGGAAAAAAATAGTATGCAAAAATAAATACCTTGTTATCACAAGAAATGAGACATTTTATTTTTGATCGCTTAAATTAAGGAGCGAAATGTTTGCGAACATAAATTGGGTATTTTTGGGAGGTAACTAAGTAAGTAAGTATGTAAATAGAACAAATAAAAGATTAACAGTGCTGAAAAAAATTTTAGGTAAGGTACAACAGTTTTTTAATCGGTGACCAAGGAGAAACTAAAAAAAAGTAGAAAACAGAGAAAAGACAAAAGATGGGTGAAGAAAAAGAAAAAAAAGTGTTGAAGGGTGGCTGGCGAGTGAAATATAATATAAAAGTTGGAGAGTATTTGCAGGTGCGCAAAAAAAGGGCAGGGTGATAAATTTATTTATGTTCTCTTCTGTTCCAATCTGTATTTTATTTTATTATTAATGTGTTTTACAATTTGCTATAAAACAATTTCAGCAGAAAACACACAGAAGATGCGAGTAGATAATTATCAAAACTGGTCCATTTTATTGATTGTAAGTATATGTTCATAAAATAAAATCTATGAGAAAGAGACCACCGCGGTGAAAAAATAACTAATTGGATACCAGATGTGAAAGTACACACCACGTGCAAAAACCGTTTTTTTTTCCTCGTTTTTTAATGAAAAAAATGCCACATGGACATATTTAAATGGAATAAAGCGAGAACGAGAAAATGGGTTAACCAGGTGTTCTAATCGAAAAATATTATAAATTTAGAGATTGCGAGAGAGAGAGAGATAGAGAGAGAATTAGAGAAATGTCTTATCAATTTGGAAAAATTTTCAGAATTTTTCGGGGATGATTTTCTAGAAAATTATTGTTTTCTGGAAGAAGATGAATAATTTTCAGATAGAAAAAATAGAGAAATTTCTAGTTGAGTCACAATTTTAAAAATAAATATTTTTTAAAAATGATTTGATTTTGTGGGAACATGCAAAGACGATTCATATTTTGAGAGAAAATGTTTGATTAAATATGGGACCAGCCTAATTTGGGCCTAAGCTGTTCTTGGCAAGGCCTGGCCTTGTTTTTAATAGCCCACAAGACAGCCTGGACCTTTTATTTCAGAAAAGGGTGAACCAGGTGTTCTAATCTTATCAATCAGAAAAAAAATGTTCCAGATTTTTTTCTCGGAAATGATTGGGTGACTCAAAGAAAAATGAAAAGGTTTCCTGAAATTTCCAAAAAAAAAGAAAGAAACCAAAATGAAGGAAAACTAGAAAAAGAAAACAAGATGAAAGCGTCGCGTCAAAATTGGATTTCAATCAAAAAGCAGGAGGCAATAGAAAAGGTTGGCAAATGACTAATTTATCCCGCGCACAAATTTTTGAATACAAGGCGGCCCTTCGGCGGCGTATACACGCGCATATACACACTTCATCGAATTGAACAGACATATTAGATTGAAGAGGAAACGGCCGAGAAAACGCACCAGTCAGCCCCCCAAACGAAGAAAATAGTGTGGAGAATAGAAGAGAGTTGCGGGGGGTTAGAGAAAGAATGAAATTTGTGGTGGTGAAGAAGAGACACATTGGTCAATTTTTGCGGCCAGATGTTCAAATAATGAATTCGAGAAGGAGAAGAAGAAGATGAAGGAAGGAGAAATTATCCACGTATTACATTTTTATGACACGTGTTTGAGTAGTTTTTGTTTCGCGGAGATTAATGTTATTAGATTAATGCAATTTTTTTCGAAACAAAAAAAAATGTTTAGGTCATCTGCGAAAAAATTTCAATAAATCATATGAATGGAATTTTTTCAGAAACGAAAATGGGACATTTTTGAAGGTAGGCAGATTAGTATAGAAATTCATAGAACAACACAATCTTCATAGGCCCGGCTAAGGTCAGAGAGCTATATCCAAGTTTTTTTTTTACTTAAAAAATGTATAGAAAATAGTTTTATCAGAAGAAACTGAAAATTCAGAGCGTTCAAACAAAAATTCATTATTTCAGCACAGCACAATTTTTTTTTCAAATAAAATGTTTGTTACATTCTCAATTTATTACAAAATAATGATTTCTCATGGCCCCATTAATTTTTTTCATTAAAAATGTTATTTGATGACTCATGTCTTTAAACGGTTTTATTTTTAATGAAAAAATTGTCAATCAAAAAATTTTTGAAACAAGCAAAACATTAAAAATGCGAACACTTCACTTTAAAATTCATGAATCGATTTCAATTGTTTCATAATGAAAAATGAAAACTTGTTTTAAAATTTAAAAAAAAACTATTTTTTTCCATCTGAAAATAGAGAAAATAGAATAACAAGAGATTGAATTGCGAAATAAATAAAAAATGCGCATGCAGGAAAAATTATTGATTGGACCTGGAAAACTCTGAAAACAAAACACACACATTTCCTAATTTTTCATTTGAAAAAACTGGTTTTGACAAACGAGAAAAAGAGGGGAAAAGAGACTATTGCGAGCATTAATTGGCGTTTTTATGTTGAAGAAACATTTGTTGTAAAAATAAGATGATTATCCACAATTATTTTACATATTTCTCGTTAGTCAGTTTTCGAATTTTGATATTTTGAACTAGAAATTTGAGAATTCAGAGAAGAAAATTGAAACTGGAATTTGAATAAATCAAAATAGAAAAGAAATAAAATGATCTTCTAGATATTCTGATCTGTTACAACCATAAAGTGAAGTGCACTAGAAAAATTGCGCAACACACTTTTTTTGGCAAATGTGAAAATATATTACTGGGTTGATTTCTATCAATAAATGGGAAACACAGAATTTTCAGATAACTTTTTGAAATTAAATGATTCCAGATGGAAATCGGTTTTAATTTGTTTTTTTTTTCTGAATAGGAGAGAGAATAATTTCTTACGAAATCTTAACATTTTTTGAATCAAATTCAGTGAACAAATTTTGATGTTACTTCGAAAAAACTGATCTCTTCAACAATTATGATTGAAACCTAATTTGAGACTTGAAAAAAAATTATGAAGTTCAGATAAAGAGTTTGGAAGCCTTCTTGGGATTTTTCAGGTCCAAAAATTTCAGAAAAAAAAGAGAAAGATTTTCTTGATTACACATTTTTGATTGAAGTGATTCAGAAAAGAAAAAAATCATTTAAAAATGTTTGAAAAACAAAAAATTAAACCAAGAAAAAATTCTAGATTTATGATAAATCAATTTTTCTCAAAAACATTTTTTTCTGAATCACCCAATAAAAACAACCGAAGAAAAAAAAAATAACAAAATTTTCAAAAAGTACATATTATAAGAAAAATTCACTCTTCAAAAAAATGCGGTGGAAAAGGAATTTCGAAAAAAAAAGTGTAGAGTCGTTGAACAAACAGTTTCACTTCTTCAATTCAACCCAAAACTATATAAATATATGTTTTTTTTCTTTTTTTTTTCTTCAGCGAAGTAATAAATTTTAAAAAACGCTGAAAAAATGCTGAAAATTACTGAAAACTGAAGGCTTTTCGGCACAAAAATTTGATCTAGAAAAAAGAAAAATGTGGAATTATGAAACAATTTTTCCCTTGCGTTACTTATTTGATAAAGGAAAAAAAGTAATTTAGAGGTCATCAAATTAATTAAAGGACCACCAACCAAGAAAACTACACATTTTGGTGAGAAAAAAGGAGAGAGTGTAACTAAAGAGAGAATCGAGAAAAAAAGAGGAAACAAAAAGGGAACACCCATGAATGGTCAAGATGAAAGAAGAGGATTATTGATCGGAAGAGGAAGAAGAGGGCCGGTTTATTTATGTACATATAAATAAATAAATATATAGGAGCCAAGAGGTTGGTACTTGAGAAGGAAGAATAACCGTTTTGGTCACTCTTATTCATGTTATTATGTACTTGGCAGAAATGAATTATTATAAAATAAAATAAAATAAAATGAAACAACATTTTTTGTCCGACATCGCGCCAAAATACTTGTCCTTTGAGAATAATACTTTCGCTTTTGGTTTTTGGCAACAAAAACTTTTTTTTTCCAAATTCGTATGTATACAAGAAAAATGTATGATGGATTAGAAGGAAAAAAAAATCGAAAAGTGAGGTTGACCCTTTTTTTTCTCAACTTTTTTTTGTGTGTTGTGTTTGAGAAGGTCATATTCAATCGTCTGAATCGAGAGTTTTTTCGGGTTGACACACACAACACCGGACAGTCAATCATGTGATTTCAGAGAAGAAGAAAAACGGTTTTTTTTTCGCTTGAAAAAATATATTGAAGGGAAAGTTAGACCAAATTTTTTGTAGTAAAATTGTGGTACTTGTGGGAACAATTTTCAGCACTAAAATTGGCTTTAGAAAAGTTAAAGTATTAAAACTGTTCTCTGAAAATTTTAGGAAAGTTAGGAATTTTTCTAGATCCCAATCCAGTGATTTCTAGTATTTTCAGGGGTTTCAGCACACAAATTGGGTTAATAAAAGTTCTGAGGCTCTAATCAATTTTGGAACTCTTTTCTAGAACATTCTAGATCATTGAAAATTCGATCTAAACCCAGATTCATTGCTGTAATTCAAGAAATCAGTGATTTTCAGTGGGTTCTGGTATTTCCAGCACATATTTTTGTCTAGAAAAGTTTTTATCTTTTTTGAAGGGATATATAACATATTGGAATTATTTCATATGAATTCCAGAATTTTCAAACGTTTTCTAATGTCTGAAAGTTTAGAAAAATATATTTTTCCCTCAGACTTTTTAACAAAAAATCCCTAGAAGCTTTTATATTTACGAGGTATCCTCAATTTTTTTTTCAAAAAGATAAATTCTTTTCCAAGCCTCTAACCTCTGACAAAACATAAGTGAAGTAAATCAAGCAAACAGCAAAATCAATATCCAAAAAAAGCATTGAGTCAGTCAGTTTTTTCTTATATTTACTTTATTTCTTTACTAACAAAAGTTTATATGATTCATTCATGTTTTTTGTAGGTGGAAAGAAAGGCCACCAATTATGGCGTATAAATGTCAACTTTTGTGCCAGACGTCACCAAAAGTGTATTTGTATTGGGGTGTAAAGCAGTGCACATAATAGAAGAGGGTGTTTGAATTGAGGAAAGTGTCGGACCGCGGTGCCCTTTTGACCAGATATGGAATTTGTTTGATGTGAAGCTACAAATTATTTGTTATATTTGAATGGAACTTGGGAGGAAAAATACCTGGCAATCAAATTATTATTTGTTGTGACATAATGTCGTTGCAATGGTTTCATTCTTCCTCGAATTCCGATTGGATCAATAATCATTTTTTCAAGGTCCACAATTTTAATCTCATGCTGAAAAATTTTTTTTTTCAGAAAAAGGAAAAGACAAAAACACCTACAGATATTCCTGTTTGCTCATTTTCATGGTTCAAATCTACATTCTCCAAACTGACGTATAAAGTTCTGGAAAAAAATAAAATTTTCAGAGGTCCCAATTTTGCACAATGTTTATAATAATTGTTTTTCTCATTATTAAATTTTAGTACATAATTTTTTGTATTTTCAATAGTCTGAAAGTAGTTCTCAAGTTGTTATGTTATTTTTGACCTCAAAGTCATAAAAATTTGTTTTCGATTGAAATCTTGTTTTCTAGCCCAAACTCATACTTCTGATTTGGAGCCAAGGAAATGAAATCAATTTGTCCGGAAAAATCGATATGATAATCTTGAAAATCAAATTGTTTCATCAGATTTTCCACACTTTCTTGTTCTTGTTCTTCTTCGCCTTCTTCTTCACGTTCCCTGAAAAAATCAAGAACTTTTTCCCCTCAAATCATAACACAAAATTCCGCGACACGTTTAAACCGCACCTTAAAGAAGTTCATAAGCTTCTTTAGATTGCCCAAATTTCACACTCCCTCGGAAACCAAAAAAAAACTTACTCATTTTCATTATTTCGTTTTTCGCCTCCATATCTATTCATAGATAAGGCATCGGTTAACAATTTTTGGTCGATGACTTTGAAGCATACACGATTGGCATATTTTTCGCAAACATATATCAATAACTTTTGTGACTCACAATGACAAACACATTGACACGCTGAATGAGGAAAATATTTTTTGGGTTGTGTTTTGGTCAGAGAAATGGGAAACATTGAAAAAAGCTTCTTCAGGCTGGCCCGAAAGATAGAAGATTTTCAGAAAATGTTTTTGATCTACCTAGAAAAAGGTTTGATTGAGCTTTATAAAGTAGATCAAAAAGATTTTTCTCTAAATATCTCGGTAGTCCTTAATCTCAAAAAGTTCATTAAAAAAACCTACATATTTTTCCACCGTACTCTTCCTCAGTCAAAATATGTTTCAAATAACAATGATAACACTCCTGCTCTTTGTCAAGAATTTGCTTCAATTCAGTGACGTCACCATCATCGATATTTGCATTTAATTGCAGCTCATCAACCTTATCACGAAGAGACTGTAAAACATTGTACATAACACGATCAAAAAAAAGTTATTGCTTTCTTTCAAGTCCAAAAATTTCATTTCTTTTCTTCTTTTTTGTTGAAATGTTATCAGTTTAATTTTCTTTTGATGTTTTGAGCAGTGATTAATTAAACAGAGCTCACCTTGCCTTCCTGTTTTGCTTGTTCTGATAATTGTACAATTCGTCGGAATCTTGGTGACACTCGATTTGTGACCAATGGCATGCAAACTATTCCAGATTTATTCAAAAATCTGAAAATCGTTTTTTTTCCAGTCCACATAAAAAAAAGCTTACCTGACAATCGGAATCAACAAAGATTCTGAAGTGATTCTTTCCACAGAACATAGCCAGATTTGAGAAATCGATGATCCAAGGGGTGAACTAGAGAAAAATAATGGAATTTTCGTTTCAAATTTTGAACTCACTTGAAATTGAAGCGATGAATTTCACCAACAAGAATATGTTTTTCATCATACCAACAAGCATCGAAAGAAACTGGATTTGATGGAACTCTACTTACAAAATGAACCTCATCTTTATCGTCTGCAGAAAAAAAAAATAATTTTTTTTGTTGGAAGTGAGACTTACCTATGGAAAATATTGCGACTTCTCCACTTCCATCGTATTTTTCACCATTCAACAAAATCTGAAAATTTTTGTTTTTTTTTCGTAATTTTGAAGGTGGTTTGGAAGTTAATGACATTTGGTTTTTTGAATTTTTTTTAAATTCTAATAATAATTTCTAATTAGACAAACCTTCTGACCACTCGGTGAAAATGAAGCATTTCTAATATCAATCCAGTGAAGTGTTTTCTCAACAGTTCTTTCGTGCAAAAATTCCAATGGCTCATTTCGATAAAGCTATAAATTTTTTTTCTAAAATTGAAATAAAATATATTTTCTCTGCTCACACAAAAATGTGCATTCTCTCCTGTTACCAGAAAATATTTCCCATCATTCGAAAAAACACAAAACTTTGTTGGATATTCGAAATCATCAATTGTAGATGTCAATCGCTTTGGTATCTTGTCTTTGAAATAACAAAATTCATCGAAATAACTTTCTGCTACCTGAAAAAACATATTTATATTAAAAATTATACTATTTATTACAGTATTTACCATTAAAGGATCATCAAACCATAGATAATATTTTTCAAAATATGATTTCCAAACCCAATCATCAATACAAGCATATCTCCAATGTTGTGAAACTTGAGTACACGCTCGTAGTTCCTGAAAATATTTCCTATAAATTATGTTTTTCACAATGTCAACTTACATGATATTCGAGATACTTGAAAATTTCTTGAAGAATTTCATATGGAAGATGGACCATTTTATATGTGGAGATTATAAATTAGATAAAAATCAATGAGCAAAATATGTTTGTTAGAAAATAGATTGTAAAAAAAGAGATATTCGTCCACTTTTCTTCAAACAAAACGTGAGTTACGAGAGGTTTAGAGAAAGATGGATAAAAAACAATGGGAAGATATATGTAAACTCACGAGGGATAGGTAAAAATTCATGGAGAACAACTGAATGCCAAGGAAAAAATTTGCTATAAAAATTTTGAAAGGGTTTGCAGATTTTAGAAAAACGTGGAAACAATACAGAAATTAGAGATTACCTAAAATGTAGAGAATCCAGACAATAAAACAGATTTCCGTATTTTTCAAAATGGGAATGTTCCCTACACTTGTAAAAAACAATTTTAAGAATTTATAAGATTCAGATTCAAAAGTCTGAACAAAATTTGTATTTCAAAAGTTCAGGACAAAAACACACTCTTTTAGGGAATAAAACAGCAACAATGAAACACACAATTTTTTGAAGAGAGTGTGTGACATGCCACTTTTATCAATAGGGCGCACTTTCATTTTTACTTTTGTTTTCTTGTTTTTGTTTTTCGTATTTTGTATTTTTTGTTATTTTTTTCATGAATTTGAATGAAACTTGTTGTAAAATTTATATTTATTTTTTTTTCTTAGTACAAGAAAAACAAGTTTAATTAAATTTCGATAGTTTCATACCAAAACGGTAATTTTATGAAAAAATGTACTTTCTTGAATTTTTCTTCCCTTCAAAGATGCAGTCCGAGCAAAAAAAGTGTTATGCTAATTTGAAGTTCATAGGTACATCTTCCTATTTTATCATTTTCCTGGTTCTGCCAAAATTTAATTACTCACTCATTCCAATTTTCTCAAAAAAATTCACTGATAAAAAAAAAAGCAAACTCGTGCAAAACACTTTTCCTTTCCTTTGTGAGTTTCAATTTTTCTCTCTCTTCGTAAAATTTTTTATTGCATTTCCTCATGTTTGACATTGTCAAATCTACTGTATTCTGTTTAACATATGATTCATATACAATATTTTGATTTCGAATAACATTTTTTGAGATTTTTTACACCCACCTTTTTGAAATTTTTGTGACTAATGGTTTTTGAAACAAAATATCGATAATAAAGTGCATTCCATCAAGCTCATTAAGTTTTTTATCGAAAAATTTTTGCTTTCAAATTTCAATTTTTTTTTAATTTCACAATTCTTCACAACATATTCACTCTGAAAAATTTAGCCAAAGAAAAATATTGAAACTGATAAATTTGGAATGCTCATAAATAGAAGGGCGTCGGTTTGTCGTTTTGTTAAACACACTTTGGTCTTTCGCAAATTTTGTTATCGTAGAATTTTCGTTCATGAATAAGTTTTTGGCGGTTTTTCGAATATATAGTTTTATCGTAAATTTTTATTTTGACTTTTTGAAACTTTGAAAACACCACACGTTGTTTTTCTTTTTGATTTATGTAGATCAGATATCAAAATATTGTACCAGAATTTTTTTTATTCAGAGAAAATTGTTTCTGATCTAACACAATATTTTGAAAAGCTTGAAGCCTAGAGTTCGCTGTGTTTTTGTGAAAAAAAACTTCAAATCGCCAACATTTTTAATCTACCTGAAAGTTTTAAAATATTCGAAGTCTAGTTTGAGATAGCAAACTACATACATTCAACTTTGTTGACTTTTTGCCAGTTCGATCTTGATTCAAGTTTTATTGTTTTTTGAAACTGTTACTTTTTTATGATTTTATAAACATTCATTTTTTTATATGGTAACGCCCTAGCATATATTTGTTCCAAATTTTGATAAATGCTTTTTTTTTCTTGCAAAAAATGTTGCATCTATGTATTGTTCTTTTTTGTTTCAATTCTATTTCTATAAAAACACTTATAGTATAATATTTTTTGAATATCGATTTTCAAGAATTTTCATTAGACAATGCTCAATAAAAAATTGAGTTCAATTTCGATTCAGAAAATTTTATAACATTTACGCGCCATTAACTTTTTTCTTATCATTTACAATTTCTATTGTGCAAAATGAAAACGATTTTTCTTTTGCTTTTTTTTTTTAACTTGTTGGATTTTTTTGCTTCTTCCAAAGTCTTCTCACAAATATTCTTTCAAAAAAATCGCATTATTTTCAGATGAGGGTACCTCGTGGTATAGGAATCGTATTCATAGCCACAATATCATTAGCACTGGTTGCTGCTTTGATTCTTGTGATTGTTTTGGTTTCACGAGGTTCAGATCCAAGTCAGTTTTTTCTTACATATATTCCGATTTTCATGATGATTTTAAAGGTACGCTTCCATCAAGAACAATAACAATAGGATTATGTAACGGAGTTGATGGTTATTCTTCAGCTTCGAGTAAATCATTCCGATTTAAACGTGACGTATCTGGATGTAATTTTGATACGGTAAGTTTAAGTTGAAATATATTCCAAGTAAAATATCTGTCAATTTTTGAAACATATTCAGATCAAACAAAATGCATCATCATTTTTGCAACAAGCTGATAGTACAAGTCAATATCGTATTATGAGTTATTCATCGGATTCAACTGTAAGTCATAAGTTTTTCTATTGACGATGAGTACTACTTTTGAAAAATTCCAGATTTCTGAACCTGTCTCTCAAACTGTTGCTCTCTCATATTTGCAATCTCTGATCATCGGCACATCCAAAGGAATCAGTCAATCAAGGTATTTTCTGACATTAAGATTTCTGAAAATCAATCAATTTCAGAGCTATGCAATCATATCAATCATTAACCGATACTGGCACCAAAGATTTGGTATTCTTCGCGCCATGTTCAACAGATTATGCGTGAGCTTAGCGTTTAATTTTCCAGGTGAAAATTATTTTTTCAGTGATTTTGATACCGATAAGACAAACATCACAAACGTTTTGAATGCGGTTGATAAAAATGAAAAATATGTTATTATTTCAACAACTATGAATGCATCAGCTATGAATCAAGTTTATGGAGAGAATAATCATAATATTGCAAATGATGTGACTAATATCACTCAATCAATTAACAGTGCACTTGGATTAACAAGTAAGATTTGGTGGGCGGGAAAAGGGGTTAAGGTTGTGGATTCGAAAATTATAATTTGAACTCTACATAAATTAGATCTACATATATGTAGATCCAATTTGTCAAGGAATCGTCCCTTCAAAACTTCTATGCCAAGTAGTCCAGCTTAGAGAAGCTAGTTCTCCAGTAGCCTCGCCTATTGAGCGTAGTGAGCTACTTTTGAGCTCAAAAAATTCCGATTTGGTTTTTATCTAAAAGTTTACTCTGGCTGACAATTGTGATTAGTGTTAGGAAACAATTTATCTCTGGCCTGAAAATCCTGAATTTTTAGGAATCAATATAAAATATATTTTAAAATGTTTTAACAAATCATTTTTTCCAGCTACAACAACCCAAACGCCATCAACGACAACTCCAACAAGTACGAATCAGCAGAGCACCTCCAGTGAAGTTACCACACCACTCCCCACCCAAACCCCTCCCATCACATCCCGACCCATCTCAAGCACCACCCATGTCCCAATTAAAACCAGTGTCAACCCCATGACCTCAGCCCATACCACAACAACTAAAAAAAGCCCAACAACTACCACCAAGGGAAAATCTACGATTACTAGTTCTACAAAAAATGTGGCTACTTCTTCTAGTAGTGCTCCAACTTCGCAATCTTTTTCAACTACGGTTGAAACAACATTGAAAAGTTCCACTGTTCCTCAAACTAGTTCCTTACCATTAACATCGACTGCTGGACCATCAAGTACTGTGAAGCAACAAACTTCGAGCTCTGTTTCTTTGAGTTCGACAACTATCCTAACAAAAACATCTACTGTATCTCAAACCAGTTCAATCGGAACTACGCCATCTGGAAGTTCGACTTCTTCGAGCACCATTCCAGTTGTAACAACATCAGCAAGTGGAAGTTCAACCGTTCCATCAACAAAAAATCCAGGAACGACAGTAGTCAGCTCAACACCACAATCAAGTTCAATCGGAACAACTGCCCCTGGAATTTCAACTATTGTGTTAACTTCAACGCAATCCACTCAAGCTGGTTCAAGTTCTGCGGGAACCTCTCCAGTAACATCAACTTCTGGACCGCAATCTAGTTCAGTTGGAACAACTGTTATTGGAAGTTCGACAGCCTTAGCTGGTAGTTCGAGCCCTGTTCCGTCAACATCGATAGGAACAACTGTTTCTGGAAGTTCCACTTTTGCGTCAAAATCAACGCAATCCACGCAAGCTGGTTCAAGTTCCGCGGGAACCTCTCCAGCAACAACAGTAGTCACATCAACTTCTGGGCCACAATCTAGTTCAGTGGGAACAACTAACTCTGGAAGTTCAACGATTTCTGGATCTAGTTCAAGCCCTGTACCATCAACATCGATTGGAACAACAGTAGTCACATCAACTTCTGGACCGCAATCTAGTTCAGCCGGAACTACTATTTCTGGAAGTTCAACATTCTCAGCTGGTAGTTCGAGTCCCGTACCATCAACATCTACAGGAACAACTGTTTCTGGAAGTTCCACCTTTGCTTCAACATCAACGCAATCCACTCAAGCTGGTTCAAGTTCTGCGGGAACCTCTTCAGCCACAACAGTAGTCACATCCACTCCTGGACCGCAGTCAAGTTCAGTGGGAACAACTTCTATTGGTAGTTCAACATCCTCAGCTGGTAGTTCGAGTCATGTACCATCAACGTCGATTGGAACAACTGTTTCTGGAAGTTCAGCTCAAACTACCTCCGTGGGAACCTCTCCAGCAACAACAGTGATCACATCCACTCCTGGACCGCAATCTAGTTCAGCCGGAACTACTATTACTGGAAGTTCAACGATCTCGGGATCTAGTTCAAGCCCTGTACCATCAACATCGATAGGGACAACAGTAGTCACATCCACTTCAGGACCGCAATCTAGTTCAGTGGAAACAACTAATTCTGGAAGTTCAACGCTTTCTGGATCAAGTTCAACTCCTGTACCATCAACTTCAATTGGAACAACAGTAGTCACATCCACTTCTGGGCCACAATCTAGTTCATCTCAAACCACTGTTATTGGAAGTTCAACGCTCTCTGGATCAAGTTCAACAGTATCAGGAAGCTCATCTGGTACTACTCCTAGTAGTTCGACTATAACTGGATCAAGTTCATCAACACCAGTCCTGACAACTATTTCTTCTGGAACAACAGTTCCACAATCTAGTTCAGCAGGAACCACTGCTTCCGGGTCTTCAACTGTAACACCAATCGGAACAACAGTTTCAGGAAGTTCTACAGCATCTTCACAAACGGGAACATCATCCGGATCCACCCAAGCTGGAACCACCAATTTGTACTCATCAACAACTCCTGTTGGACAATCAAGTTCAGCTGGAACAACAATTCTAGGAAGCTCAACATCATCTAGTTCAACTCAAGCTGGAATTACTGGATCATCGACATCTTCTGGATCCACCCAAGCTGGAACATCTGGATCTACAATTCCCCAATCCAGTACTACCACTTCCCTCTCTTCCACCACCCCAGAACCCACCCAAATTTCCCAAAGTTCAACTTCTGGATCGACAGCATCGTCGGGCACCACAATTGTAACAGGTGAAACAAATTTGTGATGTTTTTTGTGTTGTTTTCCACTTCCTTAATTGTTCACAATCTCTTTTCAACAAAATACATGTAGAATAGAATATTATCTGAAAAGGCTTCTGAAATATTCTCCCGAGTTACCTGTCGAAGTTCAAGCAAGTCTAGGATTCTAACCGTTGATTTTTCAGAGTCAACATCTCCAAGTTCAAATGCACCAACTTCTCAAAACCCAGTGACAAGCCAACCATCATCAGCGGCTCCAATGACATCAGTTCCAACTTCAAAACCAACCACAAATGCTGCAACAACACAATCTGTTCAAACATCGACAGTTGCTGGAAGCACACAAGGTTCAACTCCAGTTATCAGCAGTACAATCTCATCTAGTTCGGGAACTACAGTAGTTGGCTCAACCGCAGTGCCGAATACTGGAAGCACTTCATCGCAATCTTCAACTGTCGCTGGAAGCACAATCTATCAATCTTCAAGTTCGGGAACTACTGTAGCTGGTTCAACTTCTTTACCAAATACCGGAAGTACTTCTTCACAAACAGCCGCTGGAACAACAGTTCAAGGATCAACCACAGTGCCATCAACTGGAAGTACTAACCAGCAAACATCAACAGTTTCTGGAAGCACTGCATCTGGTTCAACTAACATGCCGAATACTGGCAGCACAAATCAACAAACATCGACGGTTGCAGGAACTACTGTAACTGGTTCAACTATCATTCCGAATACCGGAAGTACTTCTTCACAATCATCAACAGTTGCGGGATCAACTGCAACTCAAGGATCAACAACAGTTGCAGCAACTGGCAGCACAAACCAACAAACTTCGACCGTTTCTGGAAGCACTGTAGCCTCGTCAACTATCTTGCCAAACACTGGTAGCACGCCTTCACAATCTTCTACTGTTGCTGGATCAACTGTAACTCAAGGATCAACAACAGTTTCAGCCACTGGCAGTACAAATCAACAAACATCAACTGTTTCTGGAAGCACATATTCTGGTTCAACAGCTGCACCTAACACTGGCAGTACAATTATTCAATCATCCACAATTTCTGGAAGCACAGTATCTGGATCTACTTTGGTCCCAGCCACTGGTAGCACAAATCAACAAACATCGACCGTTTCTGGAAGCACATTTTCGGGATCAACTGCGGCACCTGCTACTGGAAGCACAGTTATTCAATCCTCAACAGTCTCTGGAAGTACCGTGTCGGGATCAACCGCGAGTGGAAGTACAATCCAACAAACTTCAACCATTTCTGGAAGCACATATTCTGGTTCAACAGCTGCACCGAACACAGGCAGTACCGTTATTCAATCGTCGACATCTGCTGGAACAGGATCAACAGCTGCCCCTAACACTGGAAGTACAATTTCTCAATCATCAACATCTTCCGGAAGCACAATTTCAGGATCAACAGCTGCCCCTAACACAGGCAGTACTGTTATTCAATCGTCGACATCTGCTGGAACAGGATCAACAGCTGCACCAAATATTGGAAGCACAGTCCAACAAACTTCAACCATTGCTGGAAGCACATATTCCGGTTCAACCGCTGCACCAAATACTGGAAGTACCATTATTCAATCATCAACATCTTCCGGAACTACTGTATCAGGATCTACAATTCAACAAACTTCAACAATTTCTGGAAGCACATATTCCGGTTCAACAGCTGCACCAAACACTGGCAGTACTGTTATTCAATCATCGACATTTGCTGGAACAGGATCAACAGCTGCTCCCAACACGGGAAGTACAAGCTCTCAATCGTCGACAGTTTCTGGAAGTACCGTGTCAGGATCAACCGCAAGTGGAAGTACAATCCAACAATCTTCCACAGTTTCTGGAAGCACATACTCCGGTTCATCCGCTGCTCCCAACACTGGAAGTACAAGCTCTCAATCGTCGACAGTTTCTGGAAGTACAATTTCGGGATCAACAGCTGCACCAAATACTGGAAGTACTGTTATTCAGTCGTCGACAGCCTCTGGAAGTACTATCTCGGGATCAACAGCTGCTCCCAACACTGGAAGTACAAGCTCTCAATCGTCCACAGTTTCTGGAAGTACCGTGTCAGGATCAACCGCAACTGGAAGTACAATCCAACAATCTTCCACAGTTTCCGGAAGCACTATCTCAGGATCAACAGCTGCACCAAATACTGGTAGCACAGTCATTCAATCATCGACACCTCCCGGAAGCACTATCTCAGGATCAACAGCTGCTCCCAACACTGGCAGTACTGTTATTCAATCATCGACATCCGCTGGAACAGGTTCAACAGCTGCAAGTACAATCCAACAATCTTCTACTGTTTCGGGTAGCACAATATCAGGATCAACAGCTGCGCCTAACACTGGAAGTACAATTTCTCAATCATCAACATCTTCTGGAAGCACTATCTCAGGATCAACCGCAACTGGAAGTACAGTCCAACAATCATCCACAGTTTCTGGAAGCACTGTATCAGGTTCAACAGCTGTGCCTAACACCGGAAGCACAATTTCTCAATCATCAACATCTTCTGGTAGCACCGTTTCTGGATCGACAGCTGTTCCTAACACAGGCAGTACTGTTATTCAATCGTCAACATCTTCAGGAAGCACTGTATCAGGTTCAACAGCTGTACCTAACACTGGCAGTACCATTATTCAATCATCGACCATTTCTGGAAGCACTGTATCTGGATCCACTGTGGCACCAGCAACAGGTAGTACAATCCAACAATCATCCACAATTTCTGGAAGCACTTTATCAGGTTCAACAGCTGTGCCTAACACTGGAAGTACAATTATTCAGTCATCAACATCTTCCGGAACTACTGTATCAGGATCGACAAACGTTCCAGTAACAGGAAGCACATCTTCACAATCATCAACAGTTTCTGGAAGCACAGTGCAATCGACAACTTTCTCTCCCACATCTACACCTTTGCTTTCAACAACACCCGCAACACGTGAGTTATTTTGCAATTTCTATTTCAAAAAAGTAATTATGTTCATTTTTTCAGTGAAAAACATCACTTGCCTCATTTTATTTGACGCCCTCACCGCTGGAAATGATAAAACCATAAATGATGCGGTAAATTTCAAAAACAAATCACTGAAGTAAAATCACGACATGTTACAGAATCGAGCTTTTGCGAAATCAGTCGGAGATCGTTTGTTCAATGTTTCCAATTTTGCTGGACAAATGTATCAATTTGGATATAGTAATGATTTAACAGATGAGGGTAATCCAGAATGGAATGCTTATGATAAAAGTAACTTTGATTCCAAACAAGTTGACTATGATACCGAAATCGATATCAATATTTCTGAGTTAGTTTAATATCTCAGCTAGAAAATATTCGTTTTGTTTTTTCAGCATCAACCCAATTTTCACAGCATCATCTTGGTCAATTAAACCTACATCTCCAACTTGTGCGATAATCATTTCAGCGTGAGTAGAAATTCAGGCTCTAACTGGCAAAAAAGGGTTTTAAGGAAAACCTTTCGCTCAGATTGAAATTCATAAGTTTTTTTCAATTTTTTAGGTACACTGATGCAATCAATCCCGCACTTCAGAACAATTATAATGCATTTGATCATGTTATCGGTGTAACTATTCGAGGTAACCCACACATCTAAACCTTTTTCATAATTGCAAAATTTACAGATGCTACCGATGTAACTGGTGTTACAAATATTGTTTCTGCATCTAAAATGTCAGACGATGATGTTATTAACGTTGCCAATGCAGTTCTACAGTATGCTGTATAATAATCTAGGTCACAAAAATCCAATTTCTTCTCAAATGTTCAAAAACGTGTGCTTATTTAATCCCCATTCCCATTTGTCTTCCCATTAGAATAAATATCAAATCAAATCTAATTTCAATTTTAATTTCGAGATCCAACAAATTTAACGATTATTAGTTCACCTTTTAATTAATCAATCTAACCGTTTCTATTCCAAATGTAATACAATAAAATAACAATCGCCAAAAAAAACATTAGTTAGTTGGTAGAAAAAAGAGGGAGAGACATTACTTGTCCTACACTCTCCTCCTCTTTCAAAAAAAAAAAAAGAATCAGTTTGCTTATTCTTCTTTTTTTCTTTTTTTATTCATTCATCTGATCCTCTTCACTTTTCCCCTCTCATTTTTTGTATTTTATTCTTTGTGTTTTTTTTTCGAAATTTTTATATATATTTTTATATATTTATATATATTTTTATATACTCACCTCATTTTGGTCATATTTTTTGTCTGATATGAAACTGTAATATTTTTCGATTCTTTTGAAATGAAAAGAAGCCTTCTTCATCATATCACACCTTTGTTGGAAATTTATCACCGTTTTTCTTTTGTAATGAAATATTCGAATATTTATTGCGTTGATGATATAATTAAGTGCCTCAAAAATCGGATAAAAACTTTTGTGGAACACACATTTTCCTCATTTTCTTTATTTTTATTCTGTAAGATTCTAGTTTCTGATTTTTCTGAAAGTTTTGTTTTTCAAATATTTTTCCCTATCTGAAAATTAAAATTTTCTGTAACATCTTATCACGAAAATAATTGTAGCATTTTCTAGATTTCCATTTTCCATATTTGAAAATAGTTTCCCAGTAGATCAAATTCTAGATTTTGTTTCTGTAAAATTTCATATGGAATTTATATACATTTCAAAAATCCAAGTAGATCAAATTTCTGGCTTGAAATTCAGGTTACTGTAGATCAAATTTAAGCGCGAAAATATTAAAATTTGAATAACACATGAAAAATTCAAAAAAATCCGTACAGAAATCAAATTTGGCACTAGATATTCTTACTGTAGATGTGGCGCAATTTTAAGAATTTTATTTTCAGCCCTGGCCCTGATATTTTCCATTTAAAATATACTATTGTCAAAATTCTGTTATCTACTCTCTAAATTTCTTGTTTCACACCATTTTACGATATCAGACTATAAACCTTTGGTAGGTCATCTGTTCAATTTGCCAAAATGGAAATTATTCCGTATTTTGAAAATGCGTCATTTCTCTCCAAATAAAATAAAATAAAATAATAACAAGCTTTATGATAAACAGGAAGGTTGCAAGCTTGTTAATAACAATTGTATCGTTGGGTGTGTGCGTTATCTTCTTCTCCTTCTTTATTTTTCTCCATATTTTTCATTCTTATTATTATTAATATTATTGTTTTCTTTTTTTTTCTTCCCTCACTTAATCCTCCTCTCACTGTATATCAGCAAAAAAAGAGAGAAAACTAAAGCAGAAACGCACGCCATCAAGATTTAGACATCGATTGATCTTTTTTTTCGGCTGCTTGCTTGCATGCCTCCGCCCCCTTCCAATTCTCTCCCCCCATTTTTTGCTGTCCCCCCGATATCTCACAAAATTTCGCCGTCAAACGTCACTGCTTCTACCCAACCCACCCACTCATGAATAAGTTATCTCTTATCATTTTGTCCGTTCACCTTTTCCTTTTTTTCCTTATTCGGCTTTCTATGTATGTTTCATTATTTTCATGTTCTACTTTCCCGCGCTTTCCTGTAGATCAAAATATGAGATGTTCCACATTTTTTTTCTTTTCATACCCGATCCTTATCCTTCTCGATGTTTTGTTTTCCACTCCTTGCGTAATTCATTTTTTTCTATTGAAATCCTTTCAAGTGTTAATCCGAACATTTTTATTGTATTCTTGAATGCTTCTCAAGTTCTAAAATAATTTTTATTCAGAATGCGCTATCGAGCGTTTTCCTTATTGATATGTATTTCTACAATACTATTACAAAATCATCTTTTGATTTTGGCCTCATATTGTGGTGTGAATGGTGTTCCATATAGTCTAGAAATTTTATCAGATGGTGAGATTTTTCTATAGTTTTCAGTTTTTAGTATCCATTTTACAAATTTCTTTCCAGGATCACCAGTTCTCGGTTGTGCTCAACCGACTTGTATGGCTGAGCCAACTGAAGATTATGAGGATAGTAATTTTATTGCGAATAATGCTGGGCAAGAGGATGGATTTTTCCGCGAAGGAGATCGGCAACGAAAAAGTTATTCGCAGAGTTATAAACCTAAAGCGGTGAGGGATTTGAGGGGTTTTTATTCGTGATTTTAAAAGCCCTGCCGGAAAATTTTATATTTTGAACTCGATAAATAAAGTACAGAAGATCACAAAATTGATATTTTGGCTTACTTAATCAAAATTGAAAAAAATATTAGAAGCAGACTTGGAATAGGGCGCTGAATTTTGATCTACCTTCAATAAGCTTTATTTATTCTGATTTTGTGCAGTAGAGCGAACCTTCTTGTCAAAATATTCTGAACATTTTTGAAAAAAAAATCAATGATAAAAAGTTTCTCTTTCTAATAAAAACATCTTGTCTCTAATGTAAGTAGATCAAATTCCTGTTATCATTGATTCTCCCTTTCTTCCTTCCTCCAAGAAAAAAAACGATAGTACACAAAAAATCATACATTTTTCCTTTCTTCCGAGAAAAAAAAACAATTATCCATTTTGTTCCGAAGAAAAAGTGAAATTGATTTTGAACTAACTAACTAACTCTTCCGCCTTATTGAATCCTTTCAACTTAAGAAAGTGAATCAATCAAAAAATGTTGGCATTTTTCAAGTAATTAAATTGAATAATCCCAAGCTAGGCCGATTTGTGACAAGTTTCCGAAATCACGCAACACACCGACTAGTTGAGACCACCTAATTGTCGGATATTTTACACCGATTTATGTCATAGATGCGCTTCCCGTTCTTCCTTCATCTTTGTTACGCGAAAATGTTACGCTTCAGATGAACATTTGATTGTGTTGTGTTTGTTCGATACATCTATATATACAATTTACGTAATCCAATTGTTATATGTCATGTAAATTACACCGATCGGAGAAAGTAATGACCATACAAAACTATCCCCCAGTTTTTATAGGGTGTTATAACTACTTGGAACACGATATATTACTACCATGTACATATAATTAGTCACTCATTGAGAGGAAAATAAGTGAGAACTGCAAAAAAACAGTTTCAGAAAAAAAAAAGAAAAACAAAAAAAAAAGAAAAGAGGTTTCTGTGGTTTGAAATTATCTTAATCCAGATCTACCAACTTATAATTTAAGAAAAAAATTTTGGGGGGAAGATTAAAATTGCAGATTAATTTCCCTTCCCCTTCCCACAAGAATAAATTATAGCCATGACTAACCGGATTCTTTAGGTTCCTGTATATTATTTCTTAAACCAATCATCACCCAATAAAATAAATCAAAATCTTTGTTAGTCACCCAAACAACAAAAAAAAAGGGGATAGAGATAATAATCGCGTTTTGCAGGAATGTCCTGGAGTTTTTTCCGATTTGGCGTGTACCAAAAAGAATCAATGGGTTGGAGGAATCGATTTTATTGATCATCCCAGACAACCGTGAGAAAATATTTTTTGGGAAATTTGGTTGTGTTTGGGGAGAGAGGGTTTCGGAGAGAATAGAGGGCTTGAATGAAGAAAAAAACTTTTTAAATCCTTGAAATTACATTTTGAACTCTCAAAAAATCAGATTTTTCAAAGCGTTTGAAATTGGCTAATTTTCGGACCTAACCAAAAACATTTTGATTTCAAAATTTGAATTTAAGCTAAATAAATTCATAGGAGATTCTATCCAAATTGAAAACTAAAACAAGAAAATTTACATTTTTGAATTTTTTTCCCGGAAAAAGCCTCTTTTTAGAGCCCTAGATTCATTTTTTCAGAAAAGAGATTCAAAAAAATATTTTGAAAATTATCAGTTTCAAGATATTTTTTTTTTGAATTTCCTGACAATCGTTCATCCTAAAATTGTTAGATTTAAGAAAAATAAGAATCTTATTTTTTAAACTCTTATGAAGCCTTTTATTTTCTCTGGAACTCTCCGTTTCCAAATACATAGAGCCAGAATGTTTCTATTCACAAAAACCAATTTTAATTAAAAATATTTAAATTTTTTACAGACTTGTTCTTCAATGTTGTACATTTGAAGGATTACGATTTTCACAAGATGTTGGAGTTACCACAATTTCTGCAGGTTTGAATTCATTTTTTTCGTGTGTTTCCAAGTTGAATGTTTGTTTTGTTAGGCGAAGCAGTTACTGGTGGTGAAGTGATCCGAGATGGTCGACAAATATCATTTGATGTGATTGCAAATGTTCGAAGACTGGTTGATCCAGATGACCGGAAAAGGTATGTTTATGATTGTACTATTTGTCCTTGAAGACATTAAAAGTGAAACAATCAACACGAAACCCACACATTTTTGGTTGGTTGGTTGGAATAAGGATACAAAAGAAGATTCGAAATAAATGGATAAAAAAAAAAGAAAAAAACAGGAAAGATTACAAAATTTACGCAACATGATATGTGTTTGATAAAGGTGTTGAAAAGCCGTCTGGTTTTCATTTGAGAAAAGACAAAATTTTGCGCAAAATTGGCTTATTATTATTATTATTCAATTCAAAACGTTTTGATAAGAAATAATGTGCGCTTATCCAATTACATTTTTTAATGTCATTGGCGCGAACAATTATTTCCGCGCAATGATAGTGAAAAGGAAATTTGAAGCGGAAGACCTGAATTGTTTTTGGGGAAATGATTTTTTTTTGGAAAAAAATCAATCTTTGAAGAATATGAAATAGATGATCAGAACAATTTAGAGATCATTTTTAAAAAATAAATTTTAACAGGAAATAAAATGGTTTGAACTTTCAGAACTTCGAAGAAGATAACAAAAATCAAAATTATTTTTTATTTTTTTTAATTTGGAATTTTCTGAAGCTGAAAATTTTCTTTCGGAAAAATCGAAAACCTAGATTTCTGAAATTTTTAATTTTTGATTTGAAAATTGTACCCGATAAAAAATTATTTACAAACAGTGTATTCAAAAAATGCTCCTGATCCTGTCGAAAAATCAAGAACATGTCTAAAATCTGAAAAATGCCATTTTCGTTTTTGAGAACTTCATAAACATAAAAATTGTAATCAGTAGTCAAATGTATTTCTGATCTTTCAAAAATCCAATATTCTTCTTCCAGAACCTTCTACGAAGTCACTGTCCGTCGTATCAATTGTCTTCCCGATCCTCCAGAGTTCGAAGTTGCATGTAAGTCTTTCCCAAAAAAAACCGCCTGTAATAAAAAACAAAAAAAATAATTCATATCCATACATAGTCTATATATGAAACCACCGGTTTGAGGACCAAGTTTTTTTAATGTCTATGTTTCTTTTTTCAAATGATTGATTGTTTTTTGTTTACCCGTTGCCGCCGTTTTGGCCGGCCGCCCAAACAATTAAGATTAATGAGAATTATATGTATTACAGATGATGATGATGTGGAAAGTGAGATAGCTAAGGTTTTGGGAAATGCAACAAATTCAGCTATGAAGTGAGTGACTCAAAATTTACCGGGTGGAAAAATTAAAAAAATATAAATTTTTGTTACAGTTTCGGTCATGATGGGCATCCACATATGACTCAAGAGAAGAAAATTTCAAAGAGACCATACAAGAGAAAGCCAAAAACTTCATCAACTCACAAGTAAGGTTTTTGAAACGGTTTAGGATTTCGCGGTTTTTAAGTTAACCTAACTTGAGATCTCAAAATCTTTTTTTTTTCAGTGTGATTTCTCCACTTGCTGGTGGACATGAAGAGCGAAGTGAGCCATTCATCGGAAGTTTCGGAGCCCCGATTTTCAAGTGAGTTTATTTTCACCTTCTCTCTACAAAAAAAAATAATTTACAGCCCAACATCTGGAAAGAATTCTGGAGAAATCAAGGAGCCACCAGTTCGCCCGTTCACCAGAAGAATATTAACCCCAAAACCAAGAATCATCCCAACAACAACTACACCAGCGCCAAAGCCAACCACCACAACAACAACTCAAGTGCCACCAGTTCATGTTCAAGTTGAGCCGATGCCCCCAAATCCATTCGCATTCCAACCGCTCCCACCGTTCCCACAATTCCCATTCCTTCTCCCAGGATTGCCTGCAGCTCCGCCAGCCCCTCCCCCACCGCCGCCAGCGCTTTTTGGAGTTGGACAAACTGGAAATATCCCACCACTTCAACCACAATTTGGAGGATTATTCGGGCATCATCATCAACCTGCACAGCCATTTGGTTTGGGTGGATATGGTTTGAATCAGGCGCCAGCTTATGGAGTTCAACCGCAAACACAACCTTTGAATAATGAGTTTAGTGGACTGGATTTGTATACTCAACAATTGTTGACAAATCCGACAAGTCCGTTTGCTCTGCAAATGGTGCCACCGCCACAATTTGCACCACAACAATATCAGGTAGGGTTATTTTGAGAAAAATAATTGTGATCTAGAAGATTAGAAGATCTGCTGATCATGATTCCGTGGTTATAAACTTTGAAGATCAACTTCATGTATGAGTTATGTCGTCTCCGAGTTTCAAAATTCTAAAAAAAATTTCCAAAAAAATCTGAAAATCACAATTTTTTCTCCACTGAACTTTTTAATTTTTAATAGAGATTTTTGTTGAAATCACGGATCTTACTTTTAATCTACAATCTGAGTTAAACTAATTCCACTGAACAAAAATACATTTGCGAAATTTATTTAAAACTTTAAAAAATGTTCAGTCAACTCTAGAGAAAACAAAATTTACGCTGTTAAAATTTTCAATTGTTCGAAATTTACCACTTTATCTCATAATCTGAATTTGAGTTAAGCTAACTTGTCTTTGACAACGTGATCTTAATCAGCGGGTTAATTTCTACAAGAAAAAAATATTTTCAAATATAAACCTTATCTGAAAGTTTGAAAGGTTCTTTTGTTCTACAAAGAGCTCTCTGATCCCTCAGAATTTTATCTCTGAAAATCCATATTTCCAGCCTTTACCCCAACAACAACCAGCGCAACCAAACCTGCAAAGAGTTGCAATTCAAGCGCCACAAAGAGAAAATACCGTACCTGTATATAACGTGGATGAACTTCCACCATCTCAAGAAGAACCATCAGCTGGACCAAAACAAACACATTTAGGACAAATTTATCGAGCACCACCATTTGCAGCACTTGGAACAACATTATATAATTTCCGAACTCATACTGGATAATTTTTGATCATTATCCAAAATAGGAATATTATGCTCATATGCTCATATCAAAATGGTGCTCAATTTGTCTCTTTTTTTTTGTTTCTCTTACATTTATTTGTTCCCCTAATTTATTCAAAACTTCTTTCAAATTTCACCCTTCGTTTACAGGTATTTGTTTTTTTTCTTCATCTTCATATTTTGTGTGTCTCTGAATTCCATCCTTTTGTCATGTTTTTCCCATTGATTTTCAGTTTTCTTGACATTGAAATCTCAAGTTTTCACAGTTTTTTTGTCTGAACAAAAATGTATATGCAATTTTCCCAATTTTCATCTAGTTTTTTTCGGAGATTTTTATCAGCTTTTCAATGAATAATATTATTTTTTTTTGTTTCGTTTGCTTTTCGCTGGTTTTTAATTCAAATGAAAAAAAAAACTCCCGGACACAAATTAACTAACCACAAACCAAAATTTCTATGATTTCTAACAGTAGTGAGGGTTTGATCTACAGAAAGAGAGAGAGAGAAACGAGAGAAACGAGAGAAACAGAAAAAACACTTTTGTGAGATAATGAAATTAAAATTTATGAATTTGAATTTAAAAAAAGTGAGATACCGGGCACCAAGATTCGAACACGTGTCTCTGAGATTGACAACAGCCCCCACTACCACTGAGCTATTCCTACCACTTAACGATTTTTTTTATCCGCAATTTCAATTCGAAAAAAAACCATTCCCGGATACAATTAACTAACCAAAAACACATAAACAAGACAAGATGAAACCAATTTTTTATCCATTTTTTCATTAAAAATAGAATTAATAATAATAATAAATCAATCAACGACAAAATGGGAAAAAATACAATAATATAATATGAAACTATTTATCTTTTAAATAAAGACGAAATACTAAACGAGTTTGGTATAACTGATGCGAATGAAAGTGTTGGTGATGTCGGGGTGGTCAATGGGGTTACAGGTGTTAATTTTTGAGGTGTGCTAGGTTTCAACTTTTTTGATTCGATTGGTTCGGCATATCCTTTTTTGGGTAATTTGATTCGCTCAACAATTTCATCTTTTTCACCAATTGTTTTTTGAAGATTCATGAAATGTTGGAAGTTCAATGAAGCAGACTGAAAAGAAAACACGTTTATGAATGAGGGTTTGGGTGTGGTTGTTATCAATCAATCAAGAAATCTACTTACTTGTTGGTCGTGTTGAGTGAAATCATCAATATCTACACGTAATGAATCATGTTCCATATGTAAACTGTCTCGCTCCAATAATAATTGTACTAATTCCATATTTTTTTCTGGAAAAAAACAGAAACATTTATTTTTCAAACACTGTAGATCAAAAAAACTCACTCGCTATTGCATTTTCAATAAGATCCCGAATCGCTTCAATATCTTTCAATTTAGTTTTGCTCAAATATTGTCGAGCTTGGCGAGGAACATCACTAGCTTTTGATTTACCTCTGGAAAAATTCATAAATAAAATTATGTCACCTTCTCCCCAAAATTCCAACAAACCTTCTATAGTCACTTAGCTTATCTTCAGCTTTATTTTTCGCAATTAAAAGTACCCGTTTAGTTTCATGTTTGAGTAGAAGATTTCGTTCTTCACATGTTAATGACACATTTGATTTTGCCAATCGATCAGTTATATTTTTGACTTGTTGAGCTTCTTTGGTCGATGCCGCTGATTTCAAATTCGGTTCAGATTTGCTTTTTCGAACAAAGAAATCATTGTCAGAATCGTCGTCTTCAGAATCATCGTCGAATTCATTTTCCGTCTCGCTTTCACTCATCTCATTCATATAACAAACCTGCAAAAAAAATGAAGATTAAAATGAAAATGCAAAGTTAAAAATGAAAAAACAACAACAACAACAAGAAAAAGAGCGGAAATCTTTTGTTGTTTTTCCATTTTTTTGTTGTTATTCAATTATAAACCTGAAGATTCATGGCAGTTTGAAGACGAAGAGCCAGATTTGATCTATGCGGTCGGGTGTAAACTTGAGGTGACGGACCATTATGTGTTTCGACTTGCATTGCCAATCGACGACGGACCTGGAACATTTTCAGAATTATGGGGGTTCAGGGAATCTTGGAGCTACTGAGGAAAAGAAGGGCAAAACTCTATTCAGAAATTCGAAAACAAATTTAAGAAATTCATTAGAGACTACGTGAACTTGAGAGAGTACAGACAAAAAGTTTGGTATCTATTCTCTTAATTTTATGTTGTCTCTAATAAAATAATTTTTCTGTATTTTTTCATTTTTTCCACATTTCATTAGTGAAAATGTATGTGGAGTAAAAACGAGAATCTATGAATTTTACATGAGAAAGCGCAACATTTCCATTAATCAAGAATAATAACGAATCTAATTTCGAATTTCAGCAAGAAAAAAAAGTTTTTGATGAAAAAAACGAAATCGTGCTAATTTGGCCTCTAATGATGGTGGAAAATGCGTGGGACAAATTTGTTGGTTTTTTTTTTTTTGAAATGAAAATAATTTCGAATGAAGAAGGGGCGAAATTCAATACTCTACCTCTTCTCCAAGCATACGTCGTTCGAGATCTTCTCTTTCTTGGGCTGCTGATGCTAGTTGCTTTTCGAGTTTGTCGAAGTCCAGATTGGGTAATCCTGAAAATAAATAAGAACTAATTTGTGGGTTTTGAAAATATAGAACTTTCAGAAAATTCCAGATTTTGAAAAAAAATTAACTGAATTCCAGAATTCCCCTAAGCCTCTGGAGCAACAAAATAATTTGAAAACAAAAATGTATTGATTTTTTGTTGGACCCTCATATTTTCGAAAAAATACACTAACTTCTCTAGAATCCTCGATTAAAAAACCCCCAAAGTTTTGTGAATTCCAAAATCTTACCAGTATCAAGTTGTTCAATCTGATTCGCAACCCGATGTCGAATCTTTTCAAAAGCCGAAGTTGTAGCCGTACTAGTTGTAGGTGCCAAATGATTTGTTGTTGAAGTGTTTGCCGCCGCCGCTTTTTTTGCAGCCGCAATGAATGAATCAACCGAATATGAGGAAGAAGGTTTGCATCGTCTAAAAAAAAGATGAAGAATATATTATTATCATTATTTCTTTCTATTCTTTTATACATTCTTTCTATGCCCTCTTCTTTTTGTGCTTCATATAATATTCGGCTAAAAACAAAACCACACCACATCAGAGTTTGATATGAAAAAGAATATATAGAAATGAATAAAAGGACGGCTTTTTGTGTTATTAAAAAAAGAGAGAGTGCAAATGGGCAAATAGAAAATGAAAAACTTACTCAAAACCACATTGATTCAAAGTGCGATTTGATGCTGCCACATTCATTTCGCTTAGGGATTCACAAGTTGTTTCTCTTGAATCTCTCGAAAATCCGTCTGAAAATTTTTATGAACTATGTTTTCAGAAATTATTTCTCTAATTTTCTCATATCACCCTTGTGAATTACAGTGCTCTTGAAATTATCTCTGCTAATTACGTCAAAACTGCTTCCTCGAAAAAACCCTAGAGAACCCCTAAAACTCTATTTATAAACTTCTTTTCAACCCAAAAATTCACAGTTTCACTCACCATTCAACTGTTTTATACTGCAAGCACTCGACATTTCAAACGAATCTTCAGAACAAGAAGTTGAGCCAGAATCAGTGTCGTCTTCCTCTTCGCGTTCCTGACTTCCTAAAAAAATAAAAAGTATACTTGAGTGAGGTTGAAAAATGGGGGTTATCTACGATTTATGAAGAAAAAAATCGCGAAAAAAAGGAAAAGGTCGAACGCCTCCTGTGAGGATTAAAATTTGAGTGTTGCTCCTTTTTTTTGGAATTTTGGAACTTCAAGGAACTATTTTTTTATCTAAAAATATTATAAAAAATTCGTACAGCAAGAATTTTTGCAAAAAAAATGTGGAGTGTAAAATTTTACATCAGAAAATCAATATATTTTTACAGAAAAAAACTGTACGACTTCTGAAATATTTGTAAAGCACTTTTTTGACGTAAACTAGAGAACAAAAATGACCTCGGTTACAAAAAATTTGAAATTTTTTGTGCTGAAAATTTCAACATTCTGAAAATTCTTTTTGTGAAATTTTCAGCACTCAGAGCTCCTTCCAAACTTCTATTAAACCCCGTTACCTTGATGATTTGTCAAAGAGTTGATAGATTCCAAGCTACTTGAATTCGAATGTTGATCTTCATCATCTTCATCAGTCGATTTAAGTTCCAACAACTTGACAACATCAATTTGCGTCGAAACATTATTATTATGTTCATTCATCAGAATCTGAAACATTTTCAGCTTAGCGAATATGAATATTATGAATACTACAAGTCTCCAATAAGTCAGAGCCCAAAGCAAAAAAAACCAAACGTCTTCCGGCTTTTTTCTACTCTCAATGTTGTTTATATATGTCTCATGAGACCTTTGACATTCTACAACAAACCGAAAATTGAACAATCGGTTTCTGGTTGGTCTAGCCTAGCCAATTTTTTTGTTCTTCTTCGGAAAAAAACGTTTTTCTGGTGGCACAGCAACATAAAGCATAAAAAATAACAAAAGGAAGTGGAAGTGTTTATGAAAAAAAATAAAAATTCAAGATTTTTGAAGAGGATTTTAGTGAAGTGGGGGCTAAATTCTCAAACAATGTTTTTTGAGAATCTGTAATTTTAGTTTGGAACTTTAATGAAAAGGCGTTTCTTGAAAATGAGTTAGCATAAGTTACATATTCTACAAAAAAACCTCTGATTTGAGTAAAGTAAAGTAAAATGAGGTGAATGGCTCAAAGATGAGGAGTGAAAATACAAAGAATAGATTTGTTGTCGTCCGCCACTTCCTACTTGTTTTGAATATCTAATGAGACGCGCAAATCACATTACTTCTTCTCACTTTGTATACGAAAATTCACAAAAGTCTAGTGTGAATCCTTGAATTTTTATTTTTTCCCGAGAAAATCATGTTTTTTTGTTGAAAGTGATTCAAAATGACATATGAAGAAGAGAAGAGAATAAGACAATTTTGTTGAAACCTATTATTATTATTTTTCACATTCTCATATCTCAAAGAAAATTCGAGGTTGGAATGCTTTTTTTTTTTGAAATAGAGAAAGGGAAGAAAATTGGTTGATTCTGGAAAATTTTTCTCAAGATTCTAACATTGAGTTAGTAAAAAACTAAAGGATTCTAGAAAATATTCAAAAATTTCATAAAATTAAGTGGGAAAATTCTCAAAAATTTCTGAAATTATCCTGAAATGTTTCAAGCCACAAAATGAATCTACTATGATCTGCTAGCTCAACATTCAAAAATCAGTCTCCAACAAATCATGTATTATTTAGAATCTCACTTAATGAATCTAGTTTGATTCAACTAGAAAATTATCTACACCATGGATTTTAGAGTTCTAGAAACCACGGAAACTTTCTAAATTTTCACACAATTTTCAAAAAAAAAACTTTTCAAAGAAAATTGAATGAGAACTTTTCTGAAATTATCGCAAATTTTAAAATTGGCACACTTCTAGAATCTAGTTTAGCCTATGGTTCACTGAAAACTGATCTACTATAGTTAGCTCAACTAAATGTAAGCGCTAATGAAAATTACGGTGAAAATCTTATTACAAAAAAAATAAAAAACAAAAATTGCTCTTGAAATTTCAAAATTTTGCTAGAAGACCGCCCACTTTATAAAAATCTATTCTACAATTTACCTAACCACATTCCAGATTTCAAAATAGCTCACCTCCGCAAATGAATCCTTATGTTTTGGCGAATGTAATTGCAATTGAACCGAACATGTCGAATCAATAGTCGAGACACCGCTGTCATTTGCCGATGTCGATGAACATATCCATTCGTCAACCATTTTCTCAACCAAGCATCAATCAAAAAACAACTATGTGAATATGTACATATATATGTATTTATTTTTTATTTTTAGGAAAATAAATATATTCTTATTCTTATTCTTCACACCAATTCTTCTTCTTCTTCTGCAAATAGTAACTAACGTATAGCAATTATAACAAAAATGAATGAGAAAAAAAAAGAATCATGAATGAATAGAAATTGGGAAAAAAATGGTTGTTTGGTAGAAAAAATAAAAAATAAAAATCGAGGCACCATAGAAATAGTTGTTTCTAGGGAGAAAAAAGGGGAATTGTGCTAATTTTCTTTTTTCTTCCAGGAGTTGAGTGTTTTTTCTTTTTTTCTTTTTTTTTTGGAAAAGTGCACAACAAAGGAATGGCTTTTCTTGTGTTAGGTTAGACAGGCCACAGAAAACTTTACATTAGAAAAAAACACACATAATAACATTGTTCTTCGCTTTTGTCTGTCAATATTGATAAATCTAGCTCGGTTTTGAAGATACAGAGAGATTTGCGGTTTTTGGCTAAAGATCAGTTGAGTATTTTTGAGGGGAGATCAAAAAGTTTTGGATAATTTTTTAAAGGGAAGAATGTTGAGAAAATGCAGAAAATTATTCCATTAGAGGCAACGTAAAATGAAGAAAGTACAGACAAAAAACCAAAAATTTTATAAATTTTTCCAATTCGGAAAAATGCAGAATTTCATTTCATTAGAGACAACGTGAAATGAAGAGAGTGCAGAGACATTTTTTTTCAGATTTTTTTTTGTTATAGCCAATTGTTAGGGCAAAAATCACTTTTCAATCCAATTTTTGAAACTTCAATAAAAAATTCTCACTGAAAATTTTGATTTTTGAAATTTCAATGTTCATGGGTCTTTTGAAAAATGGAATTTCAGCTAAAGATTATGGATAGAGTTGAAAAATCAAATGAATTTTTATGGTCTTAAATTCCAGGATTTCGAGTTAAAAATTCTTAATTTTTCTATTTCAAAACTTTCTTTGAATTTTTGCTCACAATGAAAAAAAATTTCCAAAAAATATGACAAAACATCATCACGAATGAATAATAAATTAGAAAAAAAACATGATTCAGAAAATGTCTCACGCAAAAAAAACACAACAAAAACAAAAGATATTTCATGAAAAACATAGAACCCTAAAATACATAGAACTCATTAAATATGAATGAAAAAGTGCATTTAATTCTGCTGCTCATGTCAGCTCAACAGAAAACCCGCCAAAAACATTTTGCCATCTTCTCTTTTGTCTTATTATAATATTCCTTAATTTGATTAACAGTCAGCTGTCACACCAAGAAAAAAAAACACCAAGCTCACTCCTTTCCCCACCAACCAACAGAAAAAAAGCCAATAATTATTCTACGAGACTTTTTGTTTCGCGCAGCACAATTAGCTGAGCCTGTGCAAAAAAAAAAGGAAAAAAGCTGTTTTCCGAGTTTTTTAATGGGATTACATAGAGACATAGAAACAAAAAAAACGCAAAAGAATATGAGCTGAGCTGTTATTTTGAGAGCGAGAAAAAATAGATAGGAAATGATATTTTAATTGAGTTGCGGTGGAAAATATAAATGAAAACATTGTTTGAAAAAAAAATGAAATGAAACTTTTGAAAATGAATATACATAAAAGATGAAGAAAAATTATTGCTCATGAAGTTTTTTGAATTATTCATAGTTTTTTTGGATGAAGGAAAAAGAGAGAGAAAGTTCATTTTTTTCATTTGGAAAATTTATTTTTGATGAGTAATCAAGTAAGTTTGAAAGAGAAAATGAGAATTGTGTTTGTAAAAAAAATGCGTCATTTCGTATTGTTTCAAAAACAGTATTGCAATTTCTTTAGAATTTGGAATAGAAATTTTAGAAATATGGGAAATTAGAAAATAAAATAAAAATGTGTTTATTTATAAAAATAATAGTTGTGAGTCAAAAATTCTGAATCTCAGACTAAATTTCTGAAAATTCAATCACTCTAATCACAAATAATTCTTAAAAATCTGGATTAATCATTGAAAATGAAAAACCAGAAAAAAAAAACAAAGACCGAAAAAAATGTTTGACTCAAACCCACGAAAAAATGCAACAAAAACGGATACAGAAAATCAGAAAGGACAAAGATTCAGATGACTAACTAGAGTTTTTGGAAATGTCATAAAAAGTAGATCAAAATTTTTGTCAGTCTAGAATTTCAGGAGTTTTCAAAATTCATGGAAATACATATTTCTAGTTGCTTGAAATTGAAAATAAATACATTTTCTCCAAATGTATTAAAAATTATTTGATCTACTAATAAATCATGTAGAGAAACTTGCAATATTAAAATAGCAAAGAGTTTTTTGCAGCAAAATAATTCTCAAAATGTTTTCTAAATCGAAAATCGGAACTTTTGATAACTCAAGATCTCTAGAGCTCAAAACTATTGTAAATTCTTAGGGTAGATCAAAAACAATTTTCTCTTTAAATCTTGCCAATCATGAAATTTGTGTAAAAAACAATTCCGAAAAACTAAACTCAAACCCATGCAAAAAAACCAACGAAAAAAAAAACCGGATAAAGAAAATCAGAAAGGACGAAGATTCAGATGAGCCGACCACACTGATTAGATTTTATTGGTATCTCGGTCGTGCACCCATCTTTTTCTTCGTCTCTTTTTTTTTCTGTTTCTATGTCTCATTATACATCGTTCGTCAGTCCCACTACTCCCTTTTTTTTAGCTTCTTCTCAAAAAAAATTGTGGGGGGAGGCTCTTGTCTAGCCTGCTTCACCCATATATGTATATATATCCCCCCGTTATATAAGAGGAAGAAGAGAAGACATCAATTTGAAATAAATAAAAAAAAAGAATAGAAAAATGGAATAGAGGGTAAACTGGTGGATGACTAAAATAGCAATTAGAAATTGGAGAACAAACGGAACAAGGATGAGAAATTGGAAAAATGGTGGCAAAGAATGAAATTTGATTGATAATGGGTTGGAACGTTTCAGAATTTAATTTGTTTTCGGTTAAGTGGTAATCTAACTAGGCACAAAACACAAATTTATTGCTGGTAGAGCAATTTTTAAACAAAAAATATTTGAAATTCAATTTGAATGGGATCAAGTTCAATTAATTAGAACAAACATTCATGATAAAAATGATTTGAGCCAACCTTCTTCTCAAAAATCAATAAAAAGAAGATCAGATAAGAAAGATACTATTTGCAATATCATCTATTTAGTATAACTAGAGAATAATATAATAATAATTTATGATTCATTATATCATCATCATCAAATGAGAAATGTTTTGCAGACAAAAAAGGGAATTTAAGAAAACCAACAAAAAACAAATAAAAACAAAGCAAGCAAGCAAAGCAAAATAAAATCAAATCCCATGGGAATCAAATAAATGTAATCTGAAAAACGAAATTTGAAACCTTTTTGTGAGAAAAATGTATCTTTTTTCTGCATTTTCCTAAATAAGCGGTTTCGAAATTTTGATAATTTTTTTAAAGAAGAAATTGTGAAAATATGTAGAGAAGAAAACTAAATTGAAATAAATAAATAAAAACATAGAGCTCTGTTCTATCACAAAGCCCAACAGAAATTGAATGAGCTTTTTTGCTGCAGAAAGAGCAAAAAAAACTATTGACATACATACAATTGGTCCGGAATAAGATGTAAAGTTAATGATTTTTGCTGTTTTTTATTGGTTTTTTCACAGCTTTTGGGGTTGGGGAATGGAAAATGGAGATTTTTTTCAAATTTGAGAAAGGTTGGGTTGAAAATAAAATATTTTGAAATAATTTCTGGTTGCATTTTTTGGAAACATTTTTTTAAAAGAGGAATGTTTTTGAAATTTTTCCTAAAACTTTCCAGATCAATGCGACAAAAATAATTCAAAAAAAAACTAGGAAAAAAAGAAAATAGAGGAGGAAAAGAGAAAAAGAAGAGAGAAAAGTTGTAATATCTAATACAATATATATGAACTCGAGCCACGTTTATTCAATTTATTTGAATAAACTTATTATTTTTGTTGTTGACTCGAAACGAAACTCATATCCTTCTTCTTTTTTTTGTTTATGTTCTCTGACTTGACAAGGAGAATGTTTCCTTGTCAAGTCTAAGGCTCAGATTGTCAGCGAGATTGAGGAGGTTTGGAGAAAAGTAGATCAAAGGTACATATGAGTTTTAAAATTTCTAATTTTTGATACCGAGATCATTGATGTTGGTGAAAGTTCAGAAACAATGTTCAAAGCCTAGGTTCAAATCCTATTTGAAAGCTAAATTGAAAAACATTTTTTTCTATTTATTTTTTTCAAGAATCAAGAATCCTCTCAATTTAGAAAACCAAACCATAAATTTGCTCAAAATGCCTCAATTACCGCTGTCAGGGAAAAAAGTGCTCCTTGAAAAATGTCCTAGTGAAAGAGATTTTTGTAACCTTCCCTTCTTAACTCTTAAATAAATATCAACACCCACTCTCTCAACAAAAAAATATAAATTTTTTTTGTAAAATTATTGAACCTGGGATTAGTTTGTAATTTACGGTTCATTCAACCAAAAATCATTGAAAATAAATGAGGCGCATATTTATGAAAAAAAAAGAAGGAAAGGAGAATAGAAAACAAAACAAAATGTGGACCAACACCTGTTATTGAATGAATCTCTTTTGATGATGGAACATGAAACAAGAATTTTTGATGAGAAAATTCTTGTTGGAGGGTGCTTATTTGAGAATGATTCTATAAGTGGATATGAGGGATCATGTTACGCCCCGAAAAAAAAGACGGGTGGTTTGGTTTGAGAAACGAAAATAATGAATGATATGGGCATAAGAAAATATAGGGAAACTGGAAACACTGCAGAATTAGTGCTACAGTAGACCCAGGGTTTGAAAAATTTAAAAATATTTAAAAAGTATCGCAGTATTTTTAATACTGGAGAATCACTGAAAAAAGAATTTCAGAAGAAAAAAGGCAAAATTTCTGTTTCTGATTCAAAAAATGAACTTTGTATTGAAAAATTCAGATTTTCAAATGAACAATTTAAACATTGCGAATCAGGAAAAACTTAGAATAAACTATTTTTGAAAACTTTAGGACTATATAACTCTAGTCACAAAAAACTACTTGAATTTGACTGTAATATATTTTTCAACCGGTTTTCTAGAAAAAATTTCCTAATGTAAGAACCTACTCCTAATCTCTAAAATCCTATATTCTCCAACCAACAAAATTCGCTCTCCCATTGTACTCGAAAAACACTAGTAAAGTTGGAAAAACGTATAAATCAAACAAGAAATGAGAAGAATGGTACATATAGCCAGCAGCTCACAAAAGAAGAATCAATAAGACGAGAAAGATGCAAAAATAATAGGAAAAAAAGGGGGGGAAGAAAAGAATGGTGGGGGGGAAATGATAGTAGGACTTATACATATATACAAGACGGTTTTTCGAGAGGTCAACCCATCATTTATGCATACATTATGTATTTGGAATTTGTGTTAGCTCAAATGATTTTGGAGCAAAGCAAACCAAAATTAAAATAGATATATTTTTTTTTAGAATTTATTTGTATGTAAATGGGATATGGGTGGTTATCTCTTTGGTTTTTTTCTCCATGACATCATATTTTGAGGGTCAAATTGAGTTGCGTAATATTCAAATAGACCGTTTGGTGGAAAAATCAGAGACCAGGTTAATTTTTTCGAATAAAATGTAGGAATTTGGCAGGCTCTCAGATTTTACGGTAGACCACCCACGAAGCTCTTGCCATTCAAGATTTTCCTGAACGTAGTTTGATCGAGGATATGGATTTTGAAACCATCAATCTTGTCTTCAAAACCGAACACCAACAAAAACGAACATTTTTTCAACAAAAAACGCTTCATTGATCTCTCGAAACCTTCCAGTCAAATCTTCAGGGAGAACCAAAAAGAACAGAAACAAAAAATATAATAAATATGTTTTCGTTTAAAAAAAGGCACAAAAAATGTTGTTTTTGTCTTGCCTGTTTCTCCAGAAAATTTTCCGCTCCATCGATTCGGCAGGAAAAAAGAAACAACTCTTTTTTTCTGATAATTGACCGACTTTCTCACAGAGAAAGAAATGTCAAAAAAATATATGAAAAAAAAACACTTCAAAAGTTGGGTAATTGTTTTCCTCATACATTTTTTGGTCTCCAAGAAAAAATTGAAAAAACCAAGGAGATATGAAAAAATAGAATGACTTTGCATTTCATATGAAGGAGAATGTGGCAATTCTTCGGAAGAAGAAAAAGAAAAATGGATCATAAAATGTATAAAGCGGGGATTGAATATCAAAATTCTGAACACACGGATAATCTTTGGATTTTTCGCTGAATAAAAATACAGATTAATCGGAGCATGTTGAAAATTAGAGAAATACAGGATCTTTTTTCTAAGATCTCCGCAAAATCCTCTAAAAAGGAGCTGTTTCACTCTAAATTTAAAAAAAAGTTTGAGTTTTCTTGTAGTTTTTGACCCGCTGATCATTAGTCTACCCTAATATGAGTTATGTTGTGGCAAAGTTTAGAAATTTTGAAAAATCAGAACTTTAGGAGCTGTGAACTAGCTTTAAAAACGATCTTCTGATAGAATAATGTTGTTCAGGAGGGTAGATTACATATATTCAAGGGGTTCAAAAATCGAAATTATTTTTCAAAAAAGTTGTCTTTTTGTCTCGAACACTAAATTTTGTTCTATGTAGAATTTCTTGCAAAAGTTAGCCATGCCCCAAAATTATTTCCGAGTTTCCCACAGTTCTGACCAAATTCATTGATGATTTTCACTGCGAACTTTTCCTGATTGTAAGTATCCAAAGGGTGATTTCGGGAACATTTTATCACATGAACATTTTTATAACTATACAATTAGTCAATTATTTGGTGGTGGAGCAGCAGCAGGATCCATCGCATGTCTTGTTGTGCTCATATATTGTAAAGATTGATCACTTATCCGATTTCCACTTTTGCAAAAAGTAATCCATTTCAAACAGCAACAAAATTTTAAGAAATCCATTCGAAGTCGTTTGAAATTAGCAAATGTATAAACGGTTGGAAAAACTAGAGTAACATTTGTCAAATTATTGCAAATGAAAGATAAAAAAAAGCTATCTCGATCATCATTTTCAACTCGAATGAAGTAAATCACCAACACTGCGAGATATTTAAAAATGAAAGACAAAATAATTGGCGCATTCTGATATATGATGGATAACTCGGCTTTTTTTCGTGTTTCCGATAAAATGTGACGATTTTGATGGATTTTGATAAAAGTTAAAATGAAGAAAAATATTGTCAATGATACATTTAGTGGTTCGAAGAAAGCGAAATGATCTATACGATGTTTTTTTTGAAAAGAGTACGGCATAATTGAAAGATTATACATACCAAATGCTACATCATTTCTTGAGGATCAAGAATTATTATTATCAAGACTTGATCTCAAGTTTTCCACAGTTCTACGTGAAAACTGTGCGATTTAATTTTTTCAAAACTTTGGAATGATATAACATTTGATATAATTTTCCAATTATGGTTCATAGAAAACTCCCACCCGGACCTACTCGCCGAACTATTTGGTTGCGCTCCAGGTACCCAAACGACACCAGTGAAGTTAACACTGGAATATTTGTCCAACACAAGCTCAGCAAGTGCACATTCAGAGGAATTTTGATGTGTTAATAGACTAAAACTGAAGTAAACAACAATCATAAAATAGTTCAATATAAGAAAAAAAGTTAACCAGTTGTCTTGAACAAATTTGACCAATTTCTGAATATCCGAAATTATAATAAATCTCTGAATTGAAATTAATAAAAGAAAGCCAGGTTCGTATGAATGTTGTCCTATTGTTAAGAAGATAAATGTAATAAGAAACAAGAACGGCGAACTTTTATTGAAAACAGTATAGATCAAAGAAACTGTTGTAATCAAATATATGATGGTGAAAATCATGATATGAATAAAAATACATTTATAAATCGGATAAATTTTTGATTTTTTGTCTTCTTTTGGAGTTGTGAGAAATAAATAAATGTATGGAATCCGCATAAAAATCAAAAAATATTCATAATATTCATAAACTAGGTTGTTTTTATAAATGTCAATGGAAAAACGGGATATAAAACCCATTTTTTTGAGGGAAAAATAAAATTTGAATTTTAGGAGCAATTATTTTTAATAAGTAGTTTGAAGCTTTGTCAAATGTCATTAAATCAAACATGGTGTTTAGAAAAAAAAATCAAGGAAAGTCTTGTATTAACGGCACAGCATGCTGATGGTTATTACTTAATCTTTCTATGATTGTGATTGTGAATGTATGTATATAACGAATAATTTTTGGAAAATTTTGTCACAAAATATTTATCAATTAGTCAATTATTTGGTGGTGGAGCAGCAGCAGGATCCATCGCATGTCTTGTTGTGCTCATATATTGTAAAGATTGATCACTTATCCGATTTCCTCTTTTGCATAAAGTAATCCATTTCAAACAGCAACAACATTTTGAGAAATCTGTTCGAAGTCGTTTAAAATTAGCAAATGTATAAATAGTTGGAAAAACTGAAGTAACATTAGTAAAATCATTGCAAATGATAGATGCAAAAGTGCTATCTCGATCATCATATTTAACTCGAATGAAATAAATCACCAAAGCTGTTAGGTATTTAAAAATGAAAGACAAAATAATTGGCACATTCTGATAAATAATGGATAATTCGGCTTTTTTTCGTGTTTCCGATAAAATGTGACGATTTTGATGGATTTTGATAAAAGTTAATGAGAAGAAAATTATTGCCATTGATACATTTACTGGTTCAAAGAAAATGACAACATCTAAATGTATTTTTTTTAATGTGGCTATTTCGTAACATAATAAGAAAACAAGAGAAATGCGGAGAAAATACATGGCTGACATCTTGGTATACCCGGACATTACCCGAATAAATCGTAAAATACTCGGGATAATTTAGCAAAAATACGATGGACATTAATTGAAAAACAAATAGATTGATGAAAGCCAATTTTTAGATTTTTTAACTTCAAAAAGCAGCCGATTTTTGGCATCTGGGAATGTCCGGGTATACCCTACTCGTGTTTTTTATGACAACTCCCACCTGAACATACCCAACAAACTGAGAGTATGCGGGTGATCTTTGGGTTCCCATATGAGATCTTTGGCATAAGTGAAATTACTACTGGGATATGTGTCCAATACAAGAATGGCAAGTGGACAATTGGCGGGATAATGAATTACCAAAAAACTCAAAAAGAAGTAAACAACAATCATAATATAGTTCAATATAAGAAAAAAAAGTCAACCAGTTGTCTTGAACAAATTTAACCAATTTTTGAATATCCGCAATTATAACAAATCTCTGAATTGAAATTAATAAAAGAAATCCAGTTTCATATACACAAGCTTGAAAAAGCAAAATGATAGATGGAATCACAATAAAGTACCACGAACTTTTATTGAAAACAAGATATATTATAGAAATGTATTCAATCAAGAGTATAAGGATGGAAATCATAATATGAACGAAAATCCATTTATAAATCGGATAAATTATAGCTTTTTTTTCTTCTTTTGGAGTTGTGAGAAATAAGTAGATGTATGGTATGCGCATGAAATGTAAAAAAAACTCATAATATTTATAAACTGGGTTGTTTTCATATTTCGGATTGAAAAAAAACGATAAAAAGCGCATTTCTTACAAGGAAACCTTTTTTACTCAACACTTCAAATCATGATGAAATTTGGTCCGTGGACAGCTTTTGGGACCATAAGAACACCCTAAAAATTTCAGTCTCCCAATCGACCTCTGAGCCAAGTTCTGGGCTCTCAAAAACTCAAAAAAGGCCTAAAAATGGTCATAAAAGTCACCATAGCTCCATTTCAAAAATTTTTTTGGGAGAAATGAAGTTTCAGATATTGATCAGCATAGTCGATTACCTAAAAGTACATAAATAAAAAACTTTAGTTTGAAAAATTTTGAAATTTTTTATTTTTCGGCTGAAAATTCATATGTGCCCCTGCTCATTCTTTTTTCCAAAATCAAAAATTTTTCTGAAAATTTGCTTTATTGATGTTTTTGGGTAAATCGACCACGCTGATCATCATCTGCTACTCAGTTTTTCATAAAAATGATCGAAAATTGAGTTATGACGTGTTTTATGAGCCAATTTTGGCAATTTTCGAACTTTTGAGAGCCCAGAACTTGGCTCAGAGGTCCATTGGGAGACTAAAATTTTTAGGGTGTTCTTATGACCCCAAAAGCTGTCCATGGACCAAATTCCATCATGATTTGAAGTGTTGAGTAAAAAAGGTTTCCTTGTTAGAGGAAAAAATAAAATGTGAATTTTAGGAGCAATTATTTTTAATAAGTAGTTTGAAGCTTTATTGAATGTCAATAAGTCAAACATTGTAAGTAAATTTAAGTGGGAACAAGTTGATCGATTTGTTAGTTGAATTCGAATTGTATAGTTGTTATTTTCTTTAAGCCAAAAATTTGAATAGCGACAAGTTGAAAATTGAAAATCTTTTATCTATTCCAAAGTTTCGACGAATATCGTCATCATCAGAGATAATACTGAAAAATAAAATGGGTTATTTTACACATTAAAAGTTACAAATTTTGAAATAAATTTAATAAATAAAGAAAAGAACAAATCTTCCGAAAAAACCCAAACTTCGAAATCAATAAAATAAATCTGCTAAAGTGCGGGTAGGTGGAGTTTTGTTAGTACTTTAGGAGTATTTTATTTATTTGATTTTTTTTGTTGTGAAATTTAAATGAGAATTTGTGTTTTTTGAGTGTTAGTTAGACAACATTTGGTATTTGGATTGTTCCAAGCCTTGTGATCATATCCGAGAGTTCCTCTTTATTGTTTAATGAAGGAGTGTGATGTTTCATCAAAACCCTTTCTCTGATCTTTCGAATGTTAGTAGTGCGCTCGACTTCCAAAGTCAAATTGTGTATGAAAAAAAATCCGGCAAAATCTTGTATTAACTTCGCTGTTGATTATTACTTGATTTTTAGTCGAAAGGCGCGGTGAATGCAAAATGTTGACACCGGAGAATAAGAATTTCACAAAATATTTTGATTCAATGACTCGATTTTATACAATCTTGAGGTTCAACAAACTTTTTTCAAGAATGAAATCGGGAATTTATTGAAAAAAGGTAGATGAAATTAGGAGCCCAAATTGTTTTTTGATGGTCAAAACAAATTGTTGTTGTTTACAAAACATTTTCTGAAAATCTTTAAAAAATTTCTCTCACAATCAGTTCGGCAACATACAATTAGACATTTTTCTATATTTTACTTCCGCCTTTTTTATCATTTATTTTAAAAGAATCAAATATCCGTTTATTTTTTGGACAGTTCATATTCATTTGTGATTCTCTATCATAACAAGGTCGATCACAAAAATGACCAACAAATACCAAGCTGTGGCAAATGCTAAAACAACAAAAGAACGAATCTCGGCTTTCAAATCAATTTTTCAAGGATCAGGTATTTTCAATACAGAATTCCATTGTTTTACATTGTTTTCATTTCAGTGTGGAATTATTTGAGCTATTCTCTGCTTTTCATTCTTCCTGTCATTTTCATAAGTGTTGGGATCTGGAAACTTGATGAATGCTCATTGGCTCCAAAGTTCCCCATTTGGTTGATTGTCTCAGGAGTTTTAGTATTCATTATGAAATTCGTTTTTCTTATTGCGGAAAAAAAGGTTACTTGAAACTCACATGGATTTCGAAAATTTATAATTTTCAGAAAGCACTTGTTAACTCTGAATTTCCATTAACAGAAAATGAATCCGAAGAAGAAAGAACAAATATTAAACTCCAAAGAAAAAATCATTATCCATCTGGTTTGATTTTGATTGGCTTGGGTTGCCGGCTCGCTCATTTGTTCTGGTATCAATTTTGAATTGAAATACATAAATTTAGAATTAATTACATATCATATGTTCTTTTCAGGTTCTTTGTTGGTGTTTATTTTGTGATTAGAAGTTTTGGAGCAACAGGAACTTGTCATTGGGCACCATATTATTTGACAACAATTACAATCATCTTCCCAATTATCATTCTCATTTTGTTGTGTCCATGTTGTTGTGTGGTATGTTGCGCATATAGTTTGATAAAATCAGATGAAGCTGCCGAAGGTGGAGAAGGAAAAGAAGAACAAGAAGCAACTTCAAATGCGTAATGATAATTTTTTAAAATAATATTTATATATGCTGGGATTTGTGTTTTAGTTTCTTAATAAAATGTTTTTTGGTAAATTTCGATATTCTGATTTTTGTGAAAATGTAATGCTGAAACTCATATTTTAAAACATTTTTGACATGAAAAGTGATTTGAAATTTTCCTTTTTTTTGTTGAAAGGTAGATCACCCGAGTATAAATGTATATGTTTCACCATACAATTTGAAAAACATTGTTAGATAAAAATTTTTTTACGCCATTGCTCACACACTTGGCGAGAGAGTGTCCCAAAATTTTTGTGCAGCGTGAAAATTTTTTCAGAATAAAAATTGTGAAGCGTGAATTTTTGAATTTTTTTTGAATATTTTCATCAAAATCCGCTGAAAATCAAAGAACACTTCACTTTTTCGTGAAAAAAATGTGCAGTGAAATGAAAAAAAATTTTGAAAATTTTTATTAGCCCCCCGAATCGAAATTTTGGTTTGGGCGGGAATTTTTATTTGAAAATTTTAGTACAGTATCCTTTCTGGACTCGTCAGGCGTGATTGCTCATATTACAAGTAGAGTTCTGTAGAAAGTATCAACAATCTCATGACTAGTAATTCAAAATCAGAAGGTTTATTTCTTAAAAATTTTTCATAATGATTTTTGTTCCTGGTTTTATCTTATCGAAAAAATATTTGTGTTCCACGAAACTTTTTTCTCCAATTTTTTAGAAACAAAATTCTGAAACATCTCTTTTTCTGAAAACCCAACACAACTTTTTTCACAAATTGAAAACATTCGCTTTGACATTTTCCTATCTTTTCTTTTATTTTTTTCTATTTCCAACATCTCTCATTTATTTTTCAAATATCTGTTCATTTTTTGAACAGTTCTTATTCTCTATCACAAGGTCGATAGTAAAAATGGCCAATACATATCAAGCTGTTGCAAATGCTAAAACAACCAAGGAACGATTTTCAGCATTCAATTCGATTTTTAAAGGAGCAGGTGATTTTATTTGATTGATATTTTAGAATTTTTAAATTTTTAAATTTAAAAAATTCAATTTAGCATGGACTGGTTTTAATTATCTATTGATTTTCACTATTCCTATAATTTTCATCGGCGTTGGAGTTTGGAAAGTTGAGGAATGCTCATTGGCTCCAAAATTTCCGATTTGGTTAATTGTCACTGGAGTTTTGGTAGTGATTGAGAGATCTATTAGTCTTATAGTTCAGAAAAAGGTGATTTTTTTCTACATATGTAGATTTAAATGGAAAACTGTTGTTTTTTTTGCAGAAAAATTTCGTCGACGCAGAATTTCCACATACTGAAAATGAAACTGAAGAGGAGACTGCGAATCGTAAGAGTCAACGAAGAGCTCATTATCCAACTCTTTTGATTTTCATTTGTTTTGCGTGTCAATTTGTTCAAATGATTTGGTATGTGGTCAAAATTTGAAAATTGGCGGGAGAGGAAAGGTCAAAAATTTTTTTTGCTATTTCTGATCTGACCTTCTGCCCGAAGATTTCTGACGGTGATCAGAATATTTCAAGAACAATCTGAAAAATGTCGAATTCCAGGTCATTTACTGGCCTCTTCTTTGTCATCAGAAGTTTTGGAGCAGAAGGAACATGTCACTGGGCTCCATATTGGTTGACTACACTCACAGTCCTTCTTCCTTGGATCTTCATAATGACGTTATGCCCAGCTTGTTGTTGTGCATGTTGCGTTCTTGCATCAAAAGCGGGAAAATCTTCCGACGGAAATGCTGAACAAGAAGCCACTGCAAACGCATAACCTAGAATATTTTTTTTTAATTGTTTCTTCCTTCCTGGTTCTATCTTATCGATGAAATGAAATGTTTGTGTTCCAGGAAAACCTTTTTCGAGAGGAGAAGAATAGAAAACTGTTTATCTTATCAAAACGATGAACTAGATACAATTTTGTGACAGTATGTAGAGAAAAAATCGGATGAAAAAAAGAAACACTGAAGATCGAAAATTCTTCTCGAAGTCTGATCGTGAGAGAAAGAGATACGTATATAGTTTTATATTTTCTTTGGGGATTGATGTTTGATTCAAATTTAGTTGATTCACGAGAACTGTATTTTCATACAGGGTGGATAGATTGCAAATGACTTGGTTTACAGTATCATAAGGTTCATCAATAATTTTAATCTAAAAAATTCGATTTAATGACGAGAAGAAGAATACTGAATTTTTAAATAGAGTTGTTAATCTGGGGTTCCTGTAGAACTTCTTGTACTGCTTGCTGACTTCGGAAATTTCAAGAATTTTAGATTTTCAAATCTCAAGTTTCAGAAAAACTCCTACCCTCGAAGACTTCGGAAATTTTTTGAATTTTGAATTTTTAAATTTCAAGTTTCAGGAAAACTCCTAACCTCTTCAAGACTTCAGAGAAATTCTAGAAATTTTAATTTTCAAATCTCAATTTTCAGGAAATCTTCGAGACTTCAGAAATTTTTAGAATTTTTAATTTTGAAATCTCAAGTTTCAGGAAAACTTCTAACCTCTTCAAAACTTCAGAATTGTTAAAATTAGTCCAATCTACTGCATCCAGGGGCTTTGAGTCCTGGTTTATTGAGAAGCATTATTCTTCAGGTTCTTTTTTGGTTAGTCAGAAGCTTCGTGGGTGGTCTACATTTTAGAATTTAATTTTCGATCCATCTCTCTTCATAAATGCTGATTACTTTTTGTTAACATGATGTGAGTTATTTCCGCGACACTATGTACCAGTTATAAACCAGAAATGATTCACTACCAAGAACAATACAGATGCATATAGCCAAACTCTTCCCTCACTACTTGTCAATGAATCATTTCCCAAACATTGATGGCTACCCAATAATTGGTTAGAATCAGCAATGATTCACTACGAAGAGGATGCACATATATGACATTTAGATGTTCCACATTACTACTATTAGCCAATTAATCATAGTATACTGTAGAAAATGATATCATCAGGGAAAAGAGAGAGAGAGGGGGAGAGAGCTAGAGAAAGTTTATAACTGAAAAGCTTTGAATAGAATTTGGGCCGTTAATTTTGTAAGTCAACACGATGCCTTGGTTCAAAAAAATATTTGAAAAAAATTTTTTGAAAACTCTGCAAAATTTGCATTCACAATCACTGGAAAAGTTGAAAAAAATCCAACGAAAATATTTTGATAGAAGTTAGCAGAAGATACATATTTAGAATGATGTAATCATTAAATTTGAATAAAAATTTATGAAAATTCAAACTTCAAGCTCAAATATTCGGCTAAAAATTAAGACTTTGTGAGTGGTCTCAACTTACTAAATTGGCTGATGAATTTCTAGACCACCCAAGGAGTTAATTAAACTAAAATTTTTGGAAATTAGGAAAATGAATCAAAAAATCAGAAGAAGTTCAGAAAAATGTAAATTCAGAATCTAAAAAAATTTTCACCCAAAAAAATCATAACATAGGATTTTTCAGCAGTAACAATTCCTTTTTTGAAACTTTCTGGGTGGTCTTGCCTCATCAATAAATTTTTCGATTTTCGGACCACCCAAGAAGTTACCCAGCTTGTCTGTAAAGAAGTTCTAAATTTCAAAAACCTTTTTTTCTAACAAAAGAATTCAATGCCACAATGATCAAAAGAAAATGTGAAATGTACCGCTCTGATGTTGCGCAAGCTTTTGCCTGCACTAATGAGCGCCAAGGTTTCAAAAAAAAAAATTGAAACATGTTTGACTTATGTCATTTATCTTTGTAAAAATTTTTTTTTTTAATATTGATTTTTTTCCAAATTTTCCAAAATCGTTCGAATTCCCTCACACTTTTTCTAGAAATCAAAAGCTAAAACAAAAAAGGGGGCGTGTCCACCAATCACATTTGCCAATGAGTCAGAGGTGAGAGGGCACGATGATTCTGCCACCAGCTTCCTGTCTTGACCATTTATTTTTTTGTGGCAACAAATAATTTCTTGTGATTTTCAGAAATGTCTGAAAATTTCAACCAACATCAATTTGCTGGAGCAATCGAGCAAGCGACAATTCATGGACAATTCGATTCCAATAATTGGAAGTGAGTTTGATTTTTGGGCAGATGATTTTAGGCCCGAAAAATTCCTCATTTTCGACGCACAGTTTTTTCATCACACAAAAATCGTGTCGAGTCATTTTTCAAAAAATCAATAATTTCTTATATCAAAAACTGTGGAGAATTCACGTAGTTTTTTTCACGTCATAACACAGATTCAGATTTTATTTTGATCTACTTTCAAAGCGTTTATGTTTCTTCACAATGAACTTTTGCTGATTGTAAAGCTACAAAACGATAAAGCTCAAATCCCTCTCACTGAAAATACAGAATGAAATAAGTACCGATGCTTCAACTCCATTCAATCTAGTCTATTCACAAGTTCCCTTTTTTGTTTTCATGAAAAGTTCCCCCTTCCCCTTTATAGAACCAAAACAGGAGCATAACATCTTGCCGATTTCAATAGAATAGTTATTTTTCGTAAAACATACCATGTGTTAGGTTAGAACAGAGAAGAAAAAATAAGGCAACATAACATTTTTGGGATACATACAGATGTTTCGTTTTTCTTGATTCATTTTGTTTTTTGTATGGAGAGCGAGCACCCGTTTCTCTCTATTTAGATCAGAAGAAACATTTTTTGATTTTTTCCTGAAGTTTTTTGTACTCTAGATTATGATTTCCTACTTACTTACTTTGATGAATTCCCCGATTTTTTCAGATCAACATCTGCTCCAATAGAAATGGACCAAAGTAGACCAGATACAACTTACAATGCTATCTCGAGTTATTCAAGGGAGACTTTGGAAAATGGAAAACTTATTCTATCAGGTTCTGGCGATTCAACTGGCTTAGCTGTCCAAGTTGGGCCTCAAGAAAGGACTAGCGGGAGAGGAATTTCGACCAAGCTATGCTTGGAGAGCATAGATCCGAGTTATAAAGATTACATGGGAAGATATCCGGTCAAAAAAGTGAGGCAATATGTGAGTTTTTGAGGGAATTTTATGGGAAATTGTTGAATATAAAGTATAAATACAGATTGATCAAGAATTGTGGAGTCTGAGCAAAAAAAAGTTATGCTCGTTAGAAAGAGCATGCTCTAATTAGTACAGACCTTGAAGTTTTTTCCTGAAAGATTCTAAAACATTAGTTAGAAAAATTTCAAAACAGTTTAAAAGCTTGAAAGTCTAGATGTACGGTAGTTTAAAGCTGTGAATTCCAAAAATTTGCCAATGGTTTTTTAACCAGGAGACAAACGTTTAGAGCTCAATGAGATATCTTTCAGGCACGCGCATCTGCCGTAAAGCCTCAAAGAAATGTTCCCCCCAAAAAAGTGCTCCCTCCAATGAACAATGTTTTCCAAGGTATTCCAAATCCACCCAATCTTCCGGTGAGTTTGAAATTTCTAGACCTACACGCCTGATATCCTATTTTTATTTTTACAGAAATCGCGATCTCAACAAAACCATTTGAAAAACAATCTAACTAATTTTTCGATTCGTCAAGCAGCGGTCTCTCCAATGAACAAGGTTTCCCAAGGTATTCCAAATCCACCCAATCTTCCGGTGAGTTTGAAATTTCTAGACCTACACGCCTGATATCCTATTTTTATTTTTACAGAAATCACAATCTCAACTTCTGAGAAACAACCTCTCCAATTTTTCGGCTCGTCAACCAGCGCTTCCTCCAATAAACAGTGTTTTCAAGGGTATTCCAAATTCACCCAATGTTCCGGTGAGTTTAGAACTTCTAGACCTACACGCTTGATATCATCACTCATTTTACAGAAACCGCAATCTCAACTATCGAAAAACAACCTCACCAATGTTTCGGTTCCTCAAGCAGCGCTTCCTCCAATAAACAGTGTTTTCAAGGGTATTCCAAATCCACCCAATCTTCCGGTAAGTTTAAAATTTCTAGACCTATATGCTTGATATCATCACTCATTTTACAGAAATCGCAATCGCATCAACAACATTTGAAAATGAACCTCACCAATTGTTCGATTCGTCAAGCAGGTTATCCTCAAGGTTTGGATGTTTCAACATCGCGTGCAACCGAGCCACCAGTTCCAAGAGATCTCCCAACTAAGCTTATGGTTGGAAATGCGATGGAAGATCTCCAACAAAGTGTCGAAGCAACCACCATATCAACACCGCCAGTTTGGAACCCAAAAATGAGAACTCCTCGAAGCACGCCAAAAATAGTTCAACGGGTTCCAGTTCAATATTCTAGAAAGCGTGCCCGTCCAAACTCTGCACCAACAATTCCTTCAAATGCTGCGTACCTTCAAACTGTTTCTTCACTTCCCAATGATCCAAATCCGATCGAGCCGATTCAGACAATTCAAATAATGCCGAGCAATACGCAAGAGTCAACTAATGCAAGAAAAGAACCACAAGAGGATGAAGAAATGGAACAAGAGCCTATGGAGCCCTTTAATTATTTTCCACAATTGGGAGAAAGTATGGATTTTCTGTTGGGATTGCCGGTGTGTGAGGAAACACTTCAGGTTTATTTGCCACGACTTTAAACAATTCAAAATTTTTTTTCTTGAGTTTTTATCTAATTTTCAATCATCTCAAATATTTTTCTGAAAATCTCACTTTCAAAATTGTTTTGGAGTAAAAACATCCAGAAATTTTGATCTTTTATTTTTCCTCTTCAGTTTTTCAAATCCCCTCGATTTCACTTTACTCACCACGGTGCTTGATCTGTTTTGCCTTAATTTTTTACAAATCTGTTTTTTTTGCACACCTATCCGGTTTTTTAAAATTATTTTTTCAAGTTTCAATAAATGATCCACTGAAAAGTTGTTAATTATTGATGTTAAAAATTTCAGAAAACAAAATCATCGGTAAAAAAAATGAAACTAGAAAAAGTTTACTTGAAAAAGCATCTCTTTTTTTCAGATTTGAATTTGATCTACCTAAAATTTAGTGCGCGTCTCCATAAGAGTACATTGTAGGGTCCAATCTCTCCCCTTTCTTTTCTGGTAAGTTTGTAGTTCACTTGTGCAATTACTTTTCCAATTTTCTCTACTAATATATTCAATTCTCTGTATCAAAATTTCCAGACAACACAATTATCATCTTTGTCTATAAATTCCTGATAACCCTACACCAAAATTTTCAGCAAAAACCCCTATTTGGCTACAACTGATAAAATATATTTATTGTTTTTTTTGAGTCGCAAAGGGTTTAGTTTTATCAATAAGGAAATTGGAGTTGAAAATAAATGTATATAAACTGGTATAGAGCCATTATTTTTGCACTTTTTCTCTTTGACCTGATGAGAATACTGCAGTCGCTCGCTGGACAAATTGATAAAAAAAGATACGTTTTTATTTTGTCTGATTTGGAAAATTAAAAAAAAATCGATATTTTGTTTACCCATATTTTCTACTTATGCGCCTAACCCATTTTTAAAGCAGCACTCGGGAAAAATACGGCACCTTTTTAGCACCGAGGCGACAAAAATTGTCGAGGAATTTTGGCCGCCCCGGTGCTAAAAAGGTGCCGAAATTACGGCACCTTTTTAGCGCCAAGGCGACATTTTCATGAAAAATCCATTATTTTACCATACAAATGACTCTTGTTCTCTTTTCATCGAAATTTTCCGCACTAAAAATGTAGCAAGCGTGTCCTAGTGGATAAGAGGATGGGTTGTCATTGTTTTGACCCAAGTTCGATGCCCCTTTCCCGCATCTTTTTTATTTTTTTCGTCTCACTGGCGCACCGTTTTAGCGCCGGTGCGTCACTTCGCGCGCCGTTTTAGCGCCGGTGCGTTCTCTCTGCGCACCTTTTTAGCGCCGAGGCGAGAGCACTTCCCGCCTTGGCGCCCCAGAATGTCGCCTTAGCGCCCCAGGATGTCGCCTTGGCGCCGTATTTTTCCCGAGCACGTATTGTTTTCTTGATCGGCACCTCCCAAAATCACGTCGCTTTCCCATTTATGTGTCGCACTACATTGTACCCTTTCACTTATCGTCGAATCGTTTATTATTCTCTACATTGTAGTGAAAGAATGATGATAAAAAATTATATGTCCTTCATTGTTTTCTTCAAAACATTCGTTCCTATATTTTTTTAATGTTGCGATTTCTTATATTTTTTTTCTAAAATTTATGTTTTTTTTAAATTTCTTTCTTTATTTATTAATATAATAATTTCTAGAATGGTTCATTTAAACAAATCAATTCGTGAAGGAGACAATGCTGATTTGACATCCGAAAGATTGACAGCCACATTCAACACTCATGAAATGGCAGCTCATCTTCATCAAGGCCGTCACCATGCTCAAAGAAGACGTGAAATCACTGAAGCTATTGAGAAGATTCCAGAACTTCATGATAGTCAACCATATCCATTTATGACACGGGAAGAGAAAATAAATGAAGGAGCTAGAAAATTGGAGGCTGTTACAAGACATATGGAGAAGATTATTGATCCGAATAATGCTGCCGAACTTTTTCATTTGAATAAGTGAGTTGGGATTTTTTGAAAAATATTGAAAATTTCTGAAAAAAACCGTACAGATAGATTGAAGGATTATATGGACCTAAAATTGCATTTAAAAAAAATTAAAGGTTTTCTTGGAGTCTGAGCAAAAATAATGTTGTGCTCATTTGAAAGACCGTGTTTTAATTACTACAATCCTCGAAGGAATTTGTCTGGAAGCTTCTAAAACATTAGTTTAAAAATTTTAAAGTCTGGAAAAAACAATGAAACACCTTGTAAAAATTAATGTTTGAGAAGCTTCCAGAAAAAAATAAGCCAACGATTTATCCAGAATCTCTTGAAACCTTTTCTCTATAAATTGTTGTAATTATAGTTTTCTGAGCTCTCCGAACCCTAACTCCCATTTTTCCAGCGAAGTTCTGGGCCTCGAAGGAAATGCGTGTGCTCTCCACGGTGTCATGTTCATCCCTGCAATCCTCGGTCAAGCTGATGATGAGCAACAAGAAAGATGGTTGCATCGAGCAGTCAACCGAGAAATTATCGGAACTTATGCACAAACTGAACTTGGACATGGAACAATGTTGAGAAGATTGGAAACAACTGCTACTTTCGATAAACAAACTGATGAATTTGTTTTGAACACACCAAGTATCACAGCTCTCAAATGGTGAGTTCGTTTTATTTTTTTTTTTTTGGAAATTATTTGTTTTTTTTTCATTCCAGGTGGCCTGGAAATCTTGGAAAATCATCGAATTACGCGGTCGTTGTTGCCACTATGATTATTGATGGGAAAAGCAAAGGTCCACATACTTTTATGGTTCAACTTCGCGATGAGAAAACACACAATCCATTAAAAGGAATTACAATTGGAGATATTGGACCAAAAATGGCTTATAATATCACAGATAATGGATTCCTTGGATTCGACAATTTCAGAATTCCAAGAAGAAATATGCTCATGAGGCACGCGAAACTTGATAGAGATGGAACATATACCAAACCATCACATGCAAAAATCAATTATTCAGCTATGGTTCATGTTAGAAGTTATATGATCAGTCATCAAGCACTTTTCCTTGCGTCTTGTTTAACTATTGCGGTTAGATATTCTGCTGTAAGACATCAAGGACATATTGATCCAAAGGCTCCAGAGGTTAAAGTTCTTGAATATCAAACACAACAACATCGACTCTTCCCACATATTGCTCGAGCTTACGCTTTCAATTTTGCTGGAGCTGAAACTGTCAGACTTTATCAAAAAGTTTTGACTGATATTGAGGAAGGTGACACTTCTTTGATGGCTGATCTTCATGCGCTGACTTCTGGCTTGAAATCTGTTGTTACTTATTTGGGAGGAGAAGGAATGGAGCAAGTAGGTTTCTGTTAATTTAGCTTAAACCAAATTCCAAATTTTTGTAGGCTCGCATGTCTTGTGGAGGTCACGGTTACTCGCAAGCCAGTTACTTCTCTGAAATCTACGGTGTCGCGATTGGTGGATGCACATACGAAGGAGAAAACATGGTGATGATGCTTCAACTCGCTAGATATTTGGTGAAATCTGTTGCCGCTGTTAAACAAGGGCAAGGCAGCAAATTGCCACCACTTGTCGCGTATTTGGGGCAGAAGAGTGAATCAACTTCTTTGATTGATAGAGTTCCAAATGGTGGATTTACTGAGTATATCAAGACTTTCCAACATATCGCGAGACGTCAAACATTCTCAGCAGCGGAGAAGTTTGTGAAACTCATTGAGAATGGAACACCAAGAGAAGTTGCATGGAATAAATCGTCTGTTGAATTGAATAGAGTGAGTTTGAAGGGAAATAAAGATGCACAAAAAATTCATTGAAAAATGTTCAGGCAAGTCGTCTCCACACTCGTCTTTACATCGCTGAAGCTTTTGTCAGAAAAGTCAATGAAGTCGCTGATCCAACAATCAAAGATGCTTTATCCGATCTTCTCCACCTCCATCTCAACTATGAATTGTTAGATGTTGCGACCTATGCATTGCAAGACAATTTCTTATCAACTTCTCAACTCGACTACGTTCGTGATCAACTTTACCTATATCTCGAAAAAGTTCGACCAAACGCCGTGTCATTTGTTGATTCTTGGGAGATCAGTGACCGTGAACTCAGATCCGTAAGCAACGCGCATATTTCTGAATTTCACCAAATGAAAACCTTTCAGGTTCTTGGTCGTCGTGACGGTCACGTTTACAAAAATCTCTTCGAATGGGCCAAACAAAGTCCTCTCAATCGAACAGATGTTCTTCCATATGTTGATAAATATTTGAAGCCAATGATGAAACAACAACAAAGTAAAATCTAGTTATTTTTGTGTGTGTGTATATCATATTTTTGAGTCAAATGAAATTCTAAAAAATAACATTTTATATTTCACAGACACAAAAGACACAAAACCGTAAAAAATAACCGTCATACACTTATGCAACTCAATTTTCACTCGAAAAAAAAGAGAAAAAGAAAAAAATAAAATACCCCTAACTAACTAGATTTAAACCTATGTATTTTTTAAAAAAAAATGTAAAAAACGAGATCTAGGAAAATGAGTATTTGGCGGGAAAAAAATGATTGATGAAATGATAAACACACTTTGAATCAGTGAATTCCATTGGTATAATACTGGAATGAATCGTAGAATCGAGTTGTGTAGCTGTCACGAGAACCATCAACAAGAGTGTCAACCTGGAAATTGAATATAGATTTTTTGGTAGATCAAAACTTCCCGTGAACATGTTTTTTGAATCAAAAATCATTCAGAAGGTTTTGAAGCCTGACAAAAATTCAGAACTGAACTCAATTTTTACCGCCAAAAAACTTACAAGATGTTGAAGTTGCTCATCAGTGCTACTAACATGAAAGCGCGCTTCAAGTGCTCGAACAGTTTCAGCACCAGCGCGAAAGCATTGCATCTTCGAGCCGGTTGACATTATCTCAGCAAGCGATACAATTCGTCGATGATGTTTTCGCGCAGCCATCAACCCTCTCAACAACAAACTTTTGTAGTATAGGAACATATCGCTATCAATTCCACCCATCACATCGACTGAAATATTGATTTTTTTTGGATTATTGATTTTTAAGAAGAACTTACTCAATTCAGTGGTTAATTTGAAGGGAGCAGTTTCGAATCCAAGATTTCTGGGTGACGATGAGAGAAGAAAACCATAATCAATGTGAATCAAATGACCTTCAAGATCAAGCAGAATATTTCCATTGTGACGATCTTTGAGTTGAAGGAAGTAGCTGACAAGACTATAAGCAGCGGTGCTTTGGATGAAGTTTTTTTGAGCGCTGGAAAAATTATTGATTGAAATAGAGGATTCCAAATAAAAAATAAAAAAACCTACTTGACATATGCTTCACTTCCCGGTGGTCCAAACATATCCTCAAAATGATGTCGCAAAGTTGGTGTGGCAACATTTCCATTCTCTCTAAAGATGCGTGTGAGATGTCGTTTGATTTGATGAAGTGACAATGTATCCAAAACCGGCTCGACTAATCCCGAATCAGGTCCGACGCAGACGATTTTGTAGGGGCGGAGGTATAATGGAACACCTTCTTCAGTCCAAAGATCCTGGAAGTATGGGATGAATTCAAGATGTTTCAGTACTCCTATTCTACAAGAACCCAAAAAATCAATAAATCCTCACCTTGAATATCTGAAGAACTTGCTGTGCAAACGACTCTTGCGACAAATCATCGCCATATTTCACAATGACTGGTATCAAATCCCATTCCTTATATCCACCATAATCACTGCAAGCCCGAATTCGATCCTTCTTATCATTCCAAGATTCGGCAAAAACAGCAGCTGAGGGATCAGTTACATCATGATACATCTGAAAAATGACAAGTGTTGCTTCATAGAAAACTAGATAAATACCTTAATTCGTTTATTTGGACTGCATTTTCGTCCTTCTTGCTGTTTTTCAAGGCTTTCTAATCTACAAACTGAAATTTCTTCTTGATAATTTGATTGTTTGCGGAGAACTTCGACGAAAAGAATGTATGGAACCTGCAAGACATTCAAAAAATGTTTTCGCAAAAGAATCTGACTTACCTTATCTTTACTATTCAAGACACTGGAATCATTAAAGCAAATGTTGAGAATTGTATGATCATTTGAAAATGGAATCCAAACTGGTGCTGGCAACATGCCATTCAACATTTGTAGCTCGATTTTGAGCGCAGTCATTTTTTCCTGCTTGGTGTCTCCGATATGAATCACCATCAATTTTCTGCCGATTTGCATCAGTCTTTCGATGAATTTTTGCTCACAGTTTAATAATTCTTTCTGGAAATTTGGAAGGTTCAGGATTTTTTAGTGAAATCACAAAAAATGTCTAAAATTTGAGGTTGCTATCGTAATGATTTTTTTTTCAAAAAGCTCACCGATGATAATTCTCTAGCAACACTGATCTCATTTTGATTCTTCTTATCATATCCATATCCATTTCCAATCACAACATTTTCTCCAGAAGATTTTTTGGCCAACCAATCAGTTTCTTTCAAATTTTCCAATGACAAAGTTGACAAAACATTTGGTGGTTTTTTATCGGCAATCAAATTTATAGCCTCTTCACATTTATCAATTTCACTTTTCAACATTCCCCGAAGCATAAATGCATGATTTGGGATACGTGTCGCTGAATTAATTGGCGGAATGAAGCAATCGAGCAGCCAAGTGCATAAAATTGTGAAATGCGCATTATTTGTATGCCTGCAAGAAAATTGATCTATGAATTGTGTACTTTTTCTAGAAGTTTCTATTCTGGGAAAAAATTTCCAAAAACTTTTACATAACTCCCCAACCCAATAGATATCTGACCTGGTTTCAATATAAGCATGTGTAACACTGGCTGCATCAATTTTGTTCACATACATAAAAATGAGTTGGGGAAGGAAGAAGTCAATTTCGCTGGCCGAAAGATCAAAAAGTCGTTTGCCAAGATAAGACAAACATGGTTTGTCGTTGATTGTGTGTAGATATTCGATCGCCATTGGAACACTGAATCGATCCGATGTTATAAGTCGCATTGTCCAACTTGGAGGATCAACAAGTGGTTTGGTCTGGAAACATGGAGAATTTTTTAAGATTCACTAAGAATTTTTGAAGGGTAGTTCACTTACCACAATTGGTTCAGGTTCTGATGTTGTTTCGGGAGATGTTGATGGTTCATAAGGCGTCTGGAAATAAATGAATAAGAAATCAGAAGTTTGAAAAATTCAATTAGAAATACCTAACTAACTTTTATGTTTATTATGTTGTCATAAAATTTCATCTAAATGTTTCATTATCAGAAAAAAAAAATTTGTCTGAAATTTATTTTTTTCACACACAAACTTTTATCGACATAGGGCCAAAAATTGAAATTTTGAGGTGTTTCAAAAATTTGAAAAAAATTTGAAATTTTAAATCATAAGTTTTTTGATACTAGAAATTCTTTTGAAAAGTTGAAAACGCTAACTTAGAATTTAGCCTAAAATTCCAGCCCAAAACCCAAACATTAGAGACACAGGCAATAACGGAAGGATCCATAATGGATCCATTATGGATCCATCAAGTCCCCCGAGGTGATGGATCCATAAGGTGCACATAATGGATCCATCACACCGACCACTGATTGATCGTTGATGGATCGATGATTGATGCTTGATTTATTCAAAACTTTTAACACTTTTAAGACAAAAAAATTTATTGAAGCAAAAAAAAACAGTGATAGAAGAAAATAAAATAAAAATAATCCGAACTGCTAAAAGTCTACAACTATTTTTTTCTCAATATCAGGAATTTAGTTTCCTTTAGAAACTTTTGAATAAGTTTTTCTGACAAGGAAAGTGTTATGAGAACTCAGAGATTTTCAACGAGACATTTATGTTTCTGTATAGTTTTCCACGCTGTGAAAGATTCCGTTTTCAGATTTTGCCGAGCGACTCTCTGAAGACAACGAAAATTAGCCAAAAGTCCAGAATTTTGTGAAAATCCTGTTTTCCCTCTGAACATGAGCTATGCGCTCTAAAAAACACAATGTTCACAAAATTCTGGACTTATGGATCATCTTCGGGCTCTTCAGATAGTCGCTCAGAAAAAACTGAAAACGGGATCTTTCTCAGCGTGAAAAACTGCACAGAAACATATGTGTCTCATTGAAAATCTCTGATGATTCATAACACACTTCCCTTGTGAGTAACAAAAACTTTGCCTTGCTGAGTGTAGACTTCATACAGGTTGCGAATCTAACAAAAAATTAATAACTTATCGTATTATAAGGTAGTTGGCCGAGCTGCGCAGTCCTGTCGTTGGCCTCCCAGTTGTTTGTCCATCGCTTCTGCAATCAGATTGAACTTATCGTGAAACATTGTAAATTTTTAGGAGAAACTTACAAGAACATCTCCATTTTCCGCTATGTTCGATCGCTCGAGCATTTTTGTGACGAAAATACCTGAAAATATAGAGTTAAGCAGAAACTAAATCATATAATTACGATTTGAGAGAATGAGAAATACGAAAAATTAGGAGAAAATTAACTTAACACCATTATGTGATTAGTGAAGGGCAGAACCGATGATATGAGTTTAAAAAAATAATTTGAAGTGAAGTATAGTAAAAGTTGTAAGAACAAACGTGATAGGTTGAATTGATGACTAATAACATTCACTAGGTGTGATGTTCTCTCAATCGTCTAAGAAATTATAAAATTCAACCAGAAAATCTCAAATGAGCAGCTAAGGATAGTTCTAGGGACTGTTGAGCGGAGATAATCAGTCACCAAGTGAATTTCAAGCTTCCCAGGAGAAACTTGATGCTCCAAGCTGAAATAAGTTCTTCACACCAGGAGAAAATTATTTAAAAACTACAAATGAATGGCTCACACGCCTAAATATCTATGAAATACATGAAGAAAACACATTTTGGCCTAATTCAGGCGTTTGAAGAGGATTTCCAATGTCCCACTATAATTCCTCACTCGTCAATAGTCCGGAAAAGATTTTTCTATTCGTTCTTCGTCTCATAAGTTACTCATTGCCCCTCAAAAACAGAAAAAAACGAGAAAAAAGAAAAAAAAGAAAATTTCGAAAAGCACACAAACGGCGTGCGCTGCGAGACCAACTCAAACAAATGTGTGCGCCTTTAACTGATTGTTTTCGCGCATCAATTAATCGAGTTTGGTGAAAAATGGTAAACACCATTCGATTCAGAATTTCACGCTGACTAAAATGATATAAAAATCATCCCTCTCTGTGAAAGTTTTTGAGTTTACTTTTTTGGAAAAAATTGAATGATTTTTGGGCTACAAGTGTTATTTTTTAACACTTTGTAGTTATGACAACAATATTCTTTCAAAAAATAGTTAAAATAATTGTTCTTGGACCCAATACTTCTGACTTCTATAAACTCTTGTTCTTGATAAATCACGGATCAATCATGGATCAATCAAAATCACTGATTGATGCGAGATAAGTCTCTGATTGGTCTCAGATGGATCCAAGATGGGTCAAAATCGGTGATGGATCCATAATGGATCCATTATGGATCCTTCCGTTATTGCCTGTGAGAATAATTTCTCAAAGCCTCTTTTCCATTCTCAATTTTTCAGGTTTGAAATTCCAATCCATCCTAACCCCTTTTCCCCAAAAACTAACCACTGGAATACATTTAACATCCTCATCTGGTTTTGTAACAATCACATCTCCGTCCGAATCTTCATCCAATTTCACCTCCAAATTCTCAATCTGATTAATCGGACATTTCGAACAAGAAGACCCATTTGTTTGTGAATGATGGCAAGAAATCGGTTTCACATCCATCTGAAAGAAAGAAAAACGACAATTGACAAAAAACAAGCGAACAACGAAACGAAAAAAAAAAACATTTTTTCTCATGATTGAAGAAAGAAACAAAATAAAATATGTGCCGAGGGAGAGAACAGATAGAAAAAAACGAAAAGAAAAAAAACAAAAACAATTTTTTTGTGTACTTTCATGTTGTTTCGAAATTTTGAAAGTCACAGGGCCCGATTTTATTATTTTATTTTATTTTAAACAAAAAATAAAATCGATCGATTAAAAGTGTCTCTCTCTCACTCTCTACACACTTCAAACAGCAAAAAAAACAATCATCATAACAAAAGACGATGGAAGAGCGCCCTCTACAGAATAATCCATAATTGTCCTTTTTTATGTATTGTTTTTGTGTTTTTTTCTCGCATTTGTTTTTTGTTTCTCACAATCACAAGGGAACTTTTTTGTTAGAATGAAATTTTGAAAAAAATAATTGGGTTTGGGATGAGATTGAGAGTTTTGAGACCTCAAAACTCGCGGATCAAAGAGAAATATGAAAAGATACATATTTCTGATCTCAAAACCCATCTCCAACCAAAATTTCAACAAAAAACGTTTCCTTGTTAGAGAAAAAAAATGATATTACATATTAATTTTCTACTTTCCTCTTTTTATATTCAAGACGATGCAAAGCAGAAAAATTTGCGATTCAGTGAGTGAGAACAAATAGCAAAACATTATTCACACGATCAGAAAAAAGAGACTCCTCGAATTTCGTCGTTAGCATAAAAAATAACATCAAATAAATCGAATGAAGTTTCTTTCACCAGAAAAAAAAAGAAAAACGGAGGAAAAAACAAGGAGACGAGAAAAATTGGTAACTTTATGTTGGACTGAATATTGTTCCAGTTTTGTTTCCGGTAAATTAAAAGTTTCAAAATTTATTGAATTGGGTTTTCGATCTTTAGAATACCTTGAATCTCAAATCAAATTTTTTGACAGAATTTTTCAGAAATGAAGTCTGATATCAAAAATTATTTAGAAAAAATTAACTAGCGGGGTGTATTTTTGTTGAAATCACGTTGAAAATCGAAAAAAAAAATTCAAAGAAAATTCGAAAAAATATTTTTCGTAAAAAATTTGATTCTGGGGAATCATGTGAAGACGTTAATTTTTTCCCACAAAATTGGGGAAAAATATTGTTATAAAGTATCTTTCCCCCAGCAAACGCTTGAAAAACAACAACAAAAAACAGCCGAGAAAAATTGGTAACTTAGACCAAAATTGTTTTTCTTCTTCTTTTTTCTCACTCAACTCGAACATAGAAAAAATGGGGAAAAAAGAGGCACTCATTCTCTATGAACGACCTTTATCTTTCACAGTGAGCCTTAGTTGAGCTCACATTCAGCTCATAATTAAATTTTATAGATATGTGTAGTAGTAGGAATAAAAAAAAGGGTTGGAATATACATAGGAAGATAGAGACTCACATTCAACTGCAGAAAAAAAAGATGGAATCCCAATTATTTTTTGTTTGTAGAATACTCAACGAACCAAACAGAAATTTATTAGTTTTCTTTATGGGTTTTATGGCAGAAATGCTCTAATCCTCAAAAAGTCATGTCATGTACTATTATGTGTACATAATCCCTTTTTTAATCTGAAGTGAAGTCTAACATTTTAATTATAGCAGAATACATTGATTTGACAAGGGAACGTTTATTTGACAATGTTGAAAATTCCAACAAAAAAACTAATAGAAGCGGAATGAGAGCTCTAAAATAGAAAAAAATTCCGGTTTTTCTAAAAAAAAAACGGCACAAAGTGTAATTTACTCTTCAAAAATCATTCTGCGTAGAAATTTATCGCAAAAGTGAGAGATTTTGAGAAGATATTTCTAGATCTACAGAAAATTTTGAGAAAAATGACTTTTCTATGGCCTCAAATAGTGAGAAATTGATCAAGTAAGGAGCATAGAGTTAGCCTAAGTCGACTCATTTTTTTTCTAGAAAAAATGAGTATCAAAAATGATCCCTATTCTAATTACTAGAGAGTCATGTTTCCAAAATCCTAAAAAAAATAAGCCCACTAAACATTTTTAGAAAATTCCAGGAATTTATGATGATTTTTTATAAAATAAAATTCCGTGATTACTGATTTTCTGATTTTTAGTTCTCAGAGCCCACGCTGTAAGAGCAGATTGGTAATTTTCTGAAATTCTAGAAATCTATAATTTGGAAAACAATAAAAAAAATTGAGGAAATATTTAAACAAAAATTTGAACCAATTTCATATTTTTAAATAAGCATACAAAAAGAAATAAACAAACAAACAATAAAATCTGCAAATGTTCGTCGCAGTGTTTGCACACAAAAGGCACTAGAAAACTGGTTTTCAAAATGACAAAACACTTTTTTTCTCTCTCATTTTTTCTACCAAATTTTTTGTTGTTTTTTTACTTTGAATTAAAAAATGACTAGATATCTAGGATTAGTGTAAGCTGTGAGATCTCTCAAACAAACTATTGATCGCGCAAAAACCTAGCCTAGCTTAGTTAGCCTAACATAAGTTTCCCCGTTCAAAAACCTAATTACATGAGAAACATGATTGGCCTTTTTTTTCGCAAGTAGAAAATTATTTATTCACATTCAGAAAGCAGAGAAGAAAAAGAAAAGAAAATGCATTATTGATTATTTCATTTAATCAGAACCCAAAGCAGAAAAGAGTTATACTATTTTTTATCAATTGTGTTTTTGTTTTGGCTAACAAACCAAACAAAACATCAAACGATAACAAAAAAGACTTTGATTTGCTTGGATAAATATATTTTTTATATATTTATCCAATGAGGAAAACATAAAAGACCTGAATGATAAGCTATTTGATTGCAACACGCAAAAAAAATCATACGACCAAAGGGGAAACTTTTACTTCTAATTATAAATAAATAAATCGATAAATAGAGAATGGAAAATGGAAAATATATATGTCGATTGAGTGGGTAAATAATGGCGGTAACGTAAAATTAATTATGAGAAAAAAAATGCTAAGATTTTTAGAAGACCTGTTAAATATTCGGATGATATAGGCTAACAATAAGCGAGTGAAAATAAAATACCAAACAACTAAAAAAAAAATAATAAAAGAATACATGTATGTGTGCGCCGACTCAACAAACAAAAAAAAACACAGAGGTGCGCACTCTTCTTTTCTCCTGCCTGTCTCCAACCTTTGACTTCTCCTTCTTCTTCTTTTTCTTTGCTTCTTATTATTATTTCACACACACTTACACACTACACTTCAAAATAGAATATTAAATCGAGAAAGTTTATTTTTAAAACGATTTTCAGATTTTATCTCGAAAATAAATCTATTGTTCTTTTGTTTTCACCTGTTTTTTTTTCCATCGATTTTTGCAATTCAAAAGTTTTTGAAAATGGATTAGTTTTCTTCGGTTTTTCCTTGAAAATAGAAAAAAAACGTGGGAAAATTGTTGAATAGCTATTTTAATTGAGACGGATTGAATAAATATATAATATATCAAATTTTAAAACTATTTTTCATTGTTCAAACATCATTTGAAAAACAAAAAACAATGGCCAAAAATTGTATTTTTTTTTTGAAAAAATAAAAAAATGTAACCTGTATGATGAGTCATTTGGTTTCATTTTCATTTTGTCTGTGTTTTGGAATTTTTTTCGAGTTTTGTTAACATTTTGATCTACTAGAGACAATGTAGAATGGAGAGATTCTAGGCATTTGCTCTTGGAAACCCTGGAAGATCAGGGAACCCTAGGTAATCAGGATTCTGGGAATCTGGGGTAATTGGGATTTTAGGAATCGGGATTTACCCATCCGCTTTGTGAAACCAGATTCTCGGAAATTTTTGTCTGCACTCTCTTCATTTCGCATTGTTTCTAATTCATGTTTTTCTGCAAGGCACAAAAAATAATCTGCAATTTATCTGAAGTGTTTCCGGTTCTCACATCATTTTCCCCCATTTCGATCTCAATTTTTCGCATGTCAAACATTCATATAAACATGTCTATCAAAAAAAAACTTGTACATCCAATAAAACATCAAACAATTCTCGAGGGAAATTTCGCGCGTCCAAATCAAAACCTAATTTTCCTCTTCTCTCCTACATATATTTTGTCCACATCCCATCGTATTTTATGTGTTTCCTGCCCGCGCCAGAAAAAAATGCCTAATTATTGTTGCGCCCTGAATTCAAGCAATAAACCAAGAAGTGCGACAGAGCGCATGCGCAGCAGCAGTATTCCCTCTTCTTATATTGATCACTTCCATTTTTTGAGTGTTGTGTGAGTGTGTATGTGTGTGTATAGGGAAAGAGGGATGGATAGACGCGCACACGCATTCCTCTTCTATTTTTTTCACCCTCCAAATTATTTATCTCTCTCTTCTCTCTCTCTCTTTCTCTAACCTCTCCTTAAATATCATATTAACCCGAACCGGTTTCAGGTTTTCCAACACCTCAACAAAAAAATTGAGAATTTTGAGAATTTCCATGTTCATGAAATGAATGGAACTTTTGAATCAACCAGTAAAGGTGAGTGAAATTTTTTTCGGATTTCTAATTTTAATTTGAAATTAAAAATCAGTATAGGTATTTCAGATGAGCACGACATCACGTCATCTACAAAATTTACAAATGTGAGTTTTCAAATTGAATTTTATGGGCTGGTGTTTTTTATTGAACAGTTTTTGTGGAATTTTAATTCAATTTTTCTTGTGAAAAAGTTTCTAATAGGGATTTTTAATTAAAAAAATTAGAACATGTTTCACTACCTGAAAGTTCAAGGTCCCAAAGCATAATTTTGTGAATTTTCGCTTCAGGACCAAAAAATACAGGTTTTAATAGTCCAGATGCAAGAATCATTAAAATTGGCTCCAAAACTAATAGAATCACGATTTTTCTGGTCTCGCAGAGAAAATTTGTTATTTTTTGCATCGGGACCACAAAAATATCAATTTTCAGGGTTCCGAAACGAAAATTCATCAAAAACACTGATTTTCGCTTTGCTCTGCAGATCATTTTTTGTTATAGTCACAAATGTCGTAGGAAGCGTTGCGGTCAAGCGCTGCGTGTTTTATTTTCAGAAAAAAAAATTAAAAACACGCAGCGCTTGACCGCAGCGCGTACAACGACATTTGTGCTTTTGGATTCAATTTTTTTGATCTTTTTTTCTGATTAGAGAGCACGTGTAATTATGAGAGATCAGACAAAAAATTTGTTTGATTATTTCAGCCGCAAAATATCAAACTATAAATTCTTTTCATTTTCAGATACAATATTTGGGATGCTCACAACTTGTAAATCAAAATGACGATAAAGAAATGAAAGCGCTAATGAAGGTTAGTTCATCGAACTACAGCCATTTTTTGCATCTTTTTTTTTGCTCCTCCCCCCAGACCACCACCAAAAAGCCGCACAATTTAACAGGGTTTAGTTTAGTCGTTTTTTTCTCCATTTTTCTCGTATTCCTACACAGCCTTCCAATTTTTTTAGGTGCTGGATGAACAAAAAGGAATCAATCCTGTGAAAGTTACACTAATTGTTCCACATAGTGTTACTGGGACGGTGAAGTGAGTTAATTTTGTATTTTTTTTGTTAAATAGAGAAATTTTTCAGATTGATCGACGCAAACGGCACAATTCTATCATCATTTCCAATTGTGAATATTCGGTTTTGTATTCGTGGTGACGTCACAACATCGCAAATCAATTGTTTTGGAATTTCTTTTACCCATAAAGGAAGCAATCCGTGAGTTTTCTAAAGGGAAAAATTTTGAGAAATGGAAAGAGTTGGAAAATTAGTTTCATTAGGGAGCATTTTTCAACCGGCTAAAACTGAGGTTCAAAAATCATGCATTTGAGTTTCAAAAGTGATACAAATATGTTTAAAAAAAAAAACCAGGTATCAAAAAGTAATAGAAAGTTTTGTACGTCTGAAAATTCTTGAAACTTCAAAATCTAATTTTTTTTAATGAAACGGCTAGAATTCTTAATTTTTTTAAGAAAAATATTTAAAGCCATTTGAGATTTTTTACATCTACAGCTTCTGAATATTCTACCAATTTTCCATTTTATTTTAAAATCCACATATTCACGGTGTTTCAAAAAAAAACACTAGAAAAATCCATTTTTGATGATTTTATGAAATATATTTGTTCACAAAAAACATGTTTGGATTAGCAAAAATCAAATTTTGAAATTTTTGTTGAGTATAAACATATTTTGAAATTAAATAGTTTTAACTGTTGCGTGAAATTTTCTAAAAATTATCTCTGATGATTTTTTTTCAATTTTTTAACCTCTTTTCAGTTCCAATATGTCAAATAAGCTCTTTCATTCAAATTCAGAAAAAAAAAACAAATATTCCATATTCCTTTCTCTTTTGAAAACGATTTTTGATCTTCCCTCTCCAAAAAAACATCCAAAAAAGTATAATCCAATTTTTGCAGCGAGCCAAGCACCCCACCAAGTTCATCACATCAGTGCCACGTTTTTCGAGCGCCAAAACCTGAAATCGTATGTGTTTTTTTCTTTTTGTTGTTCTAAAAACAACAAATACACTGGCAAAGAAAAAATAACAAGCCAATAACATATTATTTTTTTTATCAGGCTGCTCGAGCATTGTATTGTTTTTCACATGCGTTTTCGAACAAAAAACCAATGGAAGCGAATAATCATCGATTAGAATTCACTTTTGAGAGTGCTCTTGAAATCAGGGTTGGTTTTTTTTGGAGTTTGGAAAATATGTGTGACGTCATACACTGGAAAATTTCAAGAAAAGGTTTTTTGTGTGTAACTATTCTCCAAATTTTTTCAATCAACATCTTTCTAGTTATCCTAACTTCATCCCATCTCAAACCCTCAATTTTCCAGGAAAACGATGGAACTGTACAAAATCCCCAATGGAAACTATGCCCTTTACACAATGGAGTGTTCAAATTGCGACGAGATCGAGCCAAAAAATTAATTATTCAATTAAAACAGACAAGCGGGTTTCTATTAAATGTGACAAAATGTTTTGGAATGTTATTAGCTGCTGGTAGAAATTTACGACATTCGGATCTTCAATTATTGGAAATGGAGAAAAATGCGTTTGGTGAGAATTTTTTGATCTGAAATAAGCGAGAATCATTTTTTTCAGAGCCAGAATCAACAATTTTCGTGATTGAAGCCAATTGGGATCCTCGTGTCAATATGTTTGAAGTGTTGAACACTGAAACGCCTCGAGGTTTGCCGCCCCAATTCTTTCCTCACATATTTTTTCATTTTTTTAGAGACGCGTGTCTTCATGACAGTCGCAATTGATGTTATCGTTGCTGAAGTCAGTGAACCTATTCGTTTTTCAATGGAATCTATGTCACGCGTTTTTCATGAACATGAGAGATTTTATAAGACTCCGAGATCTATTGTTTCCGAAGGTTTTACTTTGGTTTTAGAGGTTTGTAGAATTTTTTGAAAAATCAATAACTTTGAATTTAATTTTCATGGGCCATGAAAATTAAATTGAATAAAATATCGTAAAATCAAAAGATCTTGGACAAATATTTTTTTGTATTCTTGTTTTCACATTAGTTTTTTTTGCATACGAAAAAAAATACTGGAAATTTTCTTGAACACTTTTTTTGGCCCATAAGAAATTGATTTTCAAGAATGTTTAAAAGCGAAAGTTATTGGCCTAATTTTTCTCTTACTTATGAACAATTTGTTTATTTTTAAGGCGCCTGGATAGCTATTTTTTTGAGCTCTGAACTTTGATCCGGAATTTATAGAAGATGGGACCTCAATATTTTAAAACAAATGTGATCTCATTAATCATCACCGAAATGAAAAAAAGCATATTTTTTTCCTTTTTTGTGTGGTCCCATTCTAAGCAAATTTCATTTTTCAATTGTTCTATAGTCACATTTTCACAAACTTTTAGCATAGGTAAATGCATTTAAGTCACGCCCACTTTAGAAATTTTGAAAATCTTTTTTAACCCAACTCAATTGGTTCTAAAATAGTCAAATGAAGTGCCAACGCACTTTTTATCTTTAAAAATTTTACGACCCTTTTCCCCGTTCTATTTTTTTTTCGACAAACACATATAAACACAGAAAAAAAGCGAAACACATAAAAATTGAAAAAAAAATCGACCACAAGCCCCCCAAAAAAATCAGTTGTTATTGGACGAATAATTCGAGCTCACACATCTCTAACCGTCTCACTTTCTCTAGTTTCTCTAGTTTTGTCCCTTTCCAATTTCTTTTTTTTTCTTTTCCTCCCGCACGCGCTCTCTCCGCATTTTCTTTTCTTATATATTTACTCTCGATATTTCTGTTCACCATATAGTTTTTTTTTGTTTTTGTGCGTGCGCAAAACAACTTCCTTTTTCAGAAAGGCAACGAAGGTGGCGATAATCAGAAATTGGTGTTTATTTCGTTGGAATCGGAGAGTGATCGGAAGCGATTGAAACAGAATCTTGGACGAAGCCCGTCAAGAATGCCAACACAACTTTTACATCCAACTGGCGAAGATGAGTCAGGTTTGTTTATTTAAATTTTTTGATTGGACATTTAAGAAGGGGCAGCAGCTGAAATTGCTTTTCTGAAAGGGTATAAAGGTTTTATGAAAAAAGAAAGATTCAAAAATAGAACAGCTGAAAATTATTTCAAACTATATACACGTATTTCAGTTAAAGATTTTAAAGGTGCAGTACGAAATTAACATGAGTTATGCTCATTTGAAAGAGCATTTTCTAATTAATACAATCCTCAAAAGATTTTTTCTGGAAGCTTTTCAGAAATTGATTAAAAAAATTGTGAAGTTCGAAAAAAAGTTATTTTTTTCCAGATTGCGATGAGCCATTGTTATCAGGATCTGGAATTGTGTCACAAGATTGTGGAGAAGAAGTGATGAAAAAATGGGATGAATGTATTGAAACTTGGAAAACATTGGAAGAAGGCCGACCGGAGCCAGTTTCCCAACTGATTTTGAATGGAATTCCTGATCAACTTCGTGGACAAGTTTGGCAATTATTATCGAAGGTGAGGGATTTTTTTTTAAATTGAAATTATAATGGAAAAAATCGATAACTCAAAGGGGTATCTTGATTTGTAAAAAAAAAGTAGAATTTAAAAAATTTTCGGAAACCTAAATGTAAGAACATATTTTTGGAATCATCGAAATTAGATATGACATTATTATTTTAAAAAATCATATTTCAAATATCAAAAACTTCCACTGATTTCTCTGATCTACACCTCACCTCACATTCAGTCAGTTTTTTATTCCAGGCCGACAAATGTCAAGATATAATTGATGCCTATACATCACTTCTATTGAAAGAATGCCCATCGGAACAAGTTATAATGCGAGACATTCATCGAACTTTCCCGGCTCATGATCATTTCAAACAATCTGGTGGTGAAGGTCAAGAAGCGCTGTATAAAATTAGTAAAGTGAGATTTTCTTGGTAGAATTTTTAAAGAAAAAAAATGAACCGAAAATTTTCAGGCTTATTCGCTGTATGATGAAGAAGTTTCATATTGTCAGGGGTTATCATTTTTGGCTGCCAGTTTATTGTTACATGTGAGTTTTTTGAATGAATTTTCACGGATTTTCAGAAGGTTATACTCAAATCTTTTGCAGATGCCTGAAGAGCAAGCTTTCTGTACACTTGTAAAAATAATGTTCGACTATGGGCTCCGAGATTTATTCAAACTCGGATTCGACAATCTCCACCTCCGATTCTACCAACTTACCTCATTGCTAAAAGATTATCTTCCTGATCTCCATCAACATCTCGAACTAATTGGAATCGAAACTCATATGTATGCATCACAATGGTTCCTCACTTTGTTCACCGCGAAGTTCCCGCTTCAAATGGTTTTTTTCATCCTCGATTTATTTTTGTGTGAAGGAATGAACACAATATTTCACATTTCATTGGCTTTATTACAAGATGCTCGAACTGATTTATTACAATTGGATTTCGAAGGAACATTGAAATATTTTCGAGTTTCATTGCCTCGAAAATATCGAACTGAAGCATCAACCAAATCACTTATCCAAAAAGCTGTTAATTTTAAATTAAAGCACAAACGATTGGATAAATATGAGAAGGATTATATTGAAATGAAAGAGCGTGAAAGAGAAAATGAGGATCCGATTCTACGATTGGAGAAAGAGAATAGTCGACATGTTGCGAATATGATGAGACTTGAACGGGAGAATGATGATTTGGCTCATGAATTGGTGACGAGCAAAATTGAATTACGTAGAAAATTGGATCTTGTTGAGGTATTTTTTTATAGTTGGAATTGGGAAGAGGGGTATTTGAAACTAGGCACCTTTAGAGTTTATAATTTTTACTGAAAATCAAAAAAGTTACTCTAACTTCACATCTCAATTATTTTAGGATCAACTCGAAACATCAGCAAATACAATCGAACGACTTACTCGACAAAATAAAGATATCCTTGAAGAAAATCGAAATTTGATGAGAGAATATGAGCAAATCAAAGAAATGTATCGACGAGATGTGAATGAACTCGAAGGAAATCGAACGAGAGCCGAAAAATTGTTGGGAGAATATAAGAATTTGTTCTCGGAGAAGAGTCGAAGATCGGAGTTGGATAAGGATAATTTTGAAGCGCAGAAACGCGCGATTGTGGTGAGAAATTTTTAATTTTTTCAACTTCAAACCCATCTTGATTGCTTTTAGGCTCGAATTTCTAACTGTGACAAATGCTGGCCGGCCGTCGAAGAATGGGAGAAAAATCGAAGCCCGGTTCATGCTGGAACTCCAACCTCTTGCCCAGATCTTTTGACAAAACTTGAAGAGCGGGAAGATCATATCAAGTGAGATCTCTGACTGACCGAGATTTCAAAATCAAAAAAAATATTTTTCAGGACACTGGAAATCAACTTGGCTCAAACCAAGCTCGAACTCGTTGAAGCTGAATGTCGAAATCAAGAGCTCACCCATCAATTGATGACGCAAAGCGAGAGTGATGGCAAAAAGTGAGTTTTTTTCTGTAGAATTTCTTGAAACTGAACTTCATTTTGTTTTCAGATGGTTCAAAAAAACAATGACACAACTCCGAGAAGTTGGCTCATCACTCAAACAACATGAAAGATCAAATTCATCGGTAGCCCTATAAATATAATTCACATATGAGATTATGTGTTTGTTAATTTTATATATACATTTTCATTTACCCATCTTCAAATTTATCAACGTCAATCAGTCAACTGTGAATACTTTTTTCAAATTTATTGTGATCGCTAGGGTCTTTTTTTTATTAGACGTCTTTCGCTTTTCGCCAATTTTCACGCATATTTTTCTTTAACTGTCTTGTTTTTTGTCTAAATTCAATTCATCTCAATCATTCCTTGTTCCGCATAATTTATTAGTATTTTTTTTTATTTTTCTGTTTTTATTTATCAAGACATCATTTCAACGGGACATTGTGAAATTATAGAACAATAAATTATTTGAGTACAAAACAAGATTTTGGATTTTTTGTGAAAAAACTCTTTTTCTTTTTGAAAAAACTCGGGCCGATTTTTTTTTGAAAAAACTCGAGCCGATTTTTTTTTTGAAAAAACTCGGGCCGATTTTTTTTTGAAAAAACTCCGGCCGATTTTTTGAAAAAACTCGGGCCGATTTTTTTTTGAAAAAACTCGGGCCAATTTTTTTTTGAAAAAACTCGGGCCAATTTTTTTTTGAAAAAAATCGGCCCGAGTTTTTTTGTTAGATGAAAAAATCGGCCCGAGTTTTTTTGTTAGATGAAAAATAATCGGCCCGAGTTTTTTTTTTTTTTGAAAAAAATCGGCCCGAGTTTTTTTGTTAAATGAAAAAAATCGGCCCGAGTTTTTTTGTTAAATGAAAAAAATCGGCCCGAGTTTTTTTGTTAGATGAAAAAAATCGGCCCGAGTTTTTTTGTTAGATGAAAAAAATCGTATTTTTTTGAGCATATATATTTTTGAGCGGAGCACTTCTCTATCGGTACGGTTTTTAGGGTACTGTAGATCAAAGAGTTCTGAAGAAATCAAAATTTTGAAATTACTGTATATAAGGAAAGTAATAGGTTTGGAACTATTTTCCGCATTGTTTCTCAAATAATAAGGTTTCAAAAGTACTGTAGATTATCGAGATTTAAAGGAACATATTCAATTTGAGTAAATAACTTCAAGATTTTAGATGTACTGTAGATTATTTTGGAGCCAGGTTCATTCTACACCCTCGAAAGTCCACAAAATGCAAAGGAAAAACATTTCCCAACTTCAAAATGTTAATAAATTTTCCGTCATGTTCAAAAACTTTGTAACCAGTAATATTTATGAGACAAAAATAAAAATAAAAAAAACAAATTCAATTACTTACAAATACACTTATGGCAAGTTAAATATTCCTAATCATCAAATACCAGTAAAACGAAAAAAAATACGAAAGATCTAATTAATATTCACACATTTCAGCTTTTTCATAATATTTATTCGCCAATTTTCCATTCATCGCTTCCATTGCAGCATCAGCAGCTTCAGTGAACAAATTATAAGCACGTTCAAAATCTTGAGTCAAACCATAACCACCTTCCTTATACATTTCCGCCATCTTTGCCAATAATTCATGTCTAGCCATTGGACTAGAACTCTGATTTTCCTCATCATCATCTTGAAATCCGGCAACTCTTTGATACCAATCAACAGCTTTTTTATAATCAGTATGTCGAGATTTGCCCAAATTTTGTCCAGTTTCATATGCTTTTGCCATATATAACATTGCGACTTTGTCACCCATTTCAGCAGCAGTTTCCATTAAATCAGCTCCGAATTCTTCGAGATCAATATTTTCCTTCCCATCATCATCCCCAAATAAATCATCAGTTGTAACATCTTTCAATAACTCGTGGCTCATTCCAAGAGCAATGTTAGCAGTTGTGAGAACCGCTTCCAAAACACCACATTTTCTAGCCACATCTAGATGGAATACAGCCGATTCTTTATCATAATTTATAGCTCCAAGGTCAGCACTTTTATTTTCTTGAGCCGAAGATGTTGCTAAACCAGCCTTTTTATTCGCGTCAGCATTCTCTTCTTCGATGAACCTTCCAAGTTCATGATATCGACATAAATCAATATGAATTTGACCGAGAACTGAGAAATGATGACTTTGAACTTCTTGTTGTTGAAGAGCCGCGACATCTCTTAACGCAGCAATATTTGCAGGAATCGACATTTTTCTTGCGTTTTTCCAGAAATCTTCTCTTTCAGTTTCTCCAGTGATTCTTGAGCTGTTTAGTGAATGTGCATCTAGTGAGCTATGAATGCTCAAGCTATCATAATGTCCAGAATCAGGGCGGATTACTTTCAAATCATGGAAACCGACCTGGAAAAAATTGCAATTTTGAAGATCTTATAGAGTCTAGACATAGGAAATGTTTTCGGAGAAAGATTTTTTCAGAACAACTAGGAAAATTTGACAAAAATTCAAAATCAAATTTTTTCACAGTTTTCATTTTGTGAACCCAAAACCTTACCTTTCTTGGTCTCAAATGTTCAGCAGCCTCTTCATGATTTGATCCACTTTTTTTGCTAGATTTCGAAGTAACTGATCGAGCATCTTCACTATCACAAACATTATCTGATAAATCTTCAATTTCAGGAATACAATCCGAACAAACACAATCATCGTCGTGTTCATCGCTTGAATCACTATCAGTTTCATGTGAAATCGATACAGTGACCCGTCTCAAAGCTTCCATTGAAATACGATTATCCACAGGGATGATGTTCTCGCTAGTCAATCTTTTCCGATTATAAACCGTTCCAGATGCAGATGTTACACGGGTTCTCATCAATTCAGCGTGTTCATTTTCCGATAACTCAAACTCGGACAAATCCATATCATGACAAATATAATTGCATTTATGTGATCGGAAGAATAGCGCCATTCCTCGAGTTCCAAGATTACCATCACCGTAATCTGTTCCAACAACAGTATGAATCTGTGGATCTGTATATAAGTCACCGACGCCTTGAATATCAACAACCATCAATTGATGTCCAGATCTTTCAAAAGTGAAGTGTGAAAAAGCCTGTGGTGTAAGTCGCGCATCCTTTGAAACAAATCCAGAATTCGAATTATATTTCAAATAATTTCCTTCAATAAAATGCTCCAGATGATACAAAGGAGATTCAGGCAAATCAATCATTTCCAAAACACACATTTGAACAATATCAATTTTCTTCGGTGGTTTATATCGATTATATTCTTCCGCCCATAATTTCGCGTCCATTTGCAACTTCACATCATCAAAAAGTGTGCGACGATCAACGTTTTGCATATATCGTTTTGCAACATAATTCTGCGCATGAGCCCAATTATTATTCCCCGTTATCGATGACAATTTCTTCATTCGAAAACATTCTCTCATTGCACCTCTAGCAAATGGCTCCGGATGAATTCGAACTTCGACAAAATCTTCAGTCCATTGTTTACGAATTGCTGAATATCGATGACGTTTTGCTCGAATAATTGGGTATTCTTGGATATTGAATTGCTCCCAAGGATCAATATATTCTCGTTGTGCTCGGCGAGCAACACTTCTCCATCTTTCCATCAATTTTTTGACGTGTTCTTTATCGAATGGTTGAGCTGGTTTTGGGCGATCGGTGAAATCGTCAGTTATTGGTACCAAATCAGAACAAGTCGATGACGTAGTTCGATTTCTCATCTAGGAAAAAAATATATATTGTTTTGAAAAAAGTATAATCCGATTTTGTCATAGAATTTTTTACATTCTATTCGGTAAATCTTTTTTTCAGCAAAGTATTTTAAATCAAATAGTCTAGAAATCACTACGCTCTTAATTTATTTTTGAAAATCTCGAAAAATAAGTTCGCATTTTTAGAAACATCATAACAAAAACTGTTTTCGAGAGTCATTATAAAGATACAAACATTTCAAAATAAATATATTTTGATCTCTTGATCTTTTGATCTACAACCATCGGGAGAACTAAAACCAAAATTTTTCGAAAAATATTATTTTTGAAAAGTTTTCTGGTGAAAACAATTTTCAATCTTCATAAGCCCATTATCGATTGAAAAAAGTATAAAAATTTGGATATATCAAAAATGCTATGACAATTCATCCGTATTATCCTTCTTTACATACATAGTTGCTATAGTGATATTTAAAAAAAAAATCCCCCCAACAAACCTTTTCACTATCTGATTGCGATGAAATTGGCAGCGGTTTTTCATTAACAAGTTCTTCTGTCATCTGCAACAAAAATAGTTGAAATATATAAATAAAATATACGTGCACAAGGAAAAAAAGAGCGAACCATAATGTCAATATTTCAAAAAGAGGGGATGATTGTTGTGGAGACGCAGACAGAGCATAGAAAAAAGAAAACAAGACTAATGGGAGACAAAAAGGTCAATAACATAAGAAAACTAGTATTTTTTTTTGTTAACCTAGGCAACGTAAAGAATTTTTTTCCTGAAAATTGAAAACTGATAACGTGAGAAAAACAAAGAGTTGGAAAAAAAAGAGATATTGGCTGACCCAGGAAGAAAAATCGAAGAGAAAGACTAAAAATTGGGAGAAGTGCACATTTTCTCGTCGAAAAGAAAAGATTGGGGTAGAAAAAAAGAGAAGAAAACATGTGCGATTTTTCGATTAATCTGTCATGAGATTAACGAAATATACTAGAGAAAAAAGTAAAATGATATGTTCCAGACAATATTGTTTTTACGTTCTCTCATGTCAGATATCGATTTATTTTTTTTGTTTCGAAAAAAATTGGGTAGAGAATTCCAGATAGCATCGTACTTTCTTTCTCAAGGTCATCAGGTATTTTCTATTTGATTTTCAACAATTTTTCATCAAAACAAAATTCGCTATTCAAAATAAATGCTTTATTAAAACTCTTTAAGTAGATTCCTGTTGTTGTTTTTGTTCATCGACTTGAACCATTGCATCGATTATCTCAATGATGAATTCGGGATAAGTTTTTTGAAGATAATGGCCTTCTTCGGTGAAATTTGCAGTTACAAATTGTTTTCCAGACAGGTAGCTTTGTTTGGCTTTTGGGATAGTTGCGGCGGATTCGGTTTTATCGTGGATAATCTGGAAATGAACTATTTGATGAAAATTGAAGCTTTTGAAAAAGGTCCTGGAGAATTCTTTTTAAGTTTTAATTTTTCTAATTTTCAGATAATCTTTTTTTAAGATATCGGGACCCGAAATAGTCCGGATCAGACATTCCCTTCCCTAAACACTTACATAATGATCACTGCCAATAAACGCTGCAGCAAACTCGTCCGAAATATGTGTCTCAATCAGAAAATCTTTCGCACCAAATCCATAAAACGTCTTGACATTGGGATAAGTTCGAACCTCATCAATACTTTTAGCTTGTTCATCAAATGCAAAAGTTCGTAGAGGTAAAATTGCAGCCGCGGCGACTGCACCATTCGCCACTCGTAATCCAACAATTTTATTGTAAACTGAAAGATCATTTTGTTCTAGTGGGAGCCTCAAAAACTTACAGTAATCTAATAGAGGATGAAGAAAATAATTGATTAGTCTGCTGTTGAGTTTGATGAGATTTCCAAGAAATTCAATAACACCCATTCGTTTTCGAATTCCTTGATGACTTTCAAAACCGGGTGAATTGAGCAATGCTGCTCCAATCACTGGCCAATTGTCTGCCTGAAATTTCAGATTGATTTCTAGGAAAGTTAATAGAATAACTCCACTTACTGCTAAAATATTTGCTAATTGTAAAGCGTTTTCTCCGCCACGTGAATGTCCGCAGACTATAATTCTATTGCAATTTTTGACATCTAATTTTTCTAAAACTGCTTTTGCATATGAGTTTCGTTCGTGATTGTAGTAGCCGTTTTCGATTCCACCTAAAAAAATTACAGATTTTGACCTTTGAGCCTTCAAAAAATCAATAAATTTGATCCATGCGTTTGTTCTGATTTTCAAAATTTTGGAGCTTCGTTTGGTTTCAATAGGTAATAAAAAAATTTTTAAATCTAGTTTCTCTTCTCCAAAAACATTAAAAAATACCTGGAGTAAATTCGGAACCAGGCCAATTGAAACAAACCAACCGAATATTCTTCTGCTCGAAAAACTCCTTCATATACTTGAAATCATTATGTGATCCAGGCGATCCAGGTAATCCAACTACAGTAGCCCTCGAAGTTTTCACATCTCCAATTTCAATATATCCCGCCATCACTGTATTTGATTTCTCCAATGTTTTACCCGCTTTATAAGTGACACTGACTTTTTTGAGAAATTCGTTCAAATCGAAATATTTGGATCGAACCGGTTTTTTTGTGCCGTTTTCTGATGCCATTCTCTGAAAATAATAATTGTTGAGGTTAAAGCTGATGTTTTTTCAGAAAATGAAATTAAAAAGGACTTACAACAAAGATTTTCGGTAACCCGTTAATGGTTTGTATCACCCTATAGTTGAGCATGCTGAACCAAAAAAAATATAACATAAAACATCGGAAAAAAATATATGGAATACCGATTTTCGGATAGTTATTTTACAAAAAAAAATCAGAGAATATAGAAGCAAATTTTATTTGAACAAAAAAGATTAAAAAAAAGAAGAATATGCCTATTCACAGGATTTTTGGAAATGATTTAACCAGGTGCAAATCTTGAGATCAAATAAAATTATATGTAGTTTTTACCAACGCGTTTTACAGATACAGATATGTGAAAAACTCAAAAATCATACTAGAATTCCTTGTAAAGTAAGTTCAGTGACAAAAGGTGTGATAATCCATCTGGTGCAAAAATAAAATATTAAACCAAAGAAAATCGAAATCGGCAAAGCTGGAAGTGCACGTTTGAAAACAGCCAACAAAAGCAAAGTGAAACAAAGGCCAATCAAAATCGCTACATAACAAGCAATTGTGGTATTCCAGTCATAATATGATGAAGCTTTGCCAACCAAAACCGAATAAAAAATGAAATCGCCGAGACCGAGTTTAACGCCACCTGTAAATTTTCGAATTACAAAAAATTTCGAATTACAAAAACAGTTTAGTTTTGTGTTTTCCACTAAAAATGTGACAGATTAACAACATTATTTGTTACTAAATGTGAAATGTTGCGAGAAACTGGTTTTTTATAATTGATTAGGTGTTTGATTTTTCACACTTTACAGACGTAGGTTTGATAGAAAGGCTGGAGGTTCAAGGCTCTAGAATCTGGCCAACTGAAAACACGATTCTGAAGTTTAGAGCTTTGCATAAAACTTCATTAAAATAAATATTCTTACGAGGAAAAGTTTCAAAGAGGTTTAATTTTGCGCTTGGAATTTCAAAAAATTCAGATTTGGCACAAAAAGTCTTATTCCAGCTCTAAATCTCTAGGCCTAAAAATTTTGTGATAGATCGAAAATATGTTTCACTTTTACCTAGATTCCATGAACTGAAACAAATTTGATGAAGAATCTACCCCTGTACTCACGTTCTTCCTGTTGCATCTGTTGCTCCGATCGATGATACTGCTGATGTTGTTGCTCATTCTGTGCTGGTTGTCTTTGCTGTCTACTTGTCGATGGTCCAGCTTCTCCTCCATTCTGTTGTTGCATCTCATTATCATTTTTAACTTTTTGCGCGATACGTTTCACTTTTTTGCCCGATTTCAATAATCCACTCGTCGATGGTGTTTCATTTCCTTGATTTGTTTCAGATGTATTTGGACTTGGACTTGTTTCACCAACCCCAGCCATTACTGTTGTTACCAAAGTGTATGGATAAAGCATTCCAGCTGGAAAAAAATGATTTTTTTGCATTCTTGGGCGCGCATGGAAACTCACATGAATAGATCAACGCAGGAAAAATGGGTTCATTTCTCTCTTGAGCAGTCTCAACAAGATATCTCAATGGTCCTTTTGGTGTCAAGACAGCAATCAAATCCCAAACTGAAATCACAAACAAAACTGTCCAAACTGTCCATTCAGGAAGGCATTTGATAAAAACTAATGCCATCAATGCAGACATTGCGATAAGATAGAACTGTAAACAAATATTGATTTTTTTGATCGGAAAATGAAATAAAGACAAACCTGTTGAAGCATTAATGGACCTTTCCAATGGATACACATCATTCCCAAAATTCCATAATTTATCAAGCAGAACCAAACAGTTGGGGTGGATGCAGATACGTTGAAACTTTTCATAACTTCTCTGAAAAAATTATAAAATGTTTCGAGTTCTCAAAATTAAGTGGAAACTCACTGAACATATACAGATGTGAAGAGGAAAAGAAGTAGAAAACTACTGATGATGAGCCAACCATGGATGATTTTATAACATCGATATTTGTAGAACATAATGAGAAGAACTGTCATCACAACTACGAAGCAGAGGAGGACTAAAGCGTTTCCTATTGACATCAGAGCTTTTTCGCCGATGTTGTCGGTTTCTTTGACAAATGGGGTGTATAATCTGGAATGAGATAATAACGGGTTGTTATTGAGCGATAATTTTTTAAAATCAGATCTGATAAATACCCCGGAGTTGCTCTAAATTAAAAAACTAGGGATCTGTAGAAAATAACTTTCTTTAGTTTGTCAAAAAACTATTTTCGAGAATTCTTGAATCACAGAAATTGACTCTGGCTCAATTTTTGAAATAGTTTTTTAATGATACCAAATTTTACTATCACAGTTTTCAGAATACAGAGTTATTCCAGCTCATGAAAGATCAAGTTTCGATAAATTCAAATGTTCGGCTTAAGTTTGAGCATTTTCACAAGAAAATTTAACTCTATCAACTCGGAAAATTTCATGAATGATACAAAAATCTCTACTTTCGAAAATTCTTGAATCACAGAAAAACAGGATTCCAAAAAAATAGTTATTGACTCTGGGTCAATTTTTAAAAAATAGTTGTTTATTGTTCCAAATTTCACTGTTACAGTTTTCAGAATACAGAGTTTTAAATCAGTTCCAGCTCATGAAAGAGCAAAAAATTCAAATGTTTGAGCATTTTTCCAAGAAAATATAACGCTAGCTTTTCATCAGCTTGAAAAATCTATTTCCCCCAAGTTCCTTTATCATGAAAAAAAACTCACAATTGTGCTCCATTGCTAACTGTATAAAAAGGAACCGTATTCATAGTAAAAACAACCATCGCCATACAAATTGAAACAGGGACAAACAAATGTATCACATGCGATGCTCCATATTTCAATTCAGCTTCTTCGATTTGTGGTTCACCTCCTCCACTTGACGAAGATTCTTGATTTGTTCCATAAACTTGTTGCTAAAAAAATACAAATTGTTTTCAGTCAGAAAAATTCAAAACTCACCGGGCTCCCACGATTTCGCAAAATTCCAGAAGCCTCATTTCCTTGTGGATTTGAAGAAATCCTTGTTTCCATTTTCTCTTCAAAATTCTAGTTGAAAAAAAAATTGATTAATTTTGGGAGCAACAGAAAAAAAATAAAAGAACGCCAGAAAATATAGCGGGCACACAAAATATGCATATGCACAACAAACGCGTCAATCATTGGCCAGCTGGCGCATTTGCTTTCTCAGGGACACTTATTTTTCGGCGTCTGCGTCTATTGAGTTTGTGTGTTGTTTCTCGTTTGTTGGTCTTGTGTTTTACAAGGTAGAAATTTCTCAAGGACTACAAAGGGTGAGAAATATTTTTGTTATAAAAATTTTTTTAAACAAACAATTTTTTTTCTAGAAAAATGCCGCCAGCAACATTGCCAGAATACACATATGAAGAAGTTTTGAAAAACAACAATGAAAATGAGCCAAAAAGTTGTTGGATTGTTATTGATGGAAAGGTTTATGATGTCACCAAGTTTTTGAGTGAACATCCTGGAGGCGAGGAATCGATTACTGATTTGGCTGGGCAGGTGGGTACTTTTTTCAATTGAGACAAGGAAGTTAGTGGAATTTAATCTTGACTGGCTGGTGTATTGGTGGAATTTTAAGTTAAAATCCTAGAAGGCGGTGTGAAATAGTTATCGGATGAGAAAATTCAATATTTCAGAGAGATGATTGATGAAATTTTCAATTCAAGAATTTCTAAAACTTTTTCAATGTCTAAAAAAAAATATTTTATAAACTATTTGAATCTGAAAATATTTCTATTTTTTTTTAAAGTTTGTCAATCTTCAATAAAACACTGATCAATTTTCATAAAATTTCAAATAAATTTAGAAGTTAATGGTGCTGAAAATAATAAATTCCTAAAACAATTTTATGTTATACCATTTTCAGGACGCTTCCGAAGCTTTCCACGACGTCGGACACTCAGCAGATGCGATGGAAATGGCAGAAGAATATTTGATCGGATTACTCAAAGGAGTGCCACCGCCAGCAGCCATGAAATCAGAAAAATCCGTTCCAACATCAAAAATCAACATCACCGAGACACTTCAAAGTATTGCCAATAATTCAATCGTAAAAAATATTGTTTTCCCAGCTTCGATCGGTTTGGCCATTTATTTTGTTTATAGAACAGTTGTCAAATCAAAGTGATTTTTTTTTGTGATTTTTTCTACTTATCAAAAACATTTTATAAAAATTGTTATTATTTAAAACCAGGCAAGTAATTGAAAAAAGCAACTTTCACAATGAAAATAAACGTACACATCAAAGTATAATCAAAATCAAACTGAAATCAATCAATAAATCAATAATTTGAGAATAACCGGTACACAATTGAGATTAAAGAGATATGGGATAAAGAAATCAATAACTGGAACCCTACAGAAAACTACAATCATACTTCTTGGTCCATTCCTTGTGTAGCATTTCGATTCAATTTCTGAAAAATAACAAATTCTGACGATTTCTGCAAAAACATCAACAACAACAAAAAACGACAGATATTTGCATTCATGCGGTGAATTTTTATGTTGTTAGGAGGTATGATTTTTGTGATGACACAAGCATTTCAAATTTCACATGCAAACTTAAAAAAAGAGAGATAGGTTTCCATTTTTTCTGATGAGATGAGTTCGATTAGCGGTGAGTGAACCGCAAGAGGATCTCCAAAATTTTGATTTTTTTTGTAGCTTCACGATAATGGGAAAAATGTGAGTTGGTTGAGAAATGTCAGTGATTTTACAAGGGAACTTATTGATTCTGGAGATTTTTGAGGAATTATGGGTTTTCTAGTAGATTTCGAGCCACTGATCACGATTCTGCGGTCAAAAATTGGAAATTTAGATTTTAAAAAATGAGTTATGACGTGACAAAGTTGGGATATACAAATGTTTTCATAAAAATTTGCTAGTTGAGTTTAGCTGTGGCTCTAGAGGTTGTCCAAGATTTGATTCAATTTTCAAAAAATTTTAAGTCCGCATCCCATATTCTAAATTAATTATAGCTTCAAAATCTACTAGAAACACCCACAAAAATGTCCAGTAAACAACTCAACAGTACCCTTGTTAAATAATAAATTATGAAAAAAATGAATAGATTTACGTGAATGGTAACATCAAATATTACCATCTGGAATGATCCTCTCGCGGAAAAGTTGCATCAGAAGCTGCATTTGTTTCGCACGCACAGTGATCATCTTGCTTTCTGGTGTGGGAAGAAAACGTGCTAATAGAAATAAAAAGTTAGTAGTAGTTCTTTTCAGTTTTTGGTGTTGCAGTCAATCAAAAATGAGTTTTTTTTGTTGTTGATAGGATTAGAGAAAAATGAAAATAGCTACAAAAGGCAACATATTCTTTTGAGATCGAAAAGAGAGAGAGAGTTGTGATAAGATGTCATACGTTGAGCAACATGTTGGTTGATCGTTTTTGATGTGCCGCATTTGCAGTTCCACGTTTTTGTCGTGCTCGAGTACAACACGTGTTTCCAAGAGCGTTTCGACGAATAACACAGTAATCGAGGAGAAGGACGGCGACTATTAGGACCGCACAAGCTACAAATGACCAAATTGCCCACATCGGTACCTGCAAAAATTGTTTTTTTGTTGAAACAGAGGTCGACTTATGTTGGTTCCCTGATCAAGTGAACCTTAATTTTTGAAAATTAATTTTTAAATAAACAATTTCCTAGTGAACTTGTAATTATTTTTGACATTGATTTCAAATTTTCAGCATTTTATTTTCTCTGATTTTCTCATTTAAAATCTATCCTGGACTGTAGCTCTTTTATTTCAGAGTAGAGCTTCAGCCCTTCAGAATCTCACAATCACAGTCTAAGAGCCTGAGAATCCTGCTCCGATTGAACCGGAACCCAACAGGAATCTATTTTTCAAAGTGCAAGTACAAAACCATCTATTTTTGGACTGGATTACCCTAATAAAATTTAATTCATCAAAAAAAGAATTTTATGAGTCGAGTCATGAACTTATGGTAGTATACATATTATTTTCATTCTCCCACACACACACACGTCATTTTGAAAAATAAAATATTAAGGAGCAAGAAAACATAACCCAGAAAGTAAGTGCTGAAATTTCAGAATATTCCGCTTTTTTTTTGTTTTTTGGAAAAAAAATCTATCTGAACTTCATTTTCAAAACCAAAAAACATACCCCCGCGAGTCCGGAGCCTGCAATTAAAGTTTCCGAATATTCCGATTCATACAATTGATGTTCAGAATATGTCTGTTGATATTGCGGATAATTTTGATTATTTTTATTATAGCTATCCTGATTATTATCGTATGGATAATTACTCATCATTTACCAGCTAGAATTTCACATTTATTTTCATTTCAATCTTGTTTTGACACAAATCTGCAAAAAAAATATTTTTATTTCATTCATTCTCATTTTTATATGAAAAAAAAGAGGAAAAAAAATAAAATTGATGAAAGTTAGAGCAAAAAACATGAAGGGGGCAAAAGTGAGTGAGAGGTTAATGAAGCAGAAAAAAAGAAAGTGAGAAATGAATGGTTTAATATGACGAAAAAAGGAAGAAAGAGCAAGTGAAAACGCCGAGAAAACGTGAATGAATACAAGGAGAAATATTTGGAAATAACAACACAGCTCCAACAAAAAAAACGAGAAGGAAAATAGATGAAGTACATGAGTAAGTGGGTTGGTTGCAAACAAAATAGGATTCAAATTCATCTTATTTTCTATTTATCTACTAAAATCTGGTTGTTTTGTTGATTTTCAACCTTTTTTTGGAAAAGGTTTTGAAAAACAAAACCTGAAGAACCTTTGAATTTTTTAAAATTATAACAAAAATGGGATGATATCCCACAGTTTTTAGAGGCTTTTTTAAAATCAAAAATAAATTTTAGATTTTTAAATCAAAAACGAAATTCAAAATTAGATCCAGATCGTGATAAAATAATCAAATTTTTTTAAATAAAAATACATTCAGAATTTTTTTTTTGAAAATTCGGACTTCAGTTTTATCTCTCACCACACATAAAAGTAAAATAAAATACATGATAATCCAGATTTTCAAATTTTCTACAAGGATTATTGAGTTTTTTTTCTCTCTTTCAAGTCAGTACGAGAGTCAAAAATCAAAACTGGATACATTAAAAAATTGGAAGCTCGCTCAGCTTCCAACAAAATTGATTTCACTCACTCAAATAAACTGCCGACTGACTAAAAATACATAAAGCTATGATTTATGGGAATTTTTTGAAATTTCGCTTCCGTTCTCAATATTTTTTTCTCACCAATGTTTTCGGGGGAATTCAGAGAAAAAAATCGCGCCGCAAAAATTTGTTGTCTTCTCGTAATTGATAATCGGAAAAGAACATAATAAATAAGAAGGGTGAGAAAATGTGTGGAGTAAATAAAAAGAAAAAATAAAAATAAAACGCAACACAACACATATACATAAATAGAATATTTAGATGATACATGGCGAAAAAACTGGCGAGTGAGTGAATAAAAAAAAACGAGTGGAAAATTAAAAGAGGAAAAAAGAAGAGGCAAATAATTCATCAACTAATTATTTCAATGCTTTCACAGCTATTACTTTTTCGTGTTGTTGTGGGTGTGTGTTTTTCGATGCACTTTTTTTTCTTATAAATGGATAAGGGAAATTGTGTAGCTAATTTACGAGGAAATGTGTGTACTCAACACTTGAGAAGTTGGAGAAACTTTGGGAATCAGAGACTTAGAACTAGAAAAATACCGTCATACATAAAAATGAAGATTTGAGAAAATATTTAATTTTGAATCATTTTCCAAAAAGTTTTTTGTAAAAGAATTAACTTTCGAAATCGGCCAATTGCATTTTTTTCAGAATACTGAAAAAAGATTCAGAATATTGAAATTTTGAATGGCACCAGTGTCCTCCAGGAAAAAATCAACAAAAACCATTCACGCCTTCAGATTATCTATCTATGTCAAGGAGCTACACCTTGAGATCTTTTGAGTCAAGTAACCGCTTCTTGGGACATACAAGAACTGGGACTCCGAAATCGGAGGGATGGGGGTTAACTTATGGTGGATTTTTGAAAGTAGGGGGCTTAACTTTTGAAAATTTTTGGGTATTTTATGCTTTTTGGGACAAAAAATCAGGGGGGGGTTAACTTTTCGAAAATTTCCCCTGGAAGGGGGGTTAACTCATGGGTCCCCGGAGCGACTAGTTTATGTATGTCTTGGGAACAATTTCGTTCTAGTAGTTTCAAAAATATATAAAGTTTATAATTTTTCACCTTTTTTCATGTTTCAAGAGCACAGATTTTAATCAAATTTCAAAATATCGAGTGAAAAAAGGTTTCCTATAAAAAACGAGTTATGCGAAAAAACTAATAACTATTTGTCAAAGAAAAAATATCAAATTTCCTTTTTTAGTTTAGCATCGTTTTCTTCTATTATTTTTATTTTCATTGAAAAACCAAATAAGAATTGTTCGCTGCCTACTAATTAACAATCGTCATCTAACAAATTTTCAAGCAAAAAATAGAAGAGATCTCTTTTTTTTCTGAAAATGTATGTAAGTTCATCGGAAGAAACCCGGAAAGAGTCTCTCTCCAAAAAAAAGAAGAAAAAGTACTGGAAGAAATAAAAAACATGCGGAGAATAGAAGTGAGATTAGGATTAGAAAGTTAATAAATATATTACATTTTCATTTTTTTTTTGACTGAAGTCAAGTGATTGAAGTGAATGACTTTGAAAGAGAAAATTCGATAAGGAAATGTTTGTAATATTTTGAAAATGAAAAAGGAAGTGCTTATGGTGTTCTGTAAGTGAAAAATTTTCGAAATTTTTTTTCAGAATTGAAAAACAACATCTTGATAGAATATTTAAACATCAAAAAAAGATTCCGAACATCTAAGCTTTCAGAATTTTTTATGAGATAAGTAATATTTTTGAAACATTAATGTTTCTCTATCTCAAGATCCTTTGAAGAATAATGAATAAAAAATGAACTGCTGGAAAACAAAAAAACATGAACTTTTATTCTGAAAATGTTTAAGTTCAAGAGCATTTTCACCGGCTATAATTAAAGTTTTTTTTAGTTTTTTTTTCAAAAAAAATGTGTTCTGCGAAGTTTCATATTAATTAATTCCAAGCTTGGAAGTTGATTGGCTTCTCAATTTTCCTTAATCTTACTCAGGAAATTTTGGGCAACGATTTAGCAAGTTGCTGCCCTCTCGCAACTTGCTATCTCCTTGCTGCATTTTTAGCGACTCGCGCGATTCTTGCTGCATTTTTAGGTTGCAATTTGTGTTATGAATTTGGTCCAGCAAGTTGCGAAATTCTTGCTGGATCCACATTTATTGAGATGGATAGTGGGCGGAGCATTTCTTTTGAAAGCATGTCAATAGGCAAAACTCATTTTTTGTCGGGCAGAAAATAATTATAAATTGGTCCCGAGGACATCTCCACAAGTTATTGAAGGGTATTTTTATTGCTATGGCATTATAATGCTACAGTACCACCAATAACTAAATTAATTTTGATCTCGACAAACTTTGTCTTTCATAATAAAAAAAGAATGAACCTCTAATTTTTTTCTCGAAATTTGTTCGGCGACTTGCTGTTTTCTTGCCGTTTACGAAAAAAATTTCGCTTGCTATAATAGGCGATTCCGCGGCAAACTAGTGTCCGAACCGCATGTTTTAGCAAGCAGAATCGCGCATTCTGGTCAGCAAAATTGCGAAAAATCTCCTGAGTTACATTTAGAGCAAACATTTTTTTGATCGCGGAAAAAACCTTTGGCGGATCTCACTTAGTTTTCTAATTTGAAAAAACACAGAACCGGGAATCAAATTGGAATTGAATTTTTTAAACTCTTGAAATTCCGCTGAGACCACCCACGATGCGAAAACTCTAAGTTCATAGAAGTTATCATAAGTCGAAAGCCTAAAGGATTTTCGACAAGTCTATAATTTTCTGAACTTAAAAGAACCTTTAAACAAAAACTATAGTCTTGTCGACCTCCAAGTCAGAAAAAATACATTTGAATAGAAATGTTGTTCTAGGTGGGGGGCACTGATATTATTCAATGTGGCCATCTTTGTCGTCGTCTTCCAGCACGCTCTTCGCTTTTTTCTTTTTTGATGCTCCTCACATGGGTGATGTGTTTTTCTTCTTCTTCTTCTTCTTCTTTTGGCTCGGTTTTCTTTCATTCATTCATCTCATTCTCGCCTACTTTCAATTAATTCGCTATTTTGTCAGTCATTCAGTCAGTCCTGACAGCCCCAAAGAAGAAAATGAAAAAAAAATAGGAAAAATGAGAAGAACATGTATGGAAAAAGAAAAAGACATGCAAATTATTTGAGAAAGTTAAAAAAATGGAGAATGAAATAAAATGAAAGAGATATGTGTTCTGTGTTGACGTCAGAACTTGGAACAAATTAAATTAGTTGTGAATCCAATTACAAACATTTTTTTTTCGCTGTTATAAAAAGACGGATTTCAGATTGAGGCAGAAAAAGAAAAAAAAAATACGAATTGAAATTTGAACTTGTGAATGCAACCAGATACATTTCTGGTTTTTGATTTTTACGAACATTTTCTTTGTTCTTTCACCTGTCTCTTTTGAAATTCTACATATTCTTGAAATTGTTTGAACAAATAAGAAGATTTTAAATTGGACTTTGTTTTCTAAAAAAAAATCCAGCCAGTTTTGATTGTTTGGTTAAAATTCGGAATGAAATTCTTGAAAAATCGAGATTTATCGAAAATTAGCCAGGCTAAATTTTGCCTGAATTGTAGTCAAACTTCTATAACCCTGATTTTATTCTTGATAACTCAACATCTACTGGAAATCTGATGTTGCTAGTCTAATTCAGATTTCCTGAAAGTCAACCAATTCAAAATTGAGATTTTTTAAATTAGACCTGACTTGGACATCGCTTAAAGAATCAGATAAAATCCGATCAAAAAATTGTAACCAAAAATTTTGGGAAAATTTTTGAGATGGCCTGATTCAGAAATCCTGATTTTACCAAAAGCGATTTAAAATTTCCCTTAAAAAACAAAAAATGTTTTGCTAACAAGAAAAAAAGTGAAAAAAATAGGCGAAGATGAATAATATTAGAAAGCAAAAACAGATATTTTCTCGAAAAAAGGCGCCAACAAAAAAAAATGGAATGTAATAAAGATATGTTTTCTGTTTGTGCAGAAGCGGCTAAATGACATTTGGGTTTTTTTGATGTGAGATTGAATTTATTTATGATCCAGTTTTGGAGTTGGAAAATAAATACATGACTGAATGAATGAAAAACAATAATTACCATATTGGGAATTGGACGCTTTTT